TCTCTCTTCTCTCTTCTCTCTTCTCTCTTCTCTCTTCTCTCTTCTCTCTTCTCTCTTCTCTCTTCTCTCTTCTCTCTTCTCTAGATCAATTCGATCGCGGCTGGTTGGGGCAAAACGAGCGCTCACTGTCGAGGTTGACTGAGATGCAGATTGCACATGTGCTGAATAGGAGGGCGGCTGGTGTGGCGGATGAGATGGATGGGTGGGATGGGGCGGGACGGGATGGGATGGGATGGGATGGGACGGGATGGGATGGAGCTACATCGTTGTGTCGTAATGTATGCGTATCTCGCCATCTGCTCAGCGCTGCTCTGCTGGAGACTTGTGGAGTAAAGGGGTGTAAGCGTGTCTGCTTGGAGGAGGTACGATAGACTCGAGAGATACGAGAGCCGTTCCCTGGCACACGCGCATACTTCAGACACGAAAACGACCGATGCAGGTGCAGGTGCAGGTGCAGATGCAGGTGCAGATGTAGATACAGAAATGGAAAGGGAAGTGGAAATGAAAATGGATGGAGAAATACAAAACAGATACAGTACAGAAATAGGGTATAGCCTCGACTCCACCACGACTCCACCTCTTACGATGATGAAAAAAATAAGAAAAAAGAAAAAAAAAAGAAAATCACTCGACTCGACTACGCAACGCTCCTCCCCCTCGCCATCCCCCTCAAATCCCCCGCACTCGCCTGCCGAACAACACTCGTCCAATCCTCCCACTCCCCCGCAATCTCCGTAAGCACCTCGCCCATGACCCTCGCCGAAGCCATAAGGCCATGCTGCTCGCCGTGCAAAACGCGAACCTCGCACTTTCGCATAACACGCGCGAGCCACCTCACATTGTCCACGGGCACACGGGAGTCCTTGGAGCCATGGTGAATCACGACGGGGGCGGTCACATCCTCGTACCGAAAGCCAATGGGCTGCCTGGTCTCGAGACAAACCATCAGGTCCGTGGCGGGATTCGCGTTCAGCGTCGCGCGATCCCAGATAGCAAACGTCAGGCGCTCGTCAAAGGCGCGGCGCGTCGTCTCGGGCGCTGCGAGCGAGAGCGTGCTGGACTGCGGGGGGACTTGGTCCATGAGCAGCATCGAGTCGCGGGGCTGGGCAGACGGGGCGGGATCGGTGCGTGTGCGGCGCGGCTTGGGGGGCTTGGTGGGCTTCGGGGCTGTGCGCTGCAGCGAGGCGCTTGTGTTGCTGAGAAAGGTGGAGTTTGCGACGCGGAGGAGCGAGGGAGGGAGGGCGCGGAGGAAGCGCTGCGCGCGCGGGAGCTGCTGGGTTGGGGGCGCGGAGCGGCCGAGGCCCAGCGGGGCCATTTGCGAGGGCGGGATCCAGGGCGCGAGGAGGTGGACGCGGCCGCGGATGTGCTGGGGCATGCGGAGGGAGGTGGCGAGGGCGTAGATGGCGCCGGCCGAGTGGGCGAGGAGGGAGAAGTTTGTAATCTTCAGCGCTTGGCAGATGATGCGGACGTCGTCTCAAGGACGTTAGCAGGGCTTGTTATCATGTGTGCATCGGCAACGTACCAGGCCATGTCAGGGGGGTCCCGTTGGGATCGGCTTGGCTCGCGCCCACACCCGGCCGTTCGGGCGTGACGAGCCGCAGCTTCAGCGTCGCGGCGAGCTGGTCGTAGAAGGCCATGACGAACCTCGTCAGGCCCATGCCAACGCACACCATGACGGCGAAGCCGTTGGGATCGCCGACCTCGGAGAAGGAGATGATCCTCCCCGTCTGCGGGTGGCGTATCTTCTGCGACAGCCGCGGGGCTTGCAGGTACGCATCAACGTCGACGTCGACCGAGTCGAGCGACGACGGACGCTCCTCGATGAGCGGACTCGACGGATGCATGGCGTAGTGCGAGACCCTCGCCTCTTCTCCGGCCTCGTGGCGGTCGACCTTGTCGTTGTGGGCCTTTTCTGCCTTGGCGGGCAGGTCGGGGTGCGACCAGCGCTTCTTCTTGAGCGTCTTCTTCTGCTGCAGGGTGAAGCTGTTGGCGGCCGAGGCCGTGCTGAGCGACGAGTGGCGCCCGGACATGTCCTCGCTTGCGGAGCGGACGGTGGACGGCCTGCCGTCGGTCAGGCTGGACGAGTGGTGGTGGCCCTTGGACGCGGCCATGGTGGCGCTGTTTGCCTTGCGCCCGAATGCAGACCTGCCGCCCACGGAGAGCGAGCTCGAGCGCTTCAGGCCGTCTCTGCTCGAGCGCGTCGGCCCGTCTCTGCTCGAGTGCTTCAGGCCGTCTCTGCTCGAGCGCGTCGGCCCGTCTCTGCTCGAGCGCTTTAGGCCGTCTCTGCTCGAGTGCACGCTCGCCGTGGATGCAGTGCTAAAGGGCGTAGGCGGAGGGGGGGTCATGTGCGTAGAGTCGACGCGAGGGGTCCGTGGCGAGTTGGGCGCTGATGTATCCAAGGTTTTCAGCGCCAGGGCGTAGTTGATGGGGAGCAAGAGGTCATCGCCGTCGTTCACGGTCAAGCTCCTGTGGCGCGAATGTCGCAGATGCGGCGGCAGTGGTGCCGGGCGCGTCGGCTCGCGCGGCTCGTCGCGCGGTGGCCGTCGGTTGGTGTCGATTTCGGTCGACGGCAGCGCGGCAGGGGGGATGGAGATGCCCAGGAGTCTGTGGGCTTTTGTGTGGCCGAGGCCGCGCTCGTCGGCGGCGGGCGACGCAGTGCATGTAGGCGACGCAGTGCATGTAGGCGACGCAGTGCATGTAGGTGACGCAGTGCATGTAGGCGAGGCTTCGGGGCTCGGGAGTCCTGAAGCCTGCGGCTTGCACACAGCGTCTGCAGGCAGCTTTCCGGCGATCCGGTCGCGCAGCAGCTTCTGCTCTCTCAGCTGCTTGATCCGCTGCGCGACCTCGTTCTCCTCCTGCTCCAGCTCATGGAGCAGCCGCCGCTTGCGCTCCTCGTCCGGGTCCGGGTGCGCGGGCGCGGGCGTGGGCGTGGGCGCGGGCGTGGGCGGCTGCACCGGCGTGACTGCAATGGTCCGGGGCCGGTCGGGGTCCTTGGCCCTGTCCCTGCTCTTCCTGCGCTTCTTGGTCGGGCTGGCGTGGCGCAGCGACGAGCCGCGGTCGGGGACCAGGCCCTGCTCGATGAGGCCGTCGCCGCGCGGTCCGTCGACCAGGTTCATGCGGATGCGGCGCGCGGGGCTCGCGTTCCTGCTCTGGTAGCGGTGGGCGAAGCGCGACGACTCGACGAGGGGGTCGTGCTCGTGTGCGGCGGGTGGCTCATGCTTGTGTGCGGTGGGTGGCTCATATTTGTGTGCGGCGGGTGGCTCATATTTGTGTGTGGTGAGTGGCTCATGTTCGGGTCTGGTGGGTGGCTCGCGTTCGGGTCTGGCGGGTGGCTCATGTTCGTCTCTGGCGACGGACTCGTGTCCGTCTCTGGTGAGGGACTCGTGCCCGTCTCTGGTAAAGGGCTCCTCGCTAATCGTGTCCTCGAACGGGGCGAGCGGCGGGACAGCATCGTCGGCCCGCCTGCGGACATCGTTTTCCTTGTCCCTCAGCCTCAACCGCTCGCGCGAGCCCATGTACAGCAGACTGCGCGGGCGCCTGAGCTCAGCCGACGAGCGGCGGCTAGCGACGGGCGAGGCAACGGGCACGCCGGCCTCGATGCTGATGGCCCCGAAGCTGGGCGACGAGCGGTGCGAGCGACACGAGTGGATGCTGGCGGCGGCGACGGCGGCGGCGGCGGCGGCGGGCGGCTTGTCTCTGCGCGGCTTGGGCGCGGCCGTCAGGGGCGACAGGCCCGAGGGCGGCTTCGAGGTGCGGATCACGGGCGGCTCGCAGGCGTCGTCGGGGAAGAGGGCGTTCTGGTCGCGCACGGCGCTCGCATGTCGGCTGCTGCGCGACGCGGCGGGACTGGCGCTGCGGCTCGCGCTGCGGCTCGCGCTGGCGGACAGCGGCAGGCTCTCAAAGTGGCTCTGGGTCGAGGCCGAGATGGCGGACAGCTGGTCGATCAGCGACGAGATGACCTCGGGGCTCGCGGCCTGGCTGCGGACGTGGTTGGCGCTGCGGACGTGGTTGGCGCTGCGGGCGTGGTGGTCGGGGGAGCGCTTCTTGGGCGCGCGGCTGCCCGTGTCGACCGTCATGGTCGCCTGCGCGGCCGAGGGCAGGCTGGAGTGGCGGCGCGCGCGCAGAGTCGGCGTCGGCTGGCCGTCGGCGGCCCTCGAGTGCGAGTACGTCGCGCGCGCGGCCGCCAGCTGGCTGCTGAGGGCGTCCATGGTTCGGGTTCGCGGTGGTGTCGGGCCCCGTGTGAGCGCGCCGTGAGCCCGTGTGCCGACATGCGCTGCGTCGCTCGAGGCAAACGTCGTGCAGTGCAGCGTGAACTGGAGCAGAGAAGGGGTCTCGACTAACATTGATCCCACTCAATTACATACCCACACACATGCATGTGCACATACCCACATACCCACATACGCGCATACCCACATACATACATACACACACACACACACATACATACACACACACACACACACACACATACATACATACACACATAGGGGGCCGTCGCGCGCAGACGCCTCCGCCCACGCACAGACTGGATCAAGACAAGCGCGCCGCAGAAACTCGGTACCCAGTCCCTCGTCTGGCGGCCCATCTGCAAGTCCCGGGTCCATCCTTGCGCGCCGCTTTCCGCCCGCCGCGGCCGGCCGCGTCAGTCGGTTGCGCGCCAGGCTCGCTGCAAGGGGCGCGGAGAATAACGCGGGACCTGGCCTGCGACGCGCGCATGGGCGTGGTTGAGCGGTGCTGAGCGGTGCTGAGTGGTGTCGGCCTTGGGCGTGTCGCTCGGGCGCCAAGAACAAGAGATCAACGCGGCTGGCTGTGTCTGGACGGGGGTCTGAGATTGGCTGGACTTGGAACTGGGACTGGCTGAACTGGGACTGGGACTGGCTGGACTCGGAACTGGGACTGGCTGGACTTGGATCTAAGATTGGCTGGACTTGGAACTGAGACTGGCTGAACTTGCATCTAAGACTGGCTGGACTTGGAACTGAGACTGGCTGCTGGCTACAACTCGCGCGCCGCTTTCCTGAGCGCCGCCTGCATCAGGCTCGCCTGAGCTTCCTCCTCCGTCCTGGGTCGCCCCTTGCGGTCGACGCGCTGGTCGCGCGGGTCGAACCCTTTGTTGCCCCAGAGCGCCCACTCGGGCGTGTCCGGGCCGATGTAGTCCTCGGGCCGCCAGCCCACCACCTTGCCGTCCTGCAGCCGCGAGCCCTGCACCGCGCCCTCGCTCAGCGCGAAGAAGCGCTCAAAGTCGATCCGCGTCGCCCACCTGCCGTCGCGCTTGAACCGGTTGCCGTCGGCGAGCAGGATGCAGCACGAGTGCGCGTGCTCGGCGGCGATGCCGTACGCCAGCCCGCGAGAGGCGAGCTCGGTCTCGAGCAGCTGCACAAACGCCGCTACTTCCTCGTAGAATGGCACGTTCTGCATCGTCAGCCCCGCCGAGCCCGCCGCGCTGGTCCCGCAGTACGTCACCCCCTTGACCTCGACGAAGCACGGGAGCGCCCGCTCCACCAGGTCCGCGTAGCCCTGGACCTCCTCCTCCATGTTGAATCCCTTGACCAGCGTCAGCCGGAACACGGTGCGCTGCTCGAACCGCCGGGCCCGCAGCACGTCGAGACAGGCGCAGAACCGCTCCCAGAAGTCGCGGTGCAGCGGCCGATCGACCTTGCGCAGCGACTCTTTGTTCGATGCGTCAATGGACACGTACAGCTGCGTCACGGGGATCAGCGACGCCAGCTGTGCGGGGTGCTGTGCGTTGCACACCATAAACGTCGAGATGCGCTGCTCGTGCATGATGCGCAGCAGCTCGTTGATGTGCGGGTAGAAAATGGGCTCGCCGACTAGCGAAAGCGCGCAGTGCCGGATGCGCATGGCCTCTGCGAACCGCTCCGCGCGCACGCCGGGCACGCCCTTCATCATCTTGATCTTCTTGTAGTGCGCCGCCGTGATTCCGTCGAAGATGACATCGGGCGCATCCGTCACCCATCGCCACGTCGTGCCCACGGGATTGGTGCCGTGCCGCCAGCAGAAGACGCACTTGTTCGAGCACGACAGCGATGGCGTCGCCTCCATGCAGAGGTGCGATGCGATGCCGTAGAACGAGTACTTGTAGCATGACCCGCGGCCTCGGAGTGCCGACTTGGTCCACCGGCAGATCTTCACCCCACTGTGGCTGCCGATGATCGAGTATCCTTGCTTCGTAAGCGCGGCGTGGGTGGGAGATGTGATGGGGACCATCTGCTTCGGCGCCGCGGGAGCGTTGACCCTAGGCTTTCCCTTGTAATTCGTAAAGTCGACGGGGATCGGTGCCGCTGCTCCATCAGCCATGCCGCCCAGATCCTCAACGTCGTCCACCCGCCGCGTCTCCTCGCCGCTGTCGCCATCGTCCACACCCTCCTCGTCGCTCTCGACGGCGTCGCCGCTGCCGAGCACACCCTCGCCCAGCCCTCGACCCTCGGCAATCTCCACGAGCGCTTCTTGCACCCCGACACGCCACTCAGTCAGACGGTCCTCGGCATCGCTCTTGACGTCTCCCATGCCCAGCGGGTATGCTCTCTTCCTGCCCGTGAGCCTTGCCATCCACTTGTCGACCTGCTTGGCCTGTGTGCAGAAGCCCTCCTCTTCCGACGGCCATCCCTCCTTGTCTCCAAAGCCAAACACCGAGTACCCCAACAGTCCGCTCAACGATGCCGTGTCAATCCTGAAGTCGTTGTGGGTTTCGCTCAGGTTCTCGATGAAAGCGTCCAGCAGCGTGTCTATGTTGTACGTCGGCGCGAGGATCAGGTAGAAGTGCTTCGTGTTCGCCTCGGCTTTTGGCGCACTGATAAAGTAGTCGTCGTAGTCCACCTCCGAGAGATCGAGGAGCTGCGGCGCGAGCAACGACGCAGCCTGGTCGCAGCCAGCCGTCCACGCAGTCAACAGCTCTGCGACCCGCTTAGCACGTCTCTCGGTGCTGCCCGTGACCGACTGGAAGAAGATCAGAGGCTGGATCTTGTCCGTGGTGTGGTCGTAATCGACGACGGGCTTTGCAATCTTCTTCGGCGTCTTCCGTCCCTTGACCGTCTTGGGTCCTCTCTTCGCTTTAGGAAATACTGCTACCGCGCTCGCATCGTCCTCGGCATGCTTCTCGGCGCTGAGCGCACGCGGTACGACAGTCGTGTTCTCAGGGAGCCACTCGGGCCTGAGCTCGACCGTCTTCTCCTGCACACCCGCAGCGGGCGCCGGTGAACCACGCCCTTCCTCCTGAGCATCTCTAGACTGTCTCGTGAACCGCACAACCAACGCGAGACCAACTCCAACCGCGATAATCAACGCCCGGTGCGTGTGCCAGATCGAGAGCAGCTCTGCGACACGGCATTAGCACGGCGATGGACGCATGCAACGAGGACTCACCAGCGAAGAGCTGCTCTGGGCTCGTTGGAGGCGTCATGGCTAAGTGTAGGGAGGTGCGAGATGGCTCGCGAACTTTTGGCGGCGCGTGGGGTGCTACCTAAGCGGGGTTCAACGGCGGAGCTGTGATTGGCCGGCGCTTTGCTTGCTCCCTTCGCTTGCTTGTTCGCACCGCCAGTCTTCAATGCAGACCGGTCTTGAGCCTTCAGTCACGCAGTCGCGATTGGGTTCCACTGACAGTCATGCATGCAATTATCAAATTCAAATCTACAAGAGCAGGACCATCTCAGCCAAACCCCCGCCGCGCGCTGCTTCCTGAAATACTCGTCACAAACATGGCACCATACAGAACATATCCCCAGAAGCCACTCGTACCAGCCCCGTCATTCGAGAGCAAGAAAAAGAGCCGAGACGCCCAAAATCAAAGTGCCAAAGACGCGAAATGCATCGCTCAGCTTGTGTTGTGCCAATAATCCGTTCAAGGAGCCTGAAAGAAGAAACAACATCGCCATGGAAAGGGTGAGAAGTGGAGATTGAGCTTCCTTGTTGCGGAAGCCGGGTGGAAGACGTGCTGCCAAACACCAGTCTCAATGAAATCGACGTGCATGCCGTGTCGTAGAAAGAGTGAGGAAACAGACCTGAGCTCCCCCTAGTGACCACACACCCGACACGGGTAAGGCAGCGAGTGAGCATAGCACCACCCAACCCAAGCACCGCCCATCCACGCATATCCCAGACCGCATCCTGCCGCCCCGTGCACACCACCAAACACCGACATCTGTCCCCGCGCGCTCACCATCCCCAGCGCGCGCTGCTGCACATTCAACAGCGTCGTCACACTCGTCGCCCACACGCCCAGCATGCCCTCGAAATCGTCCTCGCCGACATCGCCGGCGCGCACGAGAAACGCGTTGGCGGATTCTTGGTGCAGCGTGCGCAGATTCAGCAGCTGGGTGACTGCTTCCGTGCGTCGCGCGAGGAGGTACGTGTTGTGAGCTTCCAGGGCGGAGATGCGCGCTTGCGTCTCCGAAGAGCAAGAGTGGGAGAGGGAGGCTTTGAGCAGGCTGTTCTCGTGCTCTAGTGCGCTGATTCGGTGGGCTTGCGAAAGCTGGGTTTCGCGGAGCAAGCGGATTTGTGCGCTGAAGCCCATTGGGATCGCCGCGGGCGTGGTATGTTGTGGGGGAGGTGGTGGGTCGGACATGGCGAGATTGAAGTATAAGTTTGGTGAGTTGGTAGACGAGAAGGGCGAGATGCGTTGCTGGTGGGTAAGAAGCGTGGATGGTTGGCCAAAGGAGTGTAAGTTTTTGGCAGCAAAAGGATCAGCAGTGTGTTGAGATAGAACTTCACCATTGATCCTAATCAGCCGTGGCCTTAGCAGCCACGTGGGCAGCAAACGGGGTGTGTGAAGCTTGGTAGGCGTGCAAGATACGCAGTGAAAGTGAGCTCACGCTGAATCTGAACACGACGTCACGCTCCTGGACCGCCTTCAGCCGCCAGGAGCCTGGGAATGGACTTGCCCCGCGGAAAGAACTGTGTCAAATGCTGTTGTCAGGCGTGCTGCTCTGCTTAATTCGAGCACTGGATAGAATCGTGGTCAGACATTGTGGCATCCGCCGACACTATGGCTCGTCAAGTGGACGCACAACACCATACGGGCAGGTTGGAATGGTCATGTCAATTTCCGAGCCCTTGATCTACACGCTAAAATCGCAGCAAAATGTCATCAGATATTCAGGCGTCCTTCTCAGCACTATCCAACAGCCTCTTCAGGATGGTCGCCGTGCTCCTCATACCCTTGAGCGCATTCTCGTCGGGTCCCTGCCCAGGCGTAAAAGTTGCGTGTGCAAAGTCGATCATCTTGACCGCTGCCAGCTTCGGCACAGCCTCGTCTTCATCCTCGTCTTCCTCGGACTCGGGCCGTGCAGACCTTAGTACCTTCTTTGTGTTCTCGTACTCCTCGACGTCGCCTTCGTACACGAGCAGGATACTCGCGCTGTACATCCTGCTCTCCTTGGCCTCGAACGCTTCTTGGATGTCCTTGACCTCGCCAAGGAAGTACGCAAGCACCTCTCTCGCCCGCGCTTTCTCGGCCTCGGTGCCCTGAGGGAAGAAGGCTTTGAACCCTTCATCGATGCCCTCGGCGCTGAACTTGCGCCCGTACATCTTGTTGTACACCCAGTAACCGCTCTCTTTGTCCTGCTCAACATACTGCGCCAGGTCCTCCGGAACCTCCGGTGGAGCCGCGCCCAGCCACGTCCGCATACCCGCTATCCTGAATCCCAGGCTTCCGCTTGTGGTCTCGGCACTGACTTTGTCGAGGCGCGCGCGTTTGTCAGGCTTTGCATCGTCGTCCCATAGCTGTGCGCCGAGCTTCAGGTCCAGCACGTTAGGCTTCTTAAACCCGTGTGTGATGTTCTCAAGAACAACGTGCAGGTCTGTGGCTAGCTTTTTGCCGTGCAGACGCTCGGTCGTGCCGTCGGCGGTCTCAATGATGCCCGTGTCTTCGGAGGCATCGGCTGGGGAGTCGAGGGACAGCTGGCCCAGGAAGATGGGGAGGTGAGGGAGGAGATCCGAGTGCGAGGAGACTACAGTCTCGTAGAAGCCGATCTCGGCCGCCGTGCATGGCTTGACGACGACCGCGCCAGACTCATCGCTGAGGACGCCGTCACTTGAAGTCGATCAGTATGGGTGAGGCCGAGTAGCTTCAGCGTGCTTACTGGCCGGCTGCTGCGTTGCCAAACGCCTGCAGCTTGGAGGAGTCGAAGGGCTTGGCTGCCATTTTGTATGTGATTTATCAAGATTCGAGGTATGGCTGTGTAAGCTGGCTGTGTCCTTGTGGCTGATGTTGAGGACGGCGAGGACCCCGCGATGCAACGGCCAGGGTCCACGAGTCCGAGTGGGCTGATGACGAAAGAGAAGCGAATCAGGCGTGTCATCACGCTCGGCTTATGCAGGGCTCTTCTTCTACACCTGCAATCATTATCTGTCATGATGTGTATTCCGCAAGCACAATGTCCCTCTTGATAGAGGCTTTCGTTGCCAGGCTAGAAAAGGATGTGCACTCTGCGAAATCACAGAGGACCCCCAGAGCTGGTGCCGTGAATATGGTAGGACTGCAGTCGCTCGAGGAACAGCGAAGTGTGTTGCATGATCTCATGTCGAATGCTCAAGGTAAGGTGAAAAGTCAAGGTAACTACCGATTTGATACCGCAGATTGGTTTCTCACCTGCAGCTCTGCGAAGGCGGGTATCTACCGTGACTGTTTGCTCTCTCACGCACCTCAATGAAAACATTCCTGCTTACATCCTCTTGCCTTTACAATCATCTCTCTAGCTCTCGACTTCTCTACAGCGAGTGCCAACATCGACCATGTCAACAGAAGAGCCCGAAAGCTTCAATTCAGCCCCGGAGCTGCTGGCGCAGGCAAAGGCAAAGGCCGTAGCTGCTCAAGATGATCACCCAGAAGGCGACGCCATCCGCAGACAGGTAGGTTCACATCTGTGGATCAAGAGACCGCACGGAACTGACATGCACGAGGTGGAATTCTACTTCTCCGACGAAAACCTGCCTGTCGATCTCCATCTTCTGCAGCAATGTGGAGGACGCGAGAATATTCCAGTATCCATCAGTCGCATCTGCAGCTTCAAGAAGATGAGGTCCTACAAGCCCAAGCTTCTTGTCATTGCTGCGCTGCGCAAGAGCACATTTCTCGAGGTGTCCGCCGATGGAAAGACGATTAAGCGCAAGATCCCTTTGCAAGGCAAGACGGCCCTCGACAAGGACTTCCTCGAGGAGGAAGATGAGATCGCTTTCGATCCTCGCACCCGCAAGCCCGCTGTGTACCCAGTTCCACTACAGCCGCAACAGAAGAAGGTCTATCCGCGAGGCACCTCGAAGAACATGCAGAAACCAACTGGCTTCGAGGACACATATGTCGAGCCACCTGTCACGCCAGCGGAAGCTGAAGAAGAGGACAGGATGTATGACGAGGACAGGCCGTTCGTCGAGCGCATTGAGATTGCCCTCCAGCGCTTCAAGCAAAAGCGGCGCATGCACGAGATGTACGCCAAGGTCTTTAACAAGCTGATGCGCTACGGCGGTGTTGAGTGCGGTCCTCGTATGTACCAAGGCCTGTCGCAGACAGAAATGAAAGAGATGGATGCAGAGGAGATTGCGCGAGCTATGGCGGTTCACAACGTTCCTTGGGATCGTGCGGATGAGAAGCAGTGGGCTGTGGACTTCGTCGGAGTCGGGTCTGCCTTCCTGTAAGCTGCATCATCCCCATGTGTCTTTCTGAGAGTTATGCTAACAGCCGCAGCTCATCCTGGTACCCTGCACATTATGGCTATGCCCCTGGTGGCATCAAGACTGCTTGCCAGGTCCTTCGCTCATTCTACAACTACCTCCGGTACCACCGTGTCTGCCCAGAGTTCGACGACCAGCTTCAAGCGGTTCTCAAAATGTGCGATCTCGCGGAGCGTGAGCTCGTCAAGGTCGACGCAGCCGGTCTTACTCTCCCTGGCGATTTCAACACGTCGGCGAGTACCCTGTTCGGTGGAGTGCATGCTGGGCTGTTTGCTGGCGACAAGTCGTGGTTCCAGGAAGCTAAGAACGAGGGCGTCAGTGTCAACGAGATGGGCCTGCGTGAGCAAGAGGCACGGGTCAAGTTCAGTACAGGCATTGCGGCTTTGGGAACAGACGAGCAGCAGGATGCCATCGGCGCCACGGACCTCAAGATTGTCAAGAGAGAGTCGACCGGTCTGGAAGTGACGGCCATCGACTTGCCGGACGACATCACAAGGGAATTCTACGACGCACAGACTGAGATCGTGAGGAACAAGCTCGGCCGCCTTGAACCACTCGGCAAGCTCGTCTGCAAGGTCTGGTATGCGGATGACTGCGACGAGTGGGACCTTCCCAGGGACAAGTATCCGAACGGAAGGCCGCACAAGCTGGACCAGGGCAGGGAGTTCGAGTTCTGGGCGGAAGAGCACGTCCTCAACGCGTGCTTCATCGGCATGAAGATGGATGCCAGTGTTGTCACTCTCGAGGGTGGCATCGTTGTTCTGGATGATGTCAAGCAGACGCATTGCAGCTTCTATTCTTGGCTCCCGAACGAGTTCTGGATGGACAACAAGCCGAAGGCGGTGCGTTGGCTGGCGAAGGGTCTGCCCGATTACGAAGAGAACATTGAGATTAGCGGGTCCCAGAAGGACGATCAGGACAAGACCCAAGAAGACAAGGAGTTTGATGACGATTAAGTTCCCGGCAAGCTAGCATATACTACGAAAGGCTACGCATTGGTACGGGGAGTATGCTTGGGGTGAAACAGGGGATTTGGATGGACCTCCGAATCTGCCCGTGGAGTGCCTGAGATCTCAGACGCTGCTGCTCGGCGGACTCCTGCTCTTTAATGCCGACTGCAAGTAAATGAAGAAATACAAGTGATGGTATTGTTCATTTGACGATCCACAAGGAGGCTGAAGACAGGAAGTGGCTTACGCCAAACAAGAGTGGTTTAGCTCCCGAGAGATTCATCCGAAGATCGACGTCTGTAGCAGATGCAAGAACCTCTGCCCGGGCAACCTTCCAAGTGCAACACACCGCACCAACTCTCCAAACGCTTGACTGCAGGGGTCGCATGGTAAGACTGATGCCTTCCCGCCCCTGTCTGCGTCCTTTGTAGCTGCTCGGATGCAGCCTCCCGCTCGCTCACCGTTACAATGCCTTTCACAACGGCAACTCCAAAGCCGCGCAGATCCCCGTGACATCAAGTAGACGCCAATATTGCTGAGCGAGCACCCTAGGTGTTTGGCCGCTCTTGGCACCATAGTGGAGTTGAGGCTCCCAACGAATCGCATCTCAGAAGGAGACGAGACGACGATCCTCCGCTGACTCCGCCATTTCTCCTTCCTCATGGCCAGCGGTAGGTATCTGCACGGCCTGCTGCCAAGGCTGGCACGGAGCGCGCCAGCTGCAAGGCAGAGCGTTGTTTGACCCCGACAAGCCTGGGCGCCCAGGCGCCGCGCCACACGTGCTGGCGACCTTGGGCACAGGTCCGCCTGTGTTCTAAATTGCAGTCACAATGGCGCTGAATTGGAAGGTGTATCAAGCACAGCAAGCCACAGGCGCATGTCTGTTGTGTTTCCCCTTGATTGCATTGCAGGCGCAGCAGAATCTGCGACCCAAATTTGCTTGGGGAACCTTGAACGCTCGCCGTTACTCACGGTCGTTTGGCGTCCGTCCGCTTGCCAAGTCTTGCCCTCCAGCTCAGAAGACATGATGCCGCCAGGACCCTTCGCCTTTTCTTAGCCATGCTGTTGCGGGTCCCTTGGTCTTCCTCTCAGCCCTCTTACAAAACTACGCTGCCGCCGTCGCACAACCTGAGCCGTTTACGGTTCTGGCCATGAGCGCGACGGAGTCGACATCCACTGCGGCAAAGCACATTCAGCACGCAAAGATATAGCGGAACGATGACTGGGATACACGGAAGCATGTTTGCGCTTCTAGATCCCCGCGCTGCGGACTTGCCGAAACGGGCGGCTGCCGGGCATAGTGAGTTGACCTCAACCTCGATGACATTCCCATGTTGGGGTATGCTCTTGCAACACAGCTAACATCATAGATCCCACCCATCACTTCCTCAATCCATACATCTACGACCCATCAGTCCCCCTCGCCAGTGTCGGCGCCACACTAGTCGTCCTGATCTCCATCCTGTCCCTCTACCAGTATGTTCGACACCAGGCATGGTTCTTCTGGGCAGCCATCATCGCCATTGTAATGCTCATGCTCGGCCACATCTGCCGACTTGTATCCTCTCTCGACGAGTTGAAGGACATCCCCTTTCTCGTCTCCTGGCTCATGATCTTGCTCGCCCCCTCCTTCCTGGCCGCCGCATGCTACACTGCCTTCTCGCGTGTTGTGTGGTTCTCGTGTCCGACTTACGCTCTCAACTTCAAAACACTGTGGTGCTTCCCCAGATGGATCACGACGACCTTCGTAATCTTCGACCTATTTTCTTTCCTCATCCAGCTCGTAGGCGCCAGCCAGATCAGCCGTCATTATGACCATGACGCATCGCCGTCCCGCTCGATCGAGGAAGCAGAGCGCAAGGTACTAGCCGGACGCGTCATCCTGATCCTCGGCCTGGTCTTGCAGATGCTCTGCTTCCTCTCCTTCTCCGTCATCAGTGTTCGCTACTTCGTCATCTCCCAACACTGGCGCGCTTTTGACCTCGGCGACATGAAGATCTGGCGCAAGCTCAGCTACACTATTAACTTCTCCTCCGTTCTGATTGCTATACGCGCCGTCTACCGTACCATGGAGATCCCGCACGATAAGGATTACGGACTCATCTACCTGCAGAGCCATGAGTGGTGCTTCTGGACGTTTGATGCGCTGCCAATCTTCGCGGTACTAGTTGTGTTTGCGGTGTGGCACCCTGGAAGGTACTTGCCGAGGAGCTACACAGGGCTGAAGCTAGACAAGGTCAGGGCGATGAAAGAGAAGGACGAGATCAGTAGTATGGCAGGTGTGCAGTCTGAGGCGGAGCTGAAAGACTTCAAGCCCGAGGACTTCCAAGCTCAGAGACCTCAAGAACAGGTCTGAAGGGCACTCCAAACAGGCCCTACGACGAACAGGGCATGTGAGCATTGGCCACGATCGAGTTGGCGTTCTGTGTATTCGGATTATGTTTGATACCATGCATCTAGCGAACTGGCGTTATGGGTTTAGACCAGGAATACCCCCCTTGTATGTCAGTACCATCATCGTCAAATGAACAGTGTTTGACGCTTACCTTCACCCTGATTATTACCTGGTGCCTCAGCCCTGTGGCTTTCGTACTCATACTTGCGGTCCCTAATTCTCACAACCCTCACGACACTGCCAATCCCTGCTGAGTCCGCACTGGCGCTGTTGTTCTGCCCAACTTTTTCCAGAGCGCTCTGCTGCTCCCAATTGTACAAATTTCGCACAGCGAAAGGCACTCGATTTGCATTTCCATCGCGGAATACGCTTTGCAAATGTTCCCAGTGGAATTTCGACTCATCACAGATCTGAGCCAGTACGAATTCGAACTGCGCGATGCTTTGATGATCGCGAAAGATGCCGACAGCATAGCTGTGCTCGAACTCGCCGGCGGAGGCGGCGCGAGTGACTGGACAGCAGCATGTCTCCATGAGAACGACGAGATGTATGTTTATGGAGTGCGTGAGTGGTCCTTCGGCCCAGCGAATTTCTTAGAGTGTCACAATGTCGACATGTCGGAGCTGAACGAGCCATTTTGCTATATCGCAGCCAATCTTGCACTTCCTCTCATCGCGCCAGAGAGGCTCAAGCAAGAGCTCTGGAGACCTACACTGCGGATTTGAATTGTGTACCTCTTCAGCGATGAAACCATTAATGTCGAATGGGGTCGTCGCGGAGTCAAGGCGGAAATTGAGAGTTTGTGCGTGCATATACATTGCGCCAGGAATGCTGAGGATGTAAGAGCGTTAGCTGCAGCACAAGACTAACAGAATAGAACGTTCGGAATCGTTCCAGGACAAGATGATACAGAGGTAAAAACTATAGCACATAATTTAGTTGTCGTTATGGCACATATCTAGCAAACACCGATTGTCTTAGATTTCGTTATTTAGTGACTACACATGAGGAGATGAAGACATGGGACGGCACAAGAAGCTCAGTAAAGATGCCTGGATGGTACATGAAGAGAGAACAGAGCTGCGCTTACACCACTGCAAAAGTAGCAACGAAGTCGGAAACGCATATCCAAGATCTATGTCCCGCTTTCAAGCTGTTCTGTCCCGCTGATTCGGCGTTCGCTTCTAGCGCCATAGGTGATGGCAGATTGCCACAGTCTGCGACAGACTGCAATTCACTGCAACACCAACCTTTTCGCCAAGCCCACCACATGAGATGAGGTATGTGGAGTCAACCTAGATCCAAAAAGGAAAGTCCCTCGCTTGACTGAGAATACATCCACTTCCATACGCACCCTGTCTGTCACCACTACAGCGTCCTCCACTGGCCTTCTTGCCAGGTAATTCAGCATCCCACCGCTGATGGATCGAAGAAGCAGTTACACGAACTTGCCAGCTACTTTCGAGCCTCCCCTCGCGTCGTTCGACATAACCTCAAAAGCCCTTCGCTCATCACAAATGTCACGCTAAGTGCGCAGGCCCAGTTCTCCCATGTATTCACAGTTTTTTCTGACACGATCGTTGCCGATTCAAGTCTTTGTATTTCCAGGGTCAATTCCTCAAGGCAGACGTGCGGCGACGAACAGCTGATCGACACGAATCAAGTGTTGGAGACAGAGAATGAGGATCCTGTGGAACAGCTTGCAGTCGAGTCGAAGATAGCTGAAGAAGCAGAGGCGAAGCTAAAAGAAGCTAAAGCGGAAGCTAAAAGGGCGAAGATAGGGGTGCAAGAATGGAAATAGAAGTACGAGCAGCTACATGAATGACATGGAAGACGGGAGGAGGAACTGTTTGGACCTTAGCGCCAGTTATGCAATCCACTCGAAAGCATCTATTAATACTCACTTTCGCACATTACAAGTACAAAAATGTAGCCATGGCAATAGAGAAGGAAAGGCAGTCTTAGCGCTCGACGAGATCGATGGAGCGGCTTGGCATGGTACGCAATAGAACAGAGCATTCTCAGTAGACGGCGACACAAATTCTGGTCCCTTTCGCAGATCCGTACCTGTAGCTTAGAATTCCCGTTCTGACTGCAGCGTAGTTAGGAAACGCGTCTAACCGTGTGCTCTTGGTTGCGTGAGCGCATTCGAGCCACCCTCCGTGAGTGACTGGCATTGAACTACCCGGCCTCAGATTCGAAGCTGTCTAGCTTCAAGCCTTTTAGATTTTTCATGCCTACTAAATGAGTAGCAGTCTCCACTATTGTTCCTGGGCTGCGTCTTCGGCCACTGTCCACCCAGTTTGGCTGTGCTAGCTTATGTAGCGCTAGCGTTTAAGATTACACTGCTTCTAAGCACGCAAGCCGCCTTCACTGCAGTTTCAACATACACTACTGCCTCGCACATTTTTAAGAGTGTGACTCTCCTAGCGTTGGCTGTACGCCCACTTACCTTCTCATCTCTAATATCTCTCTGCCGCTACGCACAGGTCTCTAACCACTGGTAAGCCAGGCTTGTGTACAAGACCCTCTACACGCCCAGTGTTTGACACAAGACAGTATCTCGCCATCGCTGCACCTTCTGAGTCAGCACATAGCACTTAGTAGCTACAGCCACCAACGGCCCTCTTCTCGCCTACCTCACGAAGCACGCGCAAGAACAGTTTCCTGATTATTTCGAGCTTGTATCTGACCCCAACCATTATATCTTCAAGATATAGACAGTTGGAGATGGTTCAGCGGCTAAGATGGTCCGCATTGGTCGATACGACATCACAACAAGAAAAGTCGGAAGCCCCTCTGGAAGCCAAACATACAGGGCGCAAGCAGGCTAGGGCCAAGCTTGAGAGCCTCGTCGTGTTTGCCTTCATCTTTACAGGCCGAGATCCTTCGATTGCTAATAAGAGCAACGCCAACGTGCTGCAGGAGCTTGAAGACCTCTGCTCGAGCCTGCTCAGAAACAGGAATAATGAGCGAAGGCGCACAGCAAAGCGAATTGCTAACGATGAAGACGATGAAGACGACGACGAACACCAGATCGGGCAGTCTGTGCAAGCACAGCCGCATGTTCCTCAGCACGAGTTTCGATGCGGAACAAGCGGTCCGTCCATAAGACGGAGGGTGTCACGAACGAACGAAGTAACCGCAGTACAAACACAAGCCCTACTTGTTTGTACATTGGCTGACACTATCAACAGACATCCGCAACCGCATAACAGACATGAGTGAGTCGCCTCATCGTAACCGCTCCAAGGAGGACTCGGCCGCAACTCAGCCCGTCCATCGGTCTGTAAGTTCTCAGAACATCTACGACAACCTTTTAGAGTCGATCATAGCTCCAGAGCGGTGACAGTAGGGCAAAGAGAAGTTGGCCTTTCAGCAGCAAATCGATGCGCTCCAAGCCCAACTCGTCGACGGGAACAGCAGAGGTCTCGTGCGGCCCATGAATGTACGGAGAAGTACCAGCGCTTGAGAGAAACGTTGAGTAGTATATCTGAGGAGGAGGAAAGACATCGTGTATTAACGGACTGAGCGCTGGATGAGCACGCGGTCAGTATGATGGCTGTTTGGAGGGTCGTTAATGCAGTCGCGAGGTCGACCTCTTCGTCAAAACTGTCGTCGACCGTGTCTAATTTGTGGTGTGATCGCGAGAAGGCTGGAAAATCCAACTGGCAGCAAGTTACTTGAAGATGGGAGAGAGCACACAGTGTATGTGATGGAATTAATCATGATGTTCGAAAGGCGACTACAGATGACGTCGCCGAAATTGAAGCCGAGGTCCCCCATATCTTCACGATCGCGGTCCGCTCATAACGATAGTAAGGTAACTTGGTGTGAGCTTAATCAGACATCGCACAAGCTCACTACGATGCTGCCCTCCTTACAGCCTTCTAGGCCAAAGGTGATGAACAGGCCTGATAGGGTACGCGCTGGACCTAACAATCTCGCAGGTATCACAGCAACCCTTCCAGCCAAACCACCAGCAGCGCCGCACGACCCACGAGCTTTCGCAACAACCGCAGCCGCATCACCAACCCACATTCAGTTCACCAAGTACCTCAAGACCGCGATCACAGATCGAAGCCATGCCGCCCGTCCGTACATCACTGTCTTCCCCTCCACAGAGCTTTTACGATGCTGCTACACGACATCCAGTCTTCTTCACCAACAATCTGAGGAAACCGCCGTTTCCCATTCCGCAAATACCGAGCCACGGCTGGAGTCCGGTGGCGAACGGATATATACAGGAGAGAGAAAGAACCCAAGGAGGATCCGGGACGAAGCTGTGAGCTAGAGATGCAGATGTGCCTATAGTCCGAAGAGCCCATCTACACACTAAGCAGACTGCCGTGCTAAGAAAAAGCTACAGGAAGCCTATCAAGTGGTAGGATTCTGGAGTAGACGAGCCTTCGCGGCGTCGGTGGTGTCCGCCTACACACTAGTGCTCATGTTAGATCTCGAGGCTTTCTGCTCTGCAGTCGCCAGGTGTTCACACGGCGGTTGAGCCACCACTTGCAAGTCAAAAGGCTGCATTTCACGAATCGGAGAATACATCGATCCGTTCAATGTCACTATGACGCCCAGATGGTACGTGCTTCTTATGCACGATACACGGCGACGTGTCTCCTGTATTCTTGGTCGAAGGCTTGCAGTGATTTGCTTGTATTCAAGGACAGGAGGAATGGTTCGATAGTTTCAAGCAGGGACTTGCGTATCTTTTGTTTTCATTGTGCAATTAGCTATCATGATCTTACAACTTTCACTTCTCCCCTTCTCGACGCTGCTTAAGCATGACAAGAGACTGAGCGGATGCGGACTGATAACAAATGACCGCTGCAGCAAGCAAGCTGGTCGAAAACTTGGAGATCCCGGCTGAGAAGCTAGCACGCTTTGAATCTGGAAGATGGATGTTAGTAGTGAGAGTGCGACTGAAGCTGACAGGATTGCGCGATTGCACTCTTGCACAGGCTGCGCTCGAAGCTCAGGCTCATATCGTGTCTTATCGACTGATTTTGCTAGCTCACTCTGAGCTTGATCTCGTCTTGTCCTGCAATGCCCGTCTTCGCCCACAATGTGCACCTGTGCACAGACACCCGTGGACCTTTGAACATCGTCAACAAAAATACGACTGTAGTCTATGACCCTTGAAAGGACGCCAAGTACCAGATATGCTCTATTTGTAGCTATCTTAGCTATCAGGAGCTTACCGGTACGTAATTACACTAAGTGCGCACGCGGCGTACTTTTATCGCCCCAAAAGCCACGTGTCTTGCCTTGCAGACACGTGTTACTGCCGTGTAACCTCAAAATCGTATGACCTCAAAAATTGATAGCCCATCCATCCCATTCGTTGGGATGGCAGTACTCATCTCGTATTGGAGGATGATTCCAGGCACCGAACAAACGTGCAGCTCTGCACTGCTAGTAACAAGAGTGGTCAGATGCCGTGATTAGTAGATACCGAGTCCCTCGATTTCAGGTCCTTATAAGAGACGACACAAAGTTGTGTATTCATCATTCGTGTACCGATGAACCATGGCTCAGAAAAATTTGGGCGCAGCTGTGCTACAGATCGTCTGGTTTCTGGCACCGGCCGCTCGTTTTGTGCCCTTGGCCCTCCTAGCCCTTGCCGTTTTCAAGTGCACACGCTCCGGTAACATCCTCCCTGGAGTGCCCAAACTCGCAGGACTTCCATTCATAGGGGTACTCCTACTGTCGATGAGACGTGGAGTGTCTGAGATACTTGTTCAACTACAAAACATTGCTACTGATGGCATCTCATACGCGAGCATGGCTGGTAGTGCTCTGGTGTTTGTCCACGATCCAGCATTGATAAGGCAGCTGTTGATGATGCCCGAAGAGAGTTTGTCGAGGTATGAAGTTTTGATATGTCTGTGGTGGTATCTGTATTGATTCTGGGCTAACAGTAGCAGAGAAAGCAATGAGGATCAAATTGGATTTTCCCCATTTTGGGTCCTGCGCAGGATTGTCGGTCCTTCGCTGATTGACTATAGAGGTCCACATCTAGGTACCTACCGCGGCGGATTCATCCGCGAGTTCAACAGCACCGAAGCACTGGCTAAGAATTTCGACACCATTAAAAGGCATGCCCAAGCACATGTCAATTGTTTGGTTGGCCAGCAAGCCGATAATGGCATCGTAGATATCGTTTCTCGGATAGATATTTTCGCCATCACCCTTTGGCGAGCTCTTTTGTACGGAAGCTCTGATAGCGAGATCAATGACCGCGTATTGGACTTATCGAAAGCGATAGGTGCCCGAGTGACAGATCCTTGGCCCTCACTTTGGTACTCGATCATCGTCTTCCTAGGCTTGGTTGATCCGGGTCATGCATTCGGCCCCGACAAGGTGCTCCGTACCCAGCTCGACGAACTAATCGAAGAAAGTATTGAACAATTGAAGAATCATGAGCGCTTGAACCCGGAGGCTCCACAGACAAGCCTTCGAGGCTTATCAACGTTGACTTATGGTGGCATATCTGGGCCTCTTTCTCAGACCGCCATTGGTTTTGCACATCTCAATGCTTTCGGTCAGTGGTACGATGATTCCTGAGACAGACTGCTGACGGTATTAGCTGGAAGTGAAACCTTCGGCTACAACTTGGCTTGGATGCTTATTGAGTTGGAAAAGCGGCCTGATTGTCTAGAGAGGCTATTAGCTGAAATTGAATCTTCCAACACCGAAGACTTCAGGATAGTAAACTCGAAGATGCCGTATCTGGACGCTGTCGTAAAAGAGGTGAACCGGCTTCATTCACCTGTGGCTAGTACTTTTCGAACGGTCAACCGCGAGATAAGCATTACAACTTGCAAGTCGTATTACACGCTACAGCCGGGAATGCTGGTATATCTAGCGCTAGGGTGCGCGAACAGATCTACAACAGATTGGGGGTCAGACGCCGACAAATTCATGCCTGAGCGATGGTTGAAAAGCAAAGAAGACAATACCTCGCAACTCACCTTTGGTTATGGATCACGCAGTTGTGTAAGTAGCTCTAGGTGTTTCCGTTGATCCTGCTGACAAGCTCTAGGTCGGATTCAAGACAGCACTATTCGGGACCAAGATGTACTTGCTTTCACTTCTTCAGATGTACCAGATTGCGCTGAGGGACCATGACTACAAGGAATCCCCCGGGGATATCTTAGGTGCTGAAAAGCCACTTGTCGTAGAGTTGCATCGAAGGCGGCTAAGATAGTAACACTCTTGAACCCAGAGACATCAGGATTCCCACAGAAAGATTATGTCCGCCTGGCTTAGATGCTGGTATGTGTAAGATCAAAATCTGGTCAGGGTTACGCTACCTAAAGCGCCCCACTACCGGTAACTACCGGTATAATAGTTACTCGCCCCAAGCTAGAAGACCCACGACCAGACTCCCCAAACCCTATACACCTGAGCCTCACATTCACAGCACAAAACAAAAACCACCCTACGCTGCCGTTTCGAATTCGCCTCCGCTACCGCCACCACCCACCAGCGCTCAACAATCTCAAAAATCCTGCCACCACACCACCATGGCCGCCGCATCCACGAGCGTGCCCTTCGCGCAAGCCCTCCTGCAGCGCGCCCACTCCCCCGAGACCGCAGCATCCCACTACAATGACCGCATCGCACACCGCCCGCTCCAAATCCGCGCCTCCTCCCCCACGCCCTCGGCACGCGCAACGCGGCGAAAAGCGCTCACCGAGCGCCGCGACAAGCGCAAACGCAACGCGCAGACCCCGCGGCCCCTCTCCGCCGCACAGAAGCGCAGACTGGGACTGAACGAAATTCCCAAAGAGCAACAGAAATACGCCATCTACGTGCCGCTGCACGAGCTGTGGCTGGGGTACATGCGCGAGATCCTGGGCCTCACGGGGGCGCAGCGCGGCGCCTTCGTCACGCCCGCGTCGGCTGGGCAGATGCTGGCGAGCGCCGACATGCACGGTGCGAAGCTGCGCGTGGTGCGGAGCCGCTGTGTAGGGCGCGTTGGGCTGGAGGGCATTGTGGTGCGGGACACGCGGTATACGTTTGAGATTGTGACGGAGCATAATGTTGTAAAGGCTTTGCCGAAAGAACACACGGTTTTTGGGTTCAGCATATCGCTTGCGCATGTTGAGGCGAAAGAGGGGGAAGAGGCGCAGGCGCCGAGGCCGCTGCAGTTTGAGATATTTGGCGAGCAGTTCCAGACCAGAGCTCCGGATCGCGCGAACCGGAAGTTCAGGCTGCACTATCAGCCGGATCTGTGAAGAGATGGGGGCTTTCAGAGAAAGGATTCTAGACTTGGATAATGGACCACACGTTGCGATCGGCAGTCACGACACACCCGACTCGGGACGACAGGCACAGCAAGGCTTCGTGCAATCAGCTTCTTCATACGGACATGGCGTGCGAGGCCCACAGAATTGGTCTTGCGTAATATCTGAAAGGCCTACATCTCCGTCCAGCTTCGAAGCTAGTCCTCTCCAACACGACACAAGCGCTCCCACAACCAAGCCCAGAGCGATCCTCCGCTCGGTCGCCGCAGCAGTCCTATCAACAGGCACACCCACGATCACCGCCAACGACTCGTGCCCAACGAAGGAAAGCTGGTAGAACATGTACAGAACCCCGAGGAATCCAACCATTCTCTGTAACGACTTCACAAGCGCCTCGTCAACGGTCAAGGCGCCATCGACACCGCGCGAGGAAGACCCAGACGCCTAGTCCAGCGTGTACGCCGCCGCGCCCTTGCCGAACAGGAGATGCGGTTTCCGCTTCGCAAGATCGAGGATCGTCTGCGCGAATACGGAGTTCGCCCACGCAAACCAGGGTCCTGGAGCACCATCAGCACCCGCCACAGAATTCAGAGGAAGGGGGGACTCACTAGTGTAATCCCTCTCATAGTCGACATGAATACTCTCGTGGATCAACCCGTTCCTCGACACGTTCTTCACACTCTCCACACACCTCGCAATCTCCTCGTCGTCCTCGCTCGTCATGGCCTGTACAAGCACGCTCATGGGCCATGCATGCTGCAGCCCGATATGCGGGCCGCCGATCCCCCCGAATCCCGCGCCGGTCAGGAAATACGGGTTTCCCGTCTTCTCCAGGATCATGCGGCGCGTGTTCTTGTACACCTCGCTGTCCGCCTCGACGAAGCCGAGAAGCGGCAGCGCGAGGAGCGACGGCAGGTTCGCGTCGTCCATCAAGATGCTCGATCCGTACCCGTCGACTTCGAAGGCGAAGACGCGACCGTACTTCTTGTGCGTTACGACGCCGTGCTCCCACACGCCTTTCTTGATCTTGTCGGACCACGATGCCAGCGTGGCGGCGATGTGCTTCTTGCCTGCCTTCTCAAGGATGGCGGCTGTCCGGCCGAGCTCCACGCTCATCATGGCATTGCTCGGGATCAGGAAGCCGAGGATCGTAGCGTCGTCGCTGGGCCGGAAGGCGGAGCGCACCAGGCCTGTGCCGCCTGCGAGTGGGTTGCCGACGCCGCTGAGGGCCAGGGTCTCAGTGCCGATATCTGTGCGTCGCTGGAAGGTGTAGACGTTCTTGCTGTAGGCGCCAGTCTTGTCGTCGAATGTGGGTTGCGATTGCGCTTCTAGGACCGAGAGGAGCGTATCCAGGGCTTGCAGCCAGCGGGCGTTGATGAAGGCGGTGGAGCCGGTGTGGTTGTAAAATTGGTTGGAGAGGGAGAGGAAGTGCGCGAGCGAGTCGAGCTCGTACTTGCATTCGAAGACGAATGAGGCTTCGTATTCGGGGTGTACGACGTCGTCTTGGTCCTGGAAGGTCGGGCTCAGGTCGCTCGGCGCAGGGGGCTGGAAGGCGTTGCAGTATGGCGAGCCGATGACGTACTCGGCCTGTGTGTTGATAGCTCCCAAAATCAGCTTGAAGATCTCTTTATCCTTCTTCGCCAGCGGTTGGTATTGCTGCAGCTGGTTCGTCGAGTCACGTAGCCACTCGGCGTTGATGTCTCCAGTAACAATGAAGCTCTGTGGCCCTGTCCATGCACCTCTCTCCCAGCCCCTCATACCATACTTATGAGTGGGGGTATTATCCACGTGCCATCGAACGGTCGTGTCCAGGGTATTGGGGAAGGCATTTTCAAAGATACGTGCTAGATCCTTGTCGACTAAATTCGCGTTCATGTACTCAATGACCTTCTCGACTAGAGGCGATTGAAATGTTCGGCAATACTTTGAAGGTCTTTGGAAAGGCAACTCAAACGGGCCTTTGCTGTAAGGTGGGCTAGCTGGTGTCAACACGATGCTTCAATGAACAGCAGGCCAGGCTTACTGCGCTCGCATAGAGTACTGCTTGTAGTCGGGACATGCTGCTCGGTACTTGTTGGGGTCGATGGCATCGTGCAGCGGCTCTTGTAACCCGTCATCGTATCTCGCAGCTACGTGGCTTGAAGACAATATGGCGCCCAGCGTGAGCGGTAGCAAAGGCGACTTCATGATGATAAAAGCAAACTGGAAACGGGTACGAAATGTGGCAATATATAGCGACTGATGTGGCTCGCCGAGAGCTACGGAATGCGATGGCGGCGCGGCAGTAATGGATGCCCGATCGATCGGCTACAGGCGATCGTTAGATATAGTGAGAGACAGTCAATGCTGCTGCTAATCTCAGATGCGCCCTGGACGTTGTCACGGTCGTGTAATGAGGGATGCTCGACAGCTTCCCCGCGGCGACAACTGGCTTTCACGGAGGCCAGGGTGCTCAGCCAATGATGTGCTCAGCTGCTCCGCACTAGCGTCCAAATGTATGGGCTGCCAACTCCTCTACTCAATCAGCCTTTACCGCACCAACCTCTACTTTTTCCGAGATCCAGCAAATTTACACGAAGCAGCTGCAGTCTCATTACCTTGGAATACGTTTGACAACTGTGCAAAGAGGGCTCCACCTCACGTCCAATAACCTTCAGCGCACAGCACGCGCGCACTCACAGTGCACGAGCCTTCCTGCCCTGCTCCAGCCATGATATCACTCCCAGGTCTCAATCTGGCCGCGCCGCCTGCCGAGGCTCTCAGCGTGCCCACCGCGTCCATTACAAGAGACCAAGATCTGCCTGCGAACACCGAATACCGCTTTGAGGTCGGTTTCTCGCGCACGCTCACAGTCCGCCTCCGATCTGGCACCGCCGAGTACTTCGGCACCGAGCTCGCGCCCTCCACGACATACAGCTTCCAAGGCACCAAGGGCGCAATATACACATGGCACGGCTGCAAGCTCGAGCTGGGCGGTGAAGTCGAGTCCGATTACGTTGCGGAAGAGACGCCCATGATGAGCCACGCGAATCTGCACTTTGCGCTCGAGATGCTGCGGGACCAGAGCGTAGCAAGCAACAATGTAGATATGGGCCCCAGAGTGCTCGTAGTCGGCACCGAAAATGCCGGCAAGACCGCGCTCGTCAAAACTCTTACCTCGTACGCCGTCAAAAGCGGCCGCCAGCCCTTGGTCATCAACCTCGACCCCCGCCAAGGCATGCTCAGCGTGCCCGGCTCCTTCTCCGCCGCAGCCTTCTCCTCTATCGTGGACATGGAGGAGGGCTGGGGGAGCAGTCCGATTTCCGGCCCGAGCCCGCTCCCCGTGAAGATGCCGCTGGTGTACCACTACGGGCTGAAGGACCCAGAGGAGAGCAAGCTGTTCAAGCCGCTGGTCACGCGCATGGCGCTCGCGGTGACGAGCCGGCTGGAGGAGGACAGGGTAAGCAGGCAGGCGGGCTTCATTATCGATACAGCGGGGTCCATCAGCGGCGGCAGGGGCGGCGTGTACGACAACATAGAGCATATCGTTTCCGAGTTCTCTGGTGCGTGTGATGTGATGTCTCTATCTTTCGGTTTCCCAGGCAGCACTATTCAAGCCATTCACGTCATTACGAGCTTCTGCTCGACACCGCTCCCACCCACCAACATATCCACTCAACTGCCACATCTCGAAGAGACACGTCGAAGCGGAAGCACAAGCTGACACGACCCAGTAAACATCCTCATAACCCTCGGCTCCGAGCGCCTCTACTCAGACCTCTGCAAACGCTTCTCCCCGCAGGCCCGCACCGACGAACCGGTAACCGTGCTCCGCATCGACAAATCAGGCGGCTGCGTCGACCGTCCTGAGGCCTACATGGTCGCGCTACGGCACGCGCAGATCCGGGCGTATTTCTTCGGCCACGGCGAGGACGCGCTGGCGCCCAGCAGCATGACGGCCGACTACGCGGATTTGAACATCTTTCAGATTGTCCAAGGCACGTACCCACCATCTCATCAAGATTCCACTACTGACGATGCCTCAGCGGATGATGCCGCGTTTCAGGCCGGGGACTACGATCCCTCGACTGCGGGGAGGGAGCTGTACGAGCGTGTGTCGCCCAGCGCGCTGCTGACGAATAAGTTGCTTGTGATCACTACTGCGAGCCCGAATGATCGGCATGAGGTTATCAGGGATAGTAGCGTGAGGGGGTATATCTATGTGGCCGATGTGGATGAGGCGAAGAGGAAGGTTCGGCTGCTTAGTCCGCAGCCGGGGCATTTGCCGGGGAACGCGATGGTGTTGGGCACGTGGCCGGAGGATGTGGCGGGGCTTGTTAGTTAGGCTGGGGTGGGATGAAGAGAATATAGTGAATTCAAGTGTGGTGTCATTGTGTAGTCGTTATTGTGCCATCGTGGGTGTCGGTGGGAGTGGTCATCGGCTGTGTAACCCGTAGGCTACATTGCGCCTGATCCACCAAGTCGTAGTCTGCAGTTTCCGTAATGAAGTCCTTGATGATAGCGTCTGCCGCCACGAACTTCGCCTTCCAATTCGCACTCTTGCGTTCTTCGCGGGCTAAAGCCTCTCGCAGAAATGCCTTCTCTCGGTCTTGAGCCTCTTAGCGCTCGTGGACTTCGTCGAGTTCGCTGAACTTCTTCTCATGATTGTGCTCTTCCTGCATCTGTGCTTCGGTATATGCGATTTCGGCGTTGACAGCATGATGCAAGATCTCCATGAGTTCAGTGTGGGTCTGTATATGGTCAGGGCCTTGTATTTTCGAAGGTAGGTATGACTTACAGCACTAGCGCGCTTTGAAAGACCTTTGGCTCTGCTAAATTTACGAATGAGTGCATGTGTTGTAAAACCCACGGTGTTCACCTGTCTCGCCGATAGTCTCGTCTGTGTCTGATCCGCGCAGCTTACGGTTGTCGAGGGGCACGGGATCTGCGGTCGGCGTGGGGCTTCTCCGGGAAAAGAATGTTGGTAGACGGGATGCGCGCCTCCAGCGTTCTGCATAGACTTGAATTGCTCGAGTAGGGCAGTCGTATCCACACTTGGGTCTGGCACGGCGTGCCCGCCATTTGACAAGCAGAGCAAGCCTCTCGCGGGACTTCTCCCGAGCCGCTTCAAGACGGCTAAACTGTCGAGGAGGTGGGAACTCTGGGGGTGCTACATGGCAGAAGGGTGCCACGCCTTCAGGATATTACTGGTTCGGACCCTTGTTTGGGCAAGCCATTCTACCCTCAGCAGCAGAGATTGCGCAGATGACTGACTCATTATCATCAGTATGTACCGCCGTCACGTGCCAAACAGGGCTCCGGAGCGCGACGAGAGCCTCGTCCACCTATGCGAAGGAGCCTGACTTTAGTTTTAGCGCCATCGCTAGAGATGTTGCATTCCTCGAACACGTCGTGGCGCTTGTCGGCGATAATATCTAAGTCCTCCGGGAGAATGGCCTGTATGAGGTCCAAGGTGACCATGATTGCAGGTTGATAGGAGCGTTCTTGTGGTGTGGGTCTCAGGACGCTGCGCCAATGTCAGCCAGCGCGGGTGGATCGAAAGAGGGGAATGCGGACAGCACCTTTGGTATCTCAAACAAGTCTGCGGCTACGCAGATGAGTGGCAGATACTCTTGTAAGAGCGACCAGAAAACACTGAGCTCATAATTGTGCATATGCCTTAAATTTAAGCAAGCCTGATCCTATGCACACGTTAGGTGAGAGAAAGGTAGCTCCCAAGTCAGTGTGACTGCAAAGAGCCATGGCGCTCGTGTAATGAATGTACTTTCTCTCAGCACAAATGCCCGCCACAGACATGCAAGCTATAGTGAGTGACTTGAGGCTTATGTGTGTGCTGCGTCCATAGAAGAGCAGAGGTGTCCCACCTGTTGTTGTCCTTTGACTTGCTTTGGCTTCTGTGATCTGGTCAGCTCTATATTCGATGCACGCGTTGCCGATAATGCTCTGGGACGGGCTTGGATACAATTTCGAGAAGGCTACCGTGGCCGTAGTGCACGGCTTTACCTATTCCGCAGGTCCATGCTGAGGGGCCACCACGCCTCCACCAGTCATGGCCAAACGAGGAGCATGTCGACTCGGTGGGCAGCTCGGGCCTCGTCGATGTATGGTTGGGTACTGAAGAGGAAGTCGCCGACCGTCTTGAATGCAGCGGACTCATCTGGAAAGCTTCGATTAGCCTGTTCAGTGAAGTCACTAAGAATGCAGATGTCCTTTGGCTTCATAGCGATTGTTGAAACGATGTGCAAAGATCAAGTGGTGGTGAAGAGCGAAAGAAAGCAGGCGACACAAGGGTCGTGAATCTATATACGTTTCATTAAAATAACAGAGGTGAAGGAACAGTGGAGCTCAGGTGAGAGAAGAAGAGCATGTTGAGAAGTGTATGATGGAATTATGGAGCTCATATAAGAGAAAGAAAGAACAAGTTGAGAATCGTATGGCCAGACTGAGGTAAGAGGCCACTTTGCCTGAATGGTGCGAAGCTGTAGAGACCTTAGAAACCGCTGACTCTGCTCTTACTCTTTTTCTTCTTCTTGTCAGGTCGTCCACCGAATTTTCCAGGCTCCACCTGACTTTGTGGCACCATGCCGCTCATACCCCCAAATCCACCAAGGCCTCCAAAGCCGCCTCCCTGATCGTAAATTTGAATCGGCATCTGGCTCGACGTGGGCACAGGCACCTGGCTGCTGGCTGTCATACCGCCAACGAAAGGGCCAGGCGAGCTTCGTGGAAATACAGGCTGCGAGAACAGAGGCTGGCGGCTTGTTTGAGTCTTAGCACGCAATAGCTCATCTTCGCGCCTCTGCCGCTTGTCTCTTCGTTCCCTCTTCTTGCGTTCCTTCTCCAATAGTTCTTGTGTCTCTTCATCAGCTACTTCTGGTCGTATTGCACGTTCTGTAGACTCCCAATTATAGGTACTGGGATCATTCCCAGGCTGCCAATGTAACAAGAGGTCTGATACACTCGGTGGGAGGCCTATCAGCGTCGTATTTGAAACGTCATCGATCACAAGATGTTTACGGAGGCGCGACAGGGGATCGCCCCTGCGAGGCCGGGAGCTCTCCGGGAACAGTGGTGAAGATGGTGGTATGGAAGACTGGGGAGGTGTCGGGAGTGATGATGATATCGCATCCAATGACTCAGAAGGCAGCACAGGCAAAGATGCCGGGCCACTCGAGCTTGGGATACTCTGCTCTTCCTCACTTGGACGCAACTGCGTACTTGCTAAAATGACTTCGGTAGCGACACGTCGCGCGAGACGTTCTTTTGCTTGACGCACCGAGACAGGAATTTGTGCCGTCAATGGCGCAACCCAGTCTTTGAGCACGGTATCGTAGAGATTTGTAATAGAAGTCTGCTCAGCTCCAGGAAGACGTAGGACCTGCTGAGATGCGATTGGTCGAAGCACATTTATGCTCTGTGATTCGAACAGCTGCTGGACCTTCGCTGATGCCTCATCAATATCTGGAACATCGATGGTGTCTAAAGTCTCCATCCTGGACATCATCAGTCTCTGTACTACCTCCGGCAGAACCAAGGCACTTACACATTTGTTTCGAATTTGAGCGCCTGGACGCCCATGGTCTCCTGCAATTGCTGGATGACGTCTTCAATAGATGTGCTCCCGGCCTGCTCACTGTGGAGGAGGCTCTCATATAATTCGGTACGGTCCGCTGTTGCGTGTGTGAGATCTCGATCGGAAAGCAGCCGCGGTACCTGAGCTCTTAGCTTTGGCCCAGGTTCGATTTCCCAATTAGGACCATTGGGCTCTATGAAGCCATCCATCTCATCAACATCGCTCCTGGCATCGAGCGAATGCGGTGCCATCATCTTCCGCCAGGCCAGCCGCTCGGGAGCAGGGTCGTGCTTGGCAGACAGCAATACAATCTGGTGGACCCCCAGATCTGCAGTGAGCACTGTAAGTTGATGAAATGGGATTGCTCTTTCGTGATACAACTGCGCGGAGGTATTCAGTCTCTTGTGCGGCAGCGCTTCTTTGCTTCCGTACTCAAGAGGCTGCAGATGCATTTGCATTATGTACGCGGCGCCCGGCAAGTCGAGATCCACACTGACTGGGTCTGTAGTTGAAATGCATTCAGCCTGACTCGAAGAACGATCTTGGAAATAGTAGAGTTGGACCAACTTGTTCAAGCGGGACTTTACGAACAAGGCCGTTTGCTCTTCGAAGATCTGGGGGTGCATCTGCAGAGTGAGATCCTCGTCTCCACGGTAATGCCTCCGAGACAGCAGAATGGTCGCGCCGGCTTGGCCAGACGAGCTATCCGCCGCACTGCTGGAAGTAGTCACTGACATCAGAAAGAGCCTCGTCGACGTCAAAATGAAGAAGCACTCCTGCTGTTGAGGGTGCCTCTTCAAGTCGAGAATCCATTCACTCGAGCGTTGAGATATGACTGGCGGAGCCGGAAGGTATTCGAAGGTCTCTCCAGTCACATTGACCAGACTGAGCTGCCGGCGACTGCACACTAGGAGTGTATTGCTATCACCGGCCCATAGTATCCGCGCCCAGCCATCCTCGGAATCAGCAACTTCCTCCTCGGCCGGACTTATGTGTCCTCCAACCAAGCGCGATACGCTGTATTCGTCTCTCTTAGCTCTCCTCGCGATCTGCCAAAGACTCCATGCACCCTGTTCGTCTACGATACCGAACTGAAATTGATAGTTGGGATTGAAATCGAAATCCGCATGCGGAACACCTCCAGTCTGAGCGATTGTGATACTGATTATTGGTTGTGCGGAGAGGAGCGATGGTGGTAGGTGGTAGTAAGGTGACGGTTCGGCGGCGCGACGGCCTCGGTGGTACGAAGGGCGGAAGAGAACTGTTTTAGAAGGCAGTCGAACGGCAAGGAGGCTATTACTGGTCTCCGTCTGCCCAAAAATGACTTGCTGTATCGGTGCCGCTTCCTCGTTCCAGTAGCCGCTATCTACAAAGGTGAAGGATGGTCCTTGCAGCCATACTGATCTGTCGCCCTCCCAGCCATTCCTTTGCTGACCCAGTGGGACCAAGCGCAATATGCTTCTAGAAGGTCCCGTTGGCAGAGCAGCAATCTGTTTTGGTCTGAAGGACTTATTCAAGAAGACGGTGCCGAAGGCCAGTAAGTCGCCGATATGAGGATCGTAGGTCATTGCCGCGGATGTCACTGCTTGAGATAGAGTACTGAGATCCGGCAGGTCTTTCGCAGCTGGCACGAGCTGTGGATGGTCATGCGCGAGGCGTCTGGCATCCTTGCGGCTGGTTGTCGCATTCTTCAAGGTGTCGGTGGATATAGAAGTTGTTGCTGCAGGTAAAGCAAGCTGCCACTCTGAAACTTGCTGCAGAACGCTCGTCGTAGGACCCCGGGAGGTATTCCACCCGCGAGTATCGAGGTCATAGGTTGTGAGCCCGGGTCGACCATAGTTCAGGTCGTTCAGCGGACTGTCAGCCATTTGGGCTGAGTTGGGGTTTGCGATCTGTAAAGGTGTTGAGCAATCGAATCATGCTTTGAATGGCACCCGGATTTCGCGTGTTCTTGAGAAGGCGAACGCAAACACGACTTCTTTGGACGCGTACGTGAAAGAAGAGGTGCATTGCATGTGGGGCCATGGAAAAATCGCGCTAGGGTCCGCACGCACGTGCCTGCCGTCTGCGCCGCTTCGCTCCTTCCGCCCTAAAGCGGGCGCTTTGTTTACCGAGCAACCGACCCAAAACAACACTTGTTGCCTGATCACGAACTACACCAGACACACTATTCAGCGTCAAACAAGTCCAAGTCTCTGTATATACAATTGTGAACGAATTTCAGCATGACTGCCTTCGAGCCGTCACTCAGCAGCTCGATGCGCGCCTCTCATGACGTGCCTTCGATGGCAGACCAGTTACCAAGCATCAACTTCGGCTTCGACGACCTGCGCAGCCGCATGAACCAATTCACAACACGATTTGATGCATTTATCGAGAACGGGCGGAGACGAGTGCTGGAGGAGAGGAACCAGTTCCGTATGAATGTTGCAGAGCTCCACGGTACGTTTTACGCCTAGCATGTCAATCATACTTTACAATGCTAACATCGGGTGCAGAGGACCAGCGCATGAAGAAGCGTGACATCGAAATTCTCGACCTCAAGCAAACACAACACGGCCAGAACCTCGCCAAAGAATCACAAGAGAAGCGCGAAATGCAGGACGCAATCAGCAGCCTCACACAGCAGCGCGACGAGCGCCTTGCACACCGCGATACCCTCCGCTCCCAGCTCAGCGAGATTCAGAAGACTATCTCTGCGCGCCGAGAAGCGCAAGTCAAGCACCGCCGCTACCTCGACGGTCAATCGCGGTACAACGAGCCAGAACTCGACTTCTGGGAGAGCTATCTTGGTCTGAGAATCGAAGGGCTGGGCAAAGATGATAGGCTGAAATTCATCTACACGAACGTGGATGAGCGAGAATGGGACCGCGAAGCCTGGTTTGAGCTCGACACATCAGAGCGTGACTACAGGGTGCTAGAGATACGACCAAAGGCCGAGCGAGAAGAAGTCGACCGGGTGGTCGAGCGCTTAAACGAGACGCGCGACCTAGCGGGCTTCTTAAAGGGCATGCGGGAGTTGTTTGTCGAGACCTGCAAATAGGCGGACGTTCACGATTTGGATGTGATGCGGCGTTTGGGATCTTTGGATAGTTTCGATCAATACCCAGTTTCTTCTCTTACACATCATCTCCGGTCGTTTTTGATCTTATAGTACTCCGGCGCATACTCCGTCAGCCAATCCATGTCAACAGTCGACAGATCCCGGATATAGATCTTATCCCTCGTCGACAATATCTCCGTGTAAATCACCCAATCGGCCTTTCGATGGAAGAAGACAGAGCTGGGGTGCGCCCACAACGTCGTCTTCCCGTCCACAGTCGTGAAGCTCCCGTCACTCTTCATCCGCGCAACATGCGCAAAGAACCCCGTAGCCAGACACCTCCTGACCCTCTCTTGTAGCGGCTTTCCGCCAACGCGCAAAACATCCGGGGCGCTGAGAATAGTTTCTTTGACGCCGAATCTGTCCAAGTAGGCGGCGAGTTGTTTCCGTACACTGACCGCCTTGACCAAACTCTTATGATTAAGACAATTTTCGCGACACCACTGCACGTTCATCCCATTCGTCGCAAATCCCGTATACACATTGTACAAGCTCAGATGATCACCCTCGCTGACCGCAAAACGACGTCGCGCCTTCTCAAGCTGCGCTTTATTATCGCTATGCGATACGAATGCGTTGCCTTGCAGCGTCATCATCGCCGCGATCGTGAGCATCTCGCCCAGACACCCAAACTCCGGGATCGCGGCGTTGAGCAGCGTTTTCGCGAGCATAGGCTCGAGGGGCAGTTCGGCCATGCGCGTCCCAAGCGGTTTCGTCAGGCGCGCGTTGGTGTCCAGTGCGCCAAGAGAATACAACAAGTCCAGTGCGCGCGTCACGAGTGCGCTGGGTGGGGGCGAGAGGTAGTCGAAGCGGATGAGATTTGTGATGCCGAGGTTGAGCAGCTGCAGTAAGACGGGGGCCAGGTTTGAGCGCTGGATTTCGGGGAATGTGGATTCTTCCAGCGACTTGAAGGCGGTCTCGGTGTAGAGTCTGAAGCATTTGCCAGGTTGTGTGCGGCCGGCGCGGCCGGATCGTTGGATTGCTGAGGCGCGGGAGACGGGAACGACGTTGAGATTTTCGATGCCCAGCCGGGCGTCGTAGGCGCGCAGTTTGACGTAGCCGCAGTCGATTACATAGACGATGCCGTCGATTGTAACGCTAGCTTCGGCGATGTTGGTGCTGAGGATCACTTTGCGGGTGTTGGTCGGCGCTTTTAGGAAGACGCAGTTTTGATCCTCCGTTGGGAGACCGGCATATAGTGGTAGAGGCATGAGCTTTTGTTGTTTTGATGACAGTTCTGCAACATGGTCGCTGAGCATGTCGATTGCGTCGTCGATCTCTTCTCGCCCTGTTAAGAAGACTAGTATGTCGCCATCTGCTTCGTTCTTGTGGATATCCATGACCGCTTCGACAGCTCTGTCAATGTAGTTATTGGTGGGTTCGGTCAGATACTGCACCTCAACCGGATGTGTGCGTCCTTGTATCCCGACAATTCTGCCGTAATTTTCTCTGCTCCTTCCAAATACCTTCTCGCCCTCATCTGGACTGAAGAAGCCCAAGAACCGCTCAGCTTCAAGTGTCGCGCTACTGACGACGACTCTTAGATCTTCTCTTTTCCTCAAAACCTTCTTGAGCAGACTCAGAAGTACATCACTGCTGAGACTCCGCTCATGCGCCTCATCAACTACGATGACAGAATACCGCTTCAGCAACGGGTCCACCAACATCTCTCGCAACAACAGACCATCAGTGACGAACTTGATCTGAGTCACAGCGCTCGTGACATCTTCAAAGCGGATCGAGTACCCGACTCCCTGGCCCAACGGCGTTCCCTGCTCTTCTGCGACGCGTGCAGCGACACTTGTTGCTGCTATCCGGCGAGGTTGTGTGACAGCGATCTGCAATCCAGAAGCGCACCAGCCTGCATTGAGGAGGAATCGGGGGATTTGGGTTGTTTTGCCAGAGCCAGTCTCGCCGACTATGATGGTCACGGGATATGTTTCGATGGTGTAGAGGAGTTGGTCTTTCAATTGCGCGATGGGCAGCAGTGCTGGTGGCTTGTAGAGCTCTGGGATCACCGGACTGGTGTATTCGTCTTCCTTGGCCATGATGGCGTTCTCATTAAGTGCTGGTTGGTATGTAGAAGGCTGTCTATGGTCACAATTTGGGATTGGGAGGCGCTAGAAGGATAGGTCTAACTCTTTGTGACGCTAGCGGCGGGCTCGATCCCAACGTCAGCGACATCTTCATACTTCGTAGTTCTGCAATCAGTCTTCCAACCTTCGAGAAACCTGACTTATGGTTTTGCCATTATATGGCTGTGTTCCCCGCGCCTCTAGTCACTCTTCACTCGGCGCAAAAGAGCCCAGCTCAAAGCTTCACCTAAGACCTTGATCTTCTTGTTTCCAGACGATGCGCCATCGAGACCCTATTCTGGTCTGCACCTTCGTAAGCTAAGCTAGTTCTGTGTGATGATGGATTCTTACTGGGATCAGCAGCTGAAGGAGGTAAAGCCTGGTTCGCGGCTTTAGCACCTGCAGCATTCTTCTGCGCCTCCTCCAGAGCCTCTTAAATCCTCCAGCTAGAAGGCGAGACTGTCGTCTATGCGTCGTTGGTGTGGCATGAAGTCATCGATATCATGAGATCGAGGGGCATATTGAGTATTATGGCATCCTGAAAGGGCACATCCTTCGTATCCTGCGAAGTAGTCTCCTGCGTAGACTCAATCAGCTATCGTCTTCTTCTCAAGAAGACCGACCTACCTGTTGGTGAACAGCGCAACAGTTGCACTGTTGAATTAGCGAGCTAAGGTTGCATGAGGTACATTAGTGTTTGATAATTGCACGTCTTGTTGTTGAGGCATATTGCGTTGACGAGGGAGTAGGCGGTCTTGGCAGAAACTGTCTCACTCGATGGGTTGTCTCACTCGATGGTGGATTACGTTATACTTTTAGAATTACCACTAAATTTTGCTGTAGTACTGCTGTACTTCACCCTCATCTTCAGCTACTTACTGCTATAGCTACAGCTTGTTGCAGTTGCTGTTGCTTACTTTCGCCTACTACTGTACATTGTAACCGTAGATTAGTACTACGTCCGGTTGGCAACGCTGACGACTGCTTTGACGCCTGTCGCTGAAGAAAATGAGTTTGAAAGGCTATGCTAGTCGGGAATCGTGTACCTCTGGCATATTCTCAGCCGATTGAACATTTTGGTATCGGATCTAATGATACTAGGGTCATTCTGCATCAGTCTTTGACAGATTAGAATCCATTTCTGCCCTGAGCTTTGCGTTCAGCACAGTGGGGAGGGGACTGTAAACCACTTCGGGCGTTGTGTACGCAGGAAATCCTTGGACTTGAGGCATTGTTTACTTCGTGACAGTCACACAGACGTGGGGAAAGAATATCGATATAATGCGCTCCTCCTAGAGTTAATAGATACGCAAATCGGGAAGCAAAGGCAAGCGCTAGAAAACGGCTGCTTCCAGCTTAAATTGACATCTGACGGGAGTAACCGACACTGCTCACGGGGCGTGGGCGTCCGCTATAGTAGAGTAAAGGGGTCGCTGAATGAAGCATACAAGTTAGCGAACTCCTTGCTGCATATCGATGTGAATCAACTGCGTAATCGCCGAACTGCTTCGATGTTTCACACGAAGCCGCTGGGCAACGTGGGTATTCTGCTGTTTTTCTCGACATGTCCCGATAAGAACAATGACCGTAGCCAACGTATTTCATGATTTCTTCCATCTTGTTCGGCGTACTCGGGTTCGAGTGTGAAGACCTCATGTTGGGAAGAGTACTGCGAGGGGGTACCTGATTTACAAAGCTTATTGCTGATGGTCGAAATGGATCTTGTGAAATAGGTCGCGAAAAAGGGAAAAAATGACATGAAGACCAAGAGAACCTCTTGATGATCGATTGGTAGTAACTAGCGTACATCCATCCACATGATCCCACAGCGTTGGAGTCTCTGAAATGGCAAAAATTCATGGCATGACATGCGTCACTACATCAACTAACGCTCAAAGCTTTGCCTTGACCGGCGCAAAAGTACTTCCCTGCGCACCTCCCAACGCCTCTACCAGCTCATCTGTCTTTTGCAGCACCCAGGTACATCCCTCATCGCTAGCCAACCACCTGATCGCCTCTTCTGAACCGGCGGCTGGCTCATCCTTCCAGCTCCCATCATCCAAAGCTTTCCTTAATCCAAAGACGTGACTCAGCACCTGCGGTCCCACACCTTGCTGCGCCCTCAAACATGTGATCGCAATTAAGCTCGTTGTGATCCGCCCCACAGTGGCACCGGTCGAGCGTTGGGGGTCGGTGAAAAGACCACCGTACTCGCTGTTGATGATGAAGACTGGCAGATCTGGGTGTGCCTCACCCAGCTTGGCCTCGAGCTTCTCGTTCAATGGCTTGTAAATCTTGTCCCATAGTCCGCGTCCGCGCTGGTTGATCTGCTCGACGTTCGATGCATCGGGGTAGCGTGTAGGTATTTTATTGAGCTTCTCATAGATGTCTTGTGGGAGGGAGGCGCGGAAGGCGTTAAGCATGTTGATTGTTCGTGGGATCTGGACGTTGTCAGCTGCTGTCTGGTATAAAAAATACATTTTCAAGGCGAGAAAATGATTCAAAGCGAGGCTGCATGAATAGAGAATGAAACATTTTTCTTAAGTCCTTCGGCCCATGCTTCAGTCCTGATCGTGCCTCCATCGTAATGGGGTATAGATCGAGGGTGAACCTACGCCATTGAACCCAATGCACTTCAGCGCGATCTCGCGCATGAATTCTGCGACCTCAACGCCTTCATCTTGAGGCTTTCCTTGTGCAGTGGAGTGGAAGAGTGCCTCCATCGACTCGGGCGAGTTCATTGTCATAGTTGCCGCGGTTGAAACAGCGAGCCACGATGGTCGGCCAAGTTGTCTGTCTGTGGCTTCTTGTTCGATCTTCTTGAAAACTGATTGGATCTTAGGCGGCGCGGGCACAGCACCTGGTCGCGCGTGCGCGGCGTTTATGAGCTGCTTGAGAGCTGGGGAGAGCTTCGACATGACGAACGAGTGTATTGTTAAGCTCACAGCTTTGGTGTATAAATGCGCAGATTGTGAAGAGATACACACAATTACAATCGTGCAATTAAGCGTTTTTCGGTGGCCGGCGATGGATATTGAAAGCTCTCGTTGCAACGGGCGCACATCAATTGACGAGAGTCGTGAAAGTCGTATGACGCCAGACGCACGCGCCAGCTTCCAAGGTGCCTCGGGGCTTAGATCTGGCGCCGAAGCCCGCAGATCCTCCGAGCCTCTGCCTCCCATCATGATCACCGCTATTGGCCTTGTAAACCAGCGTTGCATCATTGCTTCATGCTTTTCCAGCGATGCGGCTGTATCTTCGCAGCATATCTCAGACCTCCGCAGGCCCATGGCGCTGAAGTTGCTGTCAAACATGACGTGACGCAAAGTCTTGCAAGCGGATAGCTCACAATCTCGACTGAATAATCTAGCAACATCGACATGATCCAGCCAAGCTGCGCGGCTCTGGCGAATAGCGGAGTATCGTGCGATTCCTATGCAAGCTCTGGTTCAGCAAAGATGGCGCTCTCATCCTATGTCAGGCAGAAAAAGTCTGGTTCTTGGTGAAGACCCTGGTTGTCCCCTTGTGAGGCATAATGAGTGTTTCGCTGGATGGTTTATGATATTACCTAAGTCCATCTATTTGAGCATTGCACTTTAGATGGTCTTCTCCGGCTCGATTCTCGCTCTCGCGCAGCAACACAAAATCCGGACATCGACCTGACAATGATCTTTCAGGTGGGTTTCGTGCTAGCCCAGTCACGCACAGTATGAAATTGCGACATTGCAATTGCACAGGAACTTGCAAAGAGGAGAGTTGAAGGTTGCACAGCGCATGACACCACTGAAGGCTTCGGAACTCCAAAGCGCTACTACAGTCTCAGCATCGATCGGCAGAGGGAACTTATTACGCAGAGACCGACCTGTATTGTCCATTGGAATTTGGAAGGAAGAATTTAATTCGGGTACCTATTTGAGAACCTCGAAATAAGCAATGCACTAAGGATCACAAGCTAGTCCGTTCTGGGCGGGTGGGGTGAAAGAATACCTACGCAACTCTTTGAGTAGGCTTGGGAGGCTTGACAGTTCCAAGGTATATTCATGGCATAACGGTGATATAAGTGCGCCGTCGACAGTTATGGCTTGCACGCAGCTTACAAAGTAAGCCTCGCCAGTGCATGTGGTAAAACCAAGCAACTGCGGGCTTTGCTTAGCCAGTCGGCTATGCAGGTAGCCGTCGCCATGTGTGCGCTATCCTCTCACCCTCACCGGTGGTCTAGCTCCTCAGCCACTGCAGTCCGACTCTCTTTGACGCCAACTTGTCATCGCACGGCACTCGCTTGTTTCAGGGCGCTCGAATCTGTCCAAGGACATGCTTCACTGCTTAGACTCAGGTATTCTCCACGAATTACGCTGAATCTCCAACTGCATATCGGTACGATTATGGATGCGCGTGTATGCGAGTATCCCGCGTGCACTCCAGCTCACGTCGAAAATCCCGCATCTAACCATATGCAGGCTAAACACCACCAATGAGCCATTTTCACTTCGTGCCCGCCACAGCATGCAACCAAATACTTGTATATGCAATGACAAGAGATATTGACACGTAGGAAATCTCTGACAAGCATAAGATAAGACGATCATGTTCTTAAGCTGGTAACTGCGCAATTTTAACAACGTCCTTACACTTACCACCCAGCTCAGCGGAACTGTCATGGAACCCTCCATACAATTTGTAGAGCAGACTGCCCCCTCCGCCCAAAATAACGCACAAAATAACGCATCGACACAAAATGCCATTGGCGGAGTGGTGCGTCTGCGCTCACGCACACAATCAATCAGCCGCAAAGGATCCATAGATTATGCGAAATCTGGGAAGTACGAGGATGTCGAAGATGAAGATGCAGGTTTACGAAACGAGGGCGACTACAAGCGCAGTCAGGTGCGTGCTGCAAAGGCGAATGCTATGCATGAAGTCTTGCGGTCTGACTAGTGAACGCAGTCCTTCAGCATCGGTCAGATCTTCGCGCTCGCGTACCAATCCATCGGTGTGATCTACGGCGACATTGGTACCTCACCCCTATACGTTTTCTCGTCTACGTTCACGGAAGCCCCAAACCGAATCGATCTACTGGGCGTACTGTCGCTTGTACTGTGGTCCGTTACTTTGATGGTTACAGTCAAGTACATCCTCGTCATCCTGCATGCCGACAATGATGGTGAAGGCGGCACCTTCAGCACATATTCCCTACTATCCAGATATGTCAGTCGACCTGCAGCAAGGTGCGCATCCCAGAACTGACAAATGACAGGCGAACATCGCCAACCGAGATCCTCGCGAGGAATCGCTTGTCCGTGCGTTGATCTACTCTCTGGACGCCTCTGGCGCTAACTGGCCTAGGCATGAAAAGACACAACACCAATGATTTGAGCCGTTCCACCAAGACCATTCGATCCGGCATGGAGAACTCCAGTTTCTTCCGAGCGCTTTTGAAGACAATCGGCGTATTAGCAGTTTCTATGGTCATGGCCGATGGAGTTTTGACACCTGCTCAGTCTGTACTAGGCGCTGTACAAGGCTTGAGTGTAGTGAAGCCCGATATTGACAAGGCGACCATCATTGGCGTTACCTGCGCAATCTTAATCTTGCTCTTTGTAGTTCAGCCACTGGGCATATCGAAACTTGCCATAGTGTTTTCACCCATCGTTATGGTGTGGCTGTTCCTCAACGCCAGCTTTGGTGTTTACAACCTTGCCAAGTATGTTCACTACTTGTTATCGATGGTATCAGCTAACAACGCAGGCATGATCATACGGTCTTGAAGGCTTTCAATCCATACTACGCGTTCGAATTCCTAATCCGAAACAAATACCACGGTTGGAGGAGTCTCGGTGGTGTGCTGCTTTGCTTCACTGGAGTAGAGGCTCTGTTCGCCGATATTGGTGCTTTCAGTCGTCATGCCATCCAGCTCAGTTGGCTTTGCTACGCCTATCCGTGTCTTTTGCTCGCATATAGCGGACAAGCTGCGTACATCAGCAAGAACCCGGATGCCTACTCGAACCCGTTTTTCAACTCTGCCCCGCCGGGTTGGCTAATCTTCTCGCTGATTGTAGCCATCGCCGCTGCTATTGTAGCTTCTCAAGCCATGATAACGGCAACGTTCCAGGTGAGTTTCTTGCACGAGATCATACCGAAATAGCGACTGACAACTGAAAGCTGCTTACCCAAATCATGAAGCTCTCGTACTTCCCGCAGATCAAGGTGGTACACACTTCGACAACGTATCATGGGCAACTCTATGTGCCAGCTGTTAATTGGCTTCTCATGGTTGGAACCGTGCTGGTTGCTGCCATCTACAACAACACCACATCTCTTGGCAACGCATATGGTGTATGCGTCATGTTTGTCACATTCTTCGACACATGCATGGTAACACTGGTAGCGATACTTGTGTGGCGCATCAAACCTTACTACATCCTCTTACCTGCACTGACTGTTGCCTCGCTGGACGGAGCCTACCTCTCTTCAGCACTCTTGAAAGTCCCGGACGGTGCATGGTTTACCATTCTCTTGGCTACACTGCTTGCTTGTATTTTCATCCTCTGGCGCTTCGGCAAAGAACAGCAATGGCAAGCAGAGGCTGGCGACAGGTTCCCAACTACTCACTTCGTCAGAACACGAGCAGATGGTCAACTGCAACTGACTCCACTATTCGGCGAAGAATTTGTTGGCTCAATGCAAGGATTCGGCATCTTCTTCGACAAGGCTGGTGAAACGACGCCCATCGTGTTCAACCAGTTCATTCGCAAGTTAGTTTCGGCGCCTTCTGTCATCATCTTCTTCCACTTGCGTCCGCTGGACCAGCCTTTCGTCGAGCCAGAAGATAAGTACAGTGTGTCCCGGCTGGCGATGCCTAACTGTTACCGCCTAGTCGTGCGACATGGCTACATGGATGAGGTCATCACACCGAACCTCGCGAGCCTTATCTTCGAGAAGGTGCGCGATCATATCGTATCGCGTGCACTGGATCGCGAGGGCGAAAAGGCTGCGGCAGCCCCTGTTACTGGAGTTGAAGGCTCCGAACGTGACAATGTCTCGTCACGCAGCTCGACAACTTCATCTCGTCTTGAGGCGTTAGAACGCGCATACAACCACAAGGTGCTTTACATCACTGGAAAGGAGCAGATGAAGATTACGCCGGGCACAAACATCGTACGCCGCTTCTTCCTCCACATCTTCTTGTTCATTCGTGAGAACACACGGACAAAGATTGCGAGTCTAGACGTTCCTATGGACAAGGTCATTGAGGTGGGCTTTGTGAAAAATATTTAAAGCTTGTGGCCAATCCACAGCGAAGTACCTACCGCGCGCAAAAAGCATACCTTCGCAAAGATGCACATGAAGTTCTCGAATGACGAGCCAGCAAACGCCTCAGACCTGATTGTAGCATGGGAAGGCACGAAGATGATCATTGTGGTATCGGGGAAATAGTGTCATTTGCAAACCCACAAAATCATGACAGACATCAGGGTGATGGTGGAACAGAGTCGTTTCCACAACCAAGACATCCCTACCTATCTCCACCCCAGAGAACGTGCATATTCTTCGATGCACTCCATGAATACGAGTGGGAGGATGGCACCGAATCCTGTCTCTTTTCGTTTAGCTCATTAGGCGATGCTCCTCGAAATCTGATTCGCACTCTTGCCGTTAATGTCTCTCAACCAGACGCCCTACAGGCATGGCTCGACAACGACAGTGCTTCTCAAATCACGCATCTCTTCATCCACTGCCCAGCAATCGACGACGCACCGACACGTCACGTCTGGTACAGACTGCTTGACAGACTGGGCCGAGAAGCACTTCACCTTCAGGATCTGCAAGCTTACTGGGACTGGGAGTATGTATCGACAGAACTAACTCTGGACGGCATGAACGAGAACTTGCCATTCGTTCGGGGTCCTGGAGCATCAAGGCCAAAGAGAACATACACTCTGCATGGGTTCTATGCGAAGCACTGGCTAGTGTATCTGGAGTCAAGAATAGCGGTTAGGGCGATTAATCCGCAGATTTATATTGCGCTTACCAGAGAAAACGGATGGGCGAGGTTTGAGGAGGTATCAGGAGAAGACCGAGTCGTTGATATTTTGATCAAGTTAGACTGTTGCAGGTATGCGTACGAGACGAACTATGGGATAGACTTAGACTGGATGAATGTAATTGAACAGAGTTGACATCATTGTGCTACACTAATCTAATTCTTTCTCTTAGAATGACCTGCAGAAAGTACAACAGTCTTTACTCATAAGTTCAACCTTTGAGTCACTTGTAAGGGCGTGTTTACTCACTGCGGACAACTACTGAACCAATTGAGCGTGAGCTGAGGCGTAAAATTGGTGCTCCAAACTGACTTCACACGCTGTGAAATGTGCGCAATTCGTCCTCTTGAATTATGCGGTGGTGCAGCAATCGACGGCCAAATGACTTTCTTTGCCTGCGACAGGTCAGAACGTTTAATTTCCTTCCATGCTCAAGATCATGTGCTCAAAGCTGTGTTCTGCAACTGTTCATTCAGGCTGTTCCTCTTTCTTTCGTCATGGCACGTGTTGGAAAAGCTTCCCATGAAGATGTACGTGGTCGTGATGAATATTGGCGGACTGTTCGGCTGGTCGTTTCTCTTCGCATCCGGCGGATGGTTGCAGAGCAATTTCAGTACCACAGCTTAGATTGCTATAGAGACTTTCACTTTCACTTTGACTGCGTACCCGATCGCCTGGTTTGGGTCCTTCTTGGCTCCCATACTCGCCAAAACTGCGACAAGCTCATCCCATTTCCATTCACTGACGGCTCAACTTCTTTGATATCCTGGTTTCTCTGAAGACCGACTATGTCCCAGCACGTGAGATCCCAAAACTGCATCGACAACTCAGCGCATCTGAGAAGGCGACGACATCCGAGATTTGCTCGTTACACTAATAATCACCAGGTCAAGCACGGCGAGGACTGGGTCGCGTTGCCGCTGCTCAGTGCAATGGACGACATGGAGCGACACATTCAAGAGATGCTCGATTACGACCAATACCAAACACAACCCGGTCCTCCAGGTCTGGCAACATTCTTGGATAGTGGAGGGGCCAAGGCATACATCGTGCGCGAAGTGAAGCGTCGAGTGGAAGAGAAATTCGAGGACATCGTGGATACAGCGATAGCGGCGCATATGAGGCGACTCGAGGCTTCGCAAAAGATCGATCAGTCGTGCATTGACGAACTTCAGGTTGCAAGGAAACGTGAGAGCCGTACGCTCCAAGAGCTAGACTCGTTGCACCGCCATGAGCATACGCTAAATACAGCACTGGTGGAACGTCTGTTCGATGCGCCGTTATTGGAGGGTCATCCGGAGATACGATTCAGCGATACGACGTTTGGTCTACAGGGCACGGATAGCGTCAACTCAGTGCTGGTCGTGCACGTAGAGGCGCTGGTCATGAAGATACAGGGGCTGGAGCGGAAAGTGAAGTGGCTGCAAGCTGAATTGAAGGGGAAGAGTAATTGATGGCTGAGACAACATTTTTCCTTGGCCATTGTGCTCGAAGCAAAGCAAGATTTGGTCAGGTGTTCAGTATCGCTTCTGGGGCTCGTCGAGTGGCTACGGAGGCGCACTCAGTGCAAGAAAGGCTAGCGCAACGGCTTCCGTAGCGCTGTACCTAGCTGTTGCCTACTCACAGGAATGACCATGTTCCATGGCGATAGCAATAGACGGGCTGATCTTCGAAAACTCGCATTGAACGAGGAGGTTCCACGCCATGACACATTTTCTGCCTCAATTCATCCTCTTCGGCGCCTCTATGATCGAATGGGGTTTCCAGGAAGAAACGGAAGGACTCGGATGGTTTCTTCAGGATGTGTACCGAGACAGAATCAGTGTTAAAAACGAGGGTAAGCAGTCAACGCACCTTCCCCGCATTTAGCGTGCGGCTATACAGCGCTGCCTTGCATTTGCTTGCTCGCTGATCACCCATTCACAATGAACAACTTGTCGAGGATTGTGAGCAAACGTTGGCAGAAGAATAAGCTTGGGATGGATGACGTGTCATTGCACGCGCAAGCCCCTCGATTCATTTTGTTCGGTGACTCCCTTATCGAGTGGGCTTTCGACGAGCACAATGAAGGCTTTGGATGGTATCTCGAGCAGAAGTATGGGGAGAAGGCTCAGGTACAATGTGAAGGTACCTGGGAGTTAGCAGCATATGCATTTACGTCAAAATATGTAGGAGACCCTGACTAACGTGTTGACAGGTCAAGCAGGGTAAGTTGCATCTCGCAACGTAAGTGCCAGACCTCAGGGCATTGATAGAAACTACAGCTACACATCTACTCGCCTCCTTCCTGCCTTCGACCGAATCATCGCCCAAGCTACATCTCCCAATGCGCCACGCACCCTCCTCTTCATCATCTTCTTAGGCGCCAACGATGCCTGCTTTGTCGGCAATGCAGAGTATGTGGCTCTGCCGACTTTCGAGGCCAACATCCGCAAGCTCGTAGAGACAATCCTTGTTCAGGACGTCATGACTGACACCAAGATCGTGCTAATTACGCCACCACCTATCAACATCCCAGCTCCGGATGCTAAAGGCAAAGAAGGAGACGAGATTCGAACTGCAAACGAGGTAGAGAGGAAGAAGAAGGGTTACAGGACGTACATGAGTAAGAAGAGGTATGCAGAACGAGTCATGCAAATTGCTAGAGAGTATGAAGAGACTACGCGGGTCATTGGGGTGAATTTCTGGGACGATTTGATAAGAACTAGACTGCAAGAGTTTGATGAGGGTTATGATGATGAGAAGCTGCCAGGGTCTGGGCTATACGGGGCAAGGGACTTCGGTGAGGGTTACTTCACTGATGGGCTGCACCTGGATAAGAAGGGATACACTGTGCTCTCGAAGGGACTTTACGAGGCGGTGCTCGCAAGATGGCCTGGGCTAGCTCCAGACCGTCTATAGATCGCACAGGAGGTCCTGGGAATGCTAACTCGGTATCTTGAATTCATTACTGGGTATCTTGTCAAACAATGAATGGTGCTTAGCCCCTATTGAGCGTGTTACCGGAGCCCTTGGGGTTCTCTTCGACATACTCATCCCATGCACGAGCCTTCATCGTCTCAGCGTCGGCTGCGTCGAGATCGTCCTCATTAGGTTCAGGTCGAATCTCAGACTGCGGTCCTCCACCTTCGATGATCCCACCACGACGTTTCTCCTCTTCAAGATACTCGTCGATCGTCATAGTCGGCAAGCTGTGATCGGGGCGAAAGACGTTCTTCTTGAGGGTCTGGCGGTTGTCGAGAAGTGTGAACGGTCGCATCGGCTTGCCGTCACTGCTGAGGATAGGTCCAGAGTACCCAAGACCACCGACTTGTCCGTCGAGACGTTCGGAGTAGCCGTCCTTATTTCTTCCATCTTCCCGACCATCTTGTGGGCGCGCACTTTGGCCTGGTGGAGGTGCAGGCGGCGCGAGCGAGATAATGTGCAGTTCCTGGGCAAGGGACTCGAGCGACTGGAACGTTTGATGCACCATAAAGGCGATGTTTGTAAGGTTCAAGTCCCGAACAACTTGGTCATCTTGCTCCGCAAGTTTGGGGTTCTGCTTGAGATACTGCAAGCTTATGTCAGCAACTGCTTCATCGATCGCTGCCGTCAGACCTACCTCGAGCTTTCGTTTCAGTTCCTTCTCTTCTCTAAATCTCGCAATTTTTACATCTCTTCTTGCGGCGGCATCCACCGAGCTGACTGTAGAGAAGTTCCGCTTATCTTCGTTGTACGACTCGAAGAGCTTTGCATCCCCCTTACTTAGCACGTCATACGAGTCCAACAGTTTCAAAAACAGCTCATACCGAGCTCTTGCTTGCAGAAGATGCTCTTTTCGTGCTGAGACCTCTGGGGTGAAGACCTTTTGGATAAGCTCAGCCAAATGATAGTTGATGGACATGTATCTGATGCAGCTGTGAGCAGGCTGCAGAAGAAGCTAGATTCCAGAACGTACTGAATATCAGACGAAGAGATATCCTCAAGTGTCTCGTTCGGACTGAATAGCGAGAAGTCCTCGGTCTTCTTCAGACATTGAATGTACGTGGCGATGGCCTTCTCGAGGGTTTCCTGGTATGTCGGGCTGTTCGGCTCGTATGACCGTCCCAGCTCTTCCCGATCGCGTTCCGCTTTCGCAAATAAGCCACGTACGCTTTGGTCTTCGCTCGACATTTTAAGTTGTTTGCTTGGGTATGGAGTGTCAAGTGAACTGGAGCTGTGAGGATGCTGATTGAGCCCCACGTGAGTTGGCGTTGATGACAAACATTTGCGCCCCGCGATTGCCCCACCACAGCAGACACGTCTTACAACGCGTCCATCAACAACTCCATCATGAATCGTAAACACGAACGCCTAGTGCATCATTTAGATCGCGAGAGACACCTTGACTGTTATGTCTGTACTATTGGTATCATAGGGGCGCGCTCGCTCACTGGCGGGCGTGCAGCGGCAGGCGCTTGCTCCGTTTGCTTCTGCCCAAACAAGACGCGTCTGCGCAAGCACCAGGTAGTCTTCTATTACACTCGACCGAGGTCGTTTGAATTCAACCTTCTTCTTGCCTAGTTCAGTCCCCAGATTCTTTCCAACCTCTCTGCGAGCATTCTTATCCTCTGCACGAACACATCTCGAAACCATACACAAGTATAATGGGGTGGGCCAACGTCGAAGAAGAGCAGGAGCTCGAGTACAACTCTTGCGACGACGTATTTGTCTCTGACGACGGCGATAAGCAACCCCAAAGATCTGACATTCTAGAACTCCAGCTGCAAGAGCCAGATGGTGATGATGGCGACGACTCCGACATTGATGCTGACATCGCCCGCGCTTACGGACCCAAGACGACATCGGAAAGACGCAGGACTCAGAATGAAGTTCTGAGAGCTTTTGCTACTAATATCACTTCCCTCATCACGCAAAGAGAGGTTGAGGAGGCCATTTCGAAAAGTGCAAACGAGGAGCAGCTCTCCATCACGGATATTCTCGCGAAACAGGAAACGACTGTCCGCATTACCAACCCCCGCGATTACCAGACCGAGCTTTTCCAGCGAGCTAAGAATGAGAACTTGATCGCGGTGCTCGACACTGGATCGGGCAAAACCCATATCGCGACACTCTTGCTCAAACATGTCCTCGATGAAGAGCTTGAGAACCGGGCCAAGGGCGGTGTCCGCAGAACTGCATTTTTCCTGGTCAGTCAGTACCTCCACTCACCATATTTCCTGAACTGACACCTCCTAGGTCGATTCGGTCAACCTTGTCTTTCAGCAAGCAAACGTCCTCCGCTGCGGCCTCGACCAAGGTGTCGAACCAGTCTGCGGTGCTATGGGTGCTAGCCTTTGGCGCAAACCTACGTGGGATTCCTACTTCGCCAAGAACATGGTCATCGTATGCACTGCAGAAGTTCTCGCACAGTGTCTGATGCACTCCTTTATCACCATGGCCCGGATCAACTTGCTCATCTTCGACGAAGCACATCACGCAAAGGACAATCATCCCTATGCTCGCATAATGAAAGACTTCTATTCACACGAGGGTGACAGTTCCAAACGGCCTCGACTGTTCGGCATGACAGCATCGCCAGTAGATGTCGGAGGTCTCAAGCCTGGAGTTGTAGTCGAAGCAGCAGCTAATCTGGAGAGAATGCTTTGCTCCAAGATCGTGACTGTCAGCGAAGAGATACTTGCCGCAAACAACATCAGTCGTCCAACCGAATACGTCGTTCTCTACGATCGATTAAAGACTGAGTTCGAGACACCATTCCACAACAGAATCAAAGCACAGTATGGCAATGTCAAGGCCTTCTATAAGTTCTTCGTCACCTCTAAGCGGATCGCTTCAAAGCTTGGGAGGTGGGCTTCTGACATGTACTGGTCTTTCGCGTTTGCAGACGAGCAAGCCCGCAAACTACAGCAACGAGAGGAATTCCAATACAACAGGCTCAATGGTACCTACGTAAATGTCGAAGAGCTCGATGCTAAGATTCGGTGTCTTAAGGACGCGGCACTGTTCGTGCAAGGGCAGAGCTTCGGTACACCCAGCCTTGGCAACGTTGATCTGAGTGCGAAGGTCATGAAACTTCACGAGTGGCTCGGCATGTACTACAAGCGAAGCGACGAGCCGCGATGCATCGTTTTCGTCGAGCAGCGCCAGACTGCACACCTTCTCAAGCTCATCTTTGACCACGTTGGCGGGCCGAATCTTCGGTGCGACGTATTAGTTGGAGTCAACTCACGCGTTAGTGAGCACAACGTCTCACTACGCAATCAGATCTTGACTATATCGAAGTTCCGACGAGGCGAGCTGAATTGCATGTTCGCTACGTCGGTGGCGGAGGAAGGACTTGATATTCCTCAATGTAACCTTGTCGTTCGCTTCGACCTGTACCGCACTATGATTGCATACGTACAGTCGCGAGGACGGGCAAGACACCGTAATTCGAAATACCTGCACATGCTAGAGAACGGCAACCACGATCATCGCGAGCGACTCATGCAGGTCAGACTGGATGAAACGGTCATGCGAAACTTCTGCAAGGGCATCGCGCGTGACCGACTTCTGGATAGCCTCGAAGACGAGTCAGATGACTTGTTTGCAATCGAAGAGAAGCTCTACCCGAGCTTTGTTGACCCAGTCTCCGGCGCAAAACTTACTTATCGAACAAGTCTCGCAGTGCTCAATCACTTCGTAGCGACTTTACCAACTCCAAACCACGAAACTCACCTGCAACCGACCTACGTCCTCAGTGCTGAAGTGGGAATGGATTCTCACGACACACAGCGCTCGGGCTTTCGATGCGAGGTAATACTGCCCGAGTGCTCGCCTATCATTTCAATGGTAGGCAAGGTTGAGAGCAAGAAGACCATTGCCAGATGCTCGGCAGCCTTTTATATGTGTCTTGAGCTCCACAAGAAAGGTCACCTCAACTCCAACCTACTTCCCACAACGCTGAAGAATTTACCCGCCATGAGGAACGCTCTGCTAGCCGTCAGCGAGAAGAAGAAAGGTAACTACCCAATGCTCATCAAGCCCACGTTTTGGAGACAAGACCGCGGTCAAACTCCCGAACATCTTTACCTCACAATCATCAACGTCGACAAGGGCCTCGATCGACCTCACCAGCCACTTGGCATCCTGACTCGCAATGAGTTCCCACAGTTGCCATCGTTCCCTGTCTTCCTCGCGGATGGAAGGCCGTCGAATGTGGTTTCTCAGTCGTTCAATATGCCCTTCTCAGTCGACGAAACCGATTTAGAGATCGTCACGAAGTTCACTCTGCGTGTCTACGAAGATCTTTACAACAAGACGTATGAGTACGATGTGCCAAAGATGTCATATTGGGTCGTCCCCGTTCGCTCGATCAAGCCTGGCCTATCTCCGCCACCAGCATCTTTCGAAGATGTTGTGGACTTGGTGCAGATACGCAAGGTATCCGAGTCGCCAAGTTGGCAGTGGACCGCCGACACGCCAGACTATGAGCTCTTGGACAAGTACATCATAGACCCCATGAACGGTGGTCGCAGGTTCTACTCTGAACGTATCGCAGCCCACCTCAAAGCACAAGACCCGGTGCCAGCACACATTCCGCGTCAGAACCAAAAATTCATGGACAGTATCCTCGATTACTCAGACAGCAAGTGGCTGAGGAGCCGCGATATTAACAGGTGGCACAAAGATCAACCTGTACTTGAAGTTGAGAAGATCCCGTTCAGGCGCAACAACCTCGCTCGAGTGGAGGATAAGGAGGTGGAGGAATTTGGCAAATTGAAGACTGTTATCTGTCCTGAGCCGATGCGCATCTCAAACATTGCAACGCCGTTCGTGGTCATGTGCTATATCCTTCCCGCCATCATTCACAGGTTTGAGAGCTACCTCATCGCATTGGAAGCTTGCAAGCATGTCGACCTCAATGTCAGCCCAGCTCTTGCGCTGGAGGCCCTGACTAAGGATTCCGAAAATTCTGACGAGCATGGAGAAGAGAAGATCAACTTCAAGAGAGGAATGGGGCCGAACTACGAGCGCCTCGAGTTCTTGGGCGACTGTTTCCTGAAGATGGCTACCTCCATCTCAACTTTCGTACAGCAGCCCAACGAGAACGAGTTCGAGTTCCACGTCCGTCGTATGCTAATGCTCTGCAATGCAAATCTCATGGACACTGCAGTGGGGAAGAAGAAGTTCTTGTTTGAAGACGGCGAGGAGCGTGGCCTGCAGCTCTTCAACTACGTCCGAACCATGGCCTTTTCACGGTGAGCACATCTTCTCGGAGAGAAGCGAAACCAGCTAACATGGCGTAGTCGTACCTGGTACCCCGAGGGCCTGAAGCTGCTCCGTGGAAAGGGTGTGGGCAAGAGCGAGGACGACCGGCTCAAGCTGACTCACAACCTTGGTGATAAGTCCATCGCTGACGTCTGCGAGGCCTTCATCGGTGCAACCTTTATGCAGCATCACCACGATGGCCCGTGGTCGCCATCAGACTGGGACGAGACCGTCAAAGCCGTCAAGCTCTTCGCCAATAGCCCCGACCACCCGCAGTCGAAGTGGTCAGACTACTCTGCAAGCTACATGAAGCCACAATACCAAATCGCCGAGTCAACAGCCACCCAACTCGACCTCGCCCGTAAGATCGAGGCCAAGCACCCGTACAAGTTCAAGTACCCACGTCTCCTGCGCTCCGCCTTCGTTCACCCGAGCCAGCCCTTTATGTGGGAGCAGATCCCAAACTACCAACGCCTCGAGTTCCTCGGCGACTCACTCCTCGACATGGCCTTCATCATACACCTATTCTACGCCTACCCCGACAAAGACCCGCAATGGCTGACCGAGCACAAGACGCCCATGGTCAGCAATAAATTCCTCGGCGCCGTCTGCGTGAAGCTAGGCTGGCACACGCACATCCGGCAAAATACGGCCATCCTCTCCTCTCAGATCCGCGACTATGTGCACGAAGTGCAAGAAGCCGAGCGCGAAGCCAACGGCGCAGTCGACTACTGGGTCAGCGTCTCCGAGCCGCCCAAGTGCCTCGCCGACGTAATCGAAGCCTACGTCGCCGCACTCTTCGTCGACAGCGAATTCGACTTCAACATTGTCCGCGACTTCTTCACGCGCCACCTGAAGCCCTTCTTCGAGGACATGACGCTCGCCGCCTACGAGAACTTCGCCTCCAATCACCCCACCACCCGCCTGTCGCGCCTTATGGGCACCACCTTCGGATGCAGCGACTGGCGCCTTGGTGCGCTGGAGACGCAGACGTGCATCCCCGGCAAGGGTAAGGCAATCGTGGCTATGGTTGTAGTGCACGGGAAAGTCGTATTCCATAGTCTTGGGCAGAGCGGGCGCTATGCACGGGTAAGGGCGAGTCAGGCCGCGCTCGAAGTCCTGGACGGACTGCTGCCGTTTGAGTTTCGGATTAGGTATGGGTGTGATTGCGTTGATGGGGAGCGGGGCCTGGAGGCGGAGGATCAGGAGCGGGCGGTGAGGGAGAGGGTTGGGCTGAGCATTTGAGTTGTCTGTAGCTGGGTGTGGAGGGCGTGGTGGAGAGTACATGGGACGATCAATTGATATGTGTTTCTTGCTCTCGAACGTTACTCGCGTTTTGAAAAGTCAAAGGGGTGATGAATTGCGATTGAAAGTCCTGATGTGATAGTGGGTATCGATAACTACAACTAAAAGCGATTGCTGGCAAAGCATCCTCGCATGTCTTACTGCGGATCTCACCACATTCTCCTTCGATCAAGATAATACAGGGTATTGGTATTATGCAGGGTATAGGGGTATATCGCCGACAAAGCAGAACAAAAAACGCCAGAGACCAAACCCATGCGGCGACCACCCACTACGATGCTCTCCCCTCCCTGTCCGTCTCTCACACAGATCAGCACGCACTTCTCTAGACATCGGGATCATCCTCAACCCTGACCTCTGGCTCCGGCAGATACTCTCTCAACTGCACCATCCTGTTCCGGCAATGCACGACAAAAATCGCCGCCGCGAGCGCATTCCACACATCGAACCCTTCCTTCCCAAAATCAAACATGGCAATGAGCCGCAAGCCTGGCGCGCGGTTCTCCTTGGACAGCGGCAGGTAACTCACAAACGCCATGATGGTGTGGGACGCTGAGACACCGTAAAGGGTCGGGACTTCCAGACTTGTGGACGATGACGAGGTGAAGGAGGATGTGGTAGCGCGCGCGGCGAGCGCAGATTCCCAGCGTGAGTGCAGGGCGCCAAGCTTGGCGAGGGTGCGCGATTCGAGGACTGTGCTGGGGACGTCTTTGCTGACTGTGACGGTTTCGAAGAGCGGGAGAGTGGACCAGTGAGCGTCGACATTGCCGTCTTTCATGGCCCAGCTGGTGTACTTTGTCAGCGCGCGCTTGACGTGGTATTGCGGTTGGCGTCTGGGCGCGCGGATTACGATCGAGTCGCGGACGTAGGCGCCGAGGTCGAGTAGAGGGGAGAGTGCTAGTTGTGCTGCGGTCTGTTAGCGACGCAATGGAGAGCGATGGAGGTAACGTACCGTGGTAGTGCGTGCCCAACGCTGGCTTGATGAACGGCTTGTCTGGTACTTCTGTGAAGAGGTCTGCAGGCAAGCTGGGTAAGTCGTCTACCCACTCGATGGGCATGATGGGTTCGTATCCGCGGTTGTTGATCTTTTGGAATAAAAAGATGGCGTCCTCAGGCCAGCCTGCGCCTTGCAGCTCCTGTCCCTGCCTCTGCTGCTTAAGCAGACGCTCGTCGAAGCTAATGCCCTTGTGGGTCTCGAGGTAGCCGCCGTCATCTACAACGATGGTGTCGTCGTTAGCGTCGACTTCAACATCTTGGTAGTCACTTTTGTTGAAAGTTGGCGATATAGGTGACGTATTGAACAGCGTGTCGCCCTCGAACCCATCGTGGCCCTCCGGTGACCGTACGACGGAGTCCGGGGGTGACATGGGCACCAGCGTGATGTCGACATCGCTGCCAGGGCTAGGTGTCCGTGTTTGCCAGATGTTCACGCGCGACTCTGGGCTCAGATCCCGGTCTGGTGGGCTCAATAGCTGCTGTGGGGGTTGCCGGTGCTGCTTAAAGCTTGGCTTGGTGGGGATTGCGGGGACTTTGAACTGGAATGGCTTCTCTCGAGCTTTCTGCGTCTTCCGAGGGCTGATGTAGGCCCACACCTTAATCGCATAGTCATGGAGGATCGTCATAGTGCGGTGTCACCTGCGCAGGCAGGCTGAGTCGAGTCGTGTGTCGTGAATTGTCGTAGTGAAGAATGCGAGTAGGAGTCGTGATTCGAGACGCGCGGGAGCAGCGCGGAGGTTGACAATAGCTATTGTGGAAGGTGCCACCGGTGACAGTGAGGGTGAATGCCAGTCAGCCCACCCTCAAAGCGGGACTGGAACAATAGGCAGGAGCATTCGCCTTTGAGCATCAGGTACCAAAGACGGTGCTTTCACCCCGGGCCATTGCTGCGCGTGAACCCTGAACAATGGACTCGGAACTCGGTGGCTGGCTTAGCGTGATGCGTGGTCACGAGGCTCTTTACGCGGTCGAGCAGAGATTAGATTAGATCGAAGAAAAGATCTGATACCCCGCCGATATACGATGCGCGGCGCAGCCCCACTAGAATTTGTCCTCGATTTGCATCTTACGAAACAGCCCAGCGATCACCGCCGAGTTTCTTCTACTTCACGTTCTCTAGGCTTCGACTCCACACACTCCTTCAAACCGCAGCTATGACCGTGCCCGAGGATACCCAGACCACGCAGGTCTCCCAGCTCCGCAGCATCCTCACCTCCGAGCAGGAGCCTCTCGCGCGCCGCTTCCGCGCCCTCTTCTCGCTGAAGTACCTCGCTTCCTTGCAGCCGCCGAGCGAGGAAACGGTTCCCGCAATTGAGGCGATTGCCGCTGGCTTTGGATCGCCGTCTGCGCTGCTGAAGCACGAGCTTGCGTACTGCCTCGGCCAGTCTCGCCACGATGCTGCAATTGCGCCGCTGAGGCAGGTGTTGATGGATAAGCAGGAGGATGCCATGTGCAGGCACGAGGCTGCCGAGGCGCTTGGTGCGCTGAGTGACAAAGGGAGTCTGGACTTGTTGAGGCAGTTTAGGGATGCAAAGGATGAGCCGGATGTTATTACTGAGACTTGCGATATTGCAGTGGACAGGATTGAGTGGGATCATGGGCTGCAGAAGGGCCAGGAGAAGATCAAGAAGAGGTATGTTGACTTTGTACGAGAGCGCGCATGTGTGGGTACTGATCGTGTTAGTGACTTCACATCCATCGACCCTGCGCCGCCAATGCCTCAGTCCTCGGACAAGCCTTCCATTGCTGAGCTCGAGAACACCCTGCTTGACACCAAGCTGCCTCTGTTTCAGCGCTACAGGGCCATGTTCGCGCTGCGCGACCTCTCGTCACCGCCTGATCTGCCCACCGCAGTCCCGGCAGTCCAGGCTCTTGCCCGTGGCTTTGACGACCCTTCAGCGCTGTTCCGTCACGAGATCGCTTTCGTCTTTGGACAGCTGTCGCATCCCGCGTCCATTCCAAGTTTGACCAAGGCGCTGAGCAACACAACGGAGGCGAGCATGGTTCGCCATGAGGCTGCGGAGGCGCTCGGCAGCCTCGGCGATGAGGAGGGCGTGGAAGACACTTTGCGCAAGTTCTTGAACGATCCAGAGCAGGTTGTACGTGATAGCTGTATTGTGGCGCTCGACATGGCTGAGTTTGAGAAGAACGGCGAGAGGGAGTATGCCATCATCCCCTCGCAGGCCACGGCTGTTGCGGCTTAGATTGGGTATCGTTTGGGTGCGTGCATGACTACAAGGCGTTTGCTATCAAAATGGGTCTAGAGGAAAAAGCAATATCCGCTCAGTTGTTGGTGTTCCATCTGCACGGCAGCATTAGCGTGGTTCTTGGAAATGACAGAGACGAGCGAAGCATACTTGTGACCACAGTCGCACTCGTAGAAGACAGTGGACCCTTCGTCTGCGCTGCGCAGCTGCTGTGTGTAATAGCGCACCTCCTCGCGGCCGCACTCTTCGCAGCGCTGGGCAATGACACTGGTGGTGTTCACGTCGTCTTCGGAGAGCGTCTGCACCTCGGACCGCTTTGCGCGCAGGGCCGAGGGGAAGGCGGTTGGCTTGGAGACAGTGATGACGGTCTTTGATGAGGTATCTGCAGCACTCGGTCAGTCCATGCTCGTCTCAGACTGTCTGCTACCGTGCTCGCCCACCTTTGCAGTTTGCGCCGCAAACGGTGCAGGTCAAGATGACGTTCTGTTTGCCTGCACTGCCGTCGAGCAGGTTCCCGCAGTCGGTGCAGAAGACGAGAGAGCCGATAGCTGCCATTTTGGAGTGCTGTGGCCGGTGGTGGGCGACTGATTGGTGAAGTTGGAGATGTGGGAAACCAAAAAGTTCGCGGAGATAGATCAGCCGCGGAAGCTGCCCTGCAGGCCCGCTTGACGAATGGGGCAGGCGGTCAGACGCGTCTTGAATACGCCCACCCCAGCAGCCGCATCATCTCATCTGCGTCGGCAGAAGAGGCGTCTCTGCATTGCTTGCCGTCCGAGCGCATTCTTCGCGGGAGAGAACGAGCTCTGCCACGGCCATGTGCTTCCCACTGCCGCCATAGCGACCCTTTCATTCCCTTCCGGCCATCCATCATCGGCGTTTGCCTGACTACCGAGCTCCCCACGGCGGTCACTGCGCCGAGGAGAGATATGATGGACGGGCACTACAACGGTGCCTGGCACAATATGCAGCACCAGGGTATGCCCTACCGGCCGCCGCCGACGGTGGATGAGGCGATCCCATACTCGCCTTTCACATCCATCATTCCCTTCTCGCTCGGTGTGTAACTCGACGTCACTGAGGCATTGCTGCGGCGTGCTCTCTCACCTGCCATGGATCGATAGACTGACAGCGACCAGACATCATACCCTTCCCCTCTGCCGAGCCTCCCACGCCGCCCTCCACCCTCACCCACCAACAACAGCAAGCTGCGAAGAGGGCGGTTGGAATGCTGAACAGCGAGATCAACGGCCAGTCCGCTGCTACACATCTCAGCAGCACCCTCAGCCAGCTTCGCGGCCTCTTGGTTTCTGAAGAGCTGCCGGAGTAGTGAGTGACTTCACCTACCATGTCTAGATGCGGCAACTGACGATAGCCAGCAACTTCAAGTCCATACCCCAGCTCGCAACCCCGCCCCCCGAAAGCCCCACGAAGCAAGCCAATGGCCCGAGCTCGCGAACCACGTCCTTGCTGAGTCCCTTTGCGGCTATGCTGCTGAAGAACACCGATATTGCCTACTCTTGTGAGTGGACTAGACCAGTTACTACACCGTGACCTAACAGCGACAGCTTTCGGTATTAGCACGGACGAGCCGATTCGCAGCCTCAAGCCTCCACAGCAAGCCACGCCACTGCCTCGAACCACCTCGCAGACACACACTCCCAAAGACACCGCACACTCTCAGAACGCCGCAATTCCATACCCGTCCAGCGCACTCTCGTCTGTCTCCAGCAGCACGCCGCTGCGTCCTGGCCCCGCCGTGGTGATCAAACCTGCCGCCGTGAGAAAAGAAGAATACCAGCGATTTGACCACATCGCGGTTGGCGCACCCTCATCGCACAGGAAGGCTGACGGTAGTACATCGGTCCTCAGGCCACATGAGCGAGAGATTGCCGACCGCAAGATCGAGGACTTGGAGGCTCTCGTGATCAAGCTGAACGAAGACAGGGACGACCTGGACGCGACTGGCAGCTTTACACGAGTATCGATAGCAGACGGCGAGATGAACGTCATGGAGCCACGAGCAATGGATCGTCTGTCTGACAAGATGGCGAATGTCAATAACCTTGGCCGTTTCGCTGAGCTATCAGTCGATCTAGTCTCTCAAATCCAGAAATTGCTGGACCCGAGTATCACTTGCGCAGGCCAGCTCACCCTGTTTCCACAAGACGAGGACTGGTCTGATGGCATCGACAAAGCCAGAGCTGCTCTCCAGGCCTCAAACCTTATGCTGACGTCTATGATCGACGGTCGCGATGACTATCGGTTACGGCCTGAAGATACGGTCAGCGCCATCATTGACCTGATCAAGGTGATACGTAACGAATGCATCGTCCCTGTAATCCAAGCACGTCGCGGCGACACTCTGTTTGACTCTGCAACTTCACGCAGGAAGGAACTTCTCAGCGTCCTCCGAGGCTGCGGCACCGTCTTGAGCCGCTTTGCTACCCTAATTGGCAAAGTCAATCTCCCAGAGCGTGGTCTGAACATCTTGGAAGATCTGGTTGTGGGGCTTCTCGTCGAACAGAACAGTGATTCGGAGAAGGACTCGGTGTATGGCATCAAGGCGTTTGAAACTTTCAGACAGAAGGCCATGGATGTCCTTGCGCAAATATTTGCTCGACATACCGAACAACGACCTTCCATCTTAAATGGCATCCTCAGCAATCTGGAGAAGTTGCCCGACAAGAAGGCCAGCGCCCGACAATTCAAGTCTGCGCGCGAAATGCCTGTCATGTCCATCTCTGCGCTCTTCATGCGATTTGTGCAAGTTGCGGCAATGAACAAAGAATCACGGATCAACCGTATGTCCGATAACAGGGAGAATCATCCTGAAGACGAAGACTTGGCCAGCGATTACGAACCTAGCGCATCGGCATCGCTGACGTCGAAGCGCAAGAGCAAGACCGGCGCGTCTGGTCAGAGTGCAAGCTTCTTGGCTGCTAATGCGAGAAATATTGCAGACACAATCACTGGAAGCCTCATTCACAGAGCTTCGAACGTCTCCAAGACCGGAGATAAGCCGTTCCGCAATCTGCTGGACCTCTTCATAGAAGACTTCTTGAATGTGCTGGGCTCGCCTGAATGGCCCGCGGCTACCATACTTCTACAGAGCTTCTTGGCGCGAATGATCGCAACGGTGAGCGCAGAGAATGCAACAAAGCATACTGTTGTTGACAAGGACATGGCTCTCTCCACCCTGGCGAAGATGGGGTGTGGTGTCATCGATTTCAAGCATCGCTTGAGGCAGCTGAAGCGGGGCCTCGATTCGTCGCAATCCGAGCTCTCCGCTAAACTCGATCGCCTTGCCGAGGACGTTTTTGATGACAAGAATGGAATCAGTGCTATCGACCTGTACGAGTTTGGTGGTCCATATCGCATGGTCATCGAGTCACTGAGCAGCTACCTGGAGCTCCGGAGAGATCAAAAGGATCTCCACTTGGAGTCTGTGACTGGTTGTCACATCACATTTTGGCTCGATGCTGTCCGAGAGAAGCTTGACAAGCTTGAGAAAAGCTCCCCGGATGCCGTACCTTCACGACTGATCGAGGTGCAGCGGAACTTGGAAGCCATGCTTGCAGATCCGCGATGGCTGGAACGCAAGTAGTGAGTCCGCCCAAATATCAGCGCGAAAGCGGAACACTAACCAATTCCTCAGCAAACCCCAAGAGGTCTCCGAAAACCAGGCCAAGCTAGCAGCTGGCATTGTCACGTCGCAAGCTCCACTTTGCACGTTCGTTCCCTACATCGTTGGGCTCATGCGGACAGCCACCGAAGACAAGGTCTCCTCCAAGCTGCGGTCGAGAGGCATGACCGGTCTAGAGCAACTGATTGAAAAGGACCCTCGTGTCGTCGATGAGAATATGGTGGTCAGTCTAGTGGCTTCCCTGCGAGACGCCTCGCCTATGGTCCGTGAACACACCCTTGGCCTAGTTGCACAATGTCTAGAGCGCGACCCTAGCCGCGAAAAGGCGTTCTTGGGTCATGTTCTTATCCTGACTACCGACCCGTCGAACGGGCCCAAAAAGAAAGCCATCAAGTTACTGAAAGGGCTTTACGTCAGTACACCATCCAGGGAGAACAGACTCCAGATCGCCAAGGCACTTCTTCTACCATCACAGGATGACGAGAAAGCTATAGCAGAGCTTAGCCGTGGTGTTCTCGAGGAGCTTTGGATGACGCCCCTAGCGTCTGCTACACGTACTGATGAGCATCAAGTAAAGTTGGACCGCGCCCACAGGGCCATCCTACTCGCGGATGTTATTCAGACGATACACAGGCAGCCGACATTACTCGAGTGCTTTGAGAAATTTCTCGTCTATGCCCTCTCCGACGAGGCGAAAGCCAAAAAGTCGAACGTCCGCCTGTGCAAAGAGCTTATCGCCGAGATGTTCGACAAAGCTATCGAGGTCGACTCCACGACCGGTGCACGGTCCCCGCAAGCAAAGATACTGTACGCCCTGAGTGTGTTCGCCAAGATTGATCCGACCTTGTTCACTATGGCTCAAGTCGACGATCTCAAAATTCACCTCATCGCACCCAAGCAAACCACCGAGCTGGCGATCATTCAGCCCATTGTTAGGATCTTCCGTTACGTGTTCCCAGCGCTGCCATTTCTGGACCCGAAGCTTGCGGAGCATGTGCGAGCTAATCTCATGAGTATGCTCACGAAGCTCGCCCAGTGGGCGGTTCACGCTCATGTCACTAGTCGCGACACGTTGACTGATGTTGCGCACTGCTTGTGGACTATCTGCCCGCTTGTCGAGTTCGGCCTGGCCAAGCTATTTACCAGCATCCACAGTTCCCTGTGTATCGTACAGCAGAACTTTGTGGGGCCCAGCAAGAAAGAAGCAGTAGTGGCGAAACCTAATAGTGTTTGTGCGTTGATCATTTTGATTGGAACACTGGGCAACGTCTGCCTCTTTGATAAGCACACGACCATATTCATGGAGAGACTCGCAAACTATGCGCGCAATACGATCTCTCAGAAGAAGGTCAAAGCAGAGGACCTGGCTCCCCTAATCAAAGGCTCGTCCTCGGTGTCCTCCCTGCTTCTCGACACAATTCGACCTTTCACAATGCAGATCTATGGTATGGACATTCGGGAGCACGCTATGCGTAGTGTGGGTGGCATCTGTCAGCAAGCTCCAGAGCTCTTCATGCGGAAGGATATCGAGACACTGATCAAGCTTGTCTTCATCAATGAAGACACCGACCGATTAAAGCTTGCGGTACTGTCCACCTTCGAGGTGTACTTCACACAAGCCGAGCGTCGCTCAGAGACGGGTTCAGCGATTGCCGTTGGTGAGGGCGCTGTGCATGGATCGGCACGCTTGGAGTCGTCCTACTCGGCAACAGCGACAGATGCTGCTACCACGCACGTGGCTAAACAGTTCTTGGAAAGCTTTAAGGATATTGCTTTGAAGAACGGCAACGCATTGGCAGAATCGGCAACGAACATCATCGCGAGCATCAGCCGAGCGGGCTTGGAGCATCCCAAGGAGTGCGGTGCCGCTCTTGTCGCCTTGTCAACATCCATGAACAAGAACATCGCACATGTTGCTGCCGTGGAGCATAAGAGAATTCACGAGAAGCAGGAGTCGTACCTCGAGAAAGAGTACGTTCAGGCCGTTCGGATTGCCTACGACTACCAGTGCGATGTCTTCAAGGACCCGCATGGCATGCTCGAGTCGAGCCACAGTCCCAAGCTTGCTCATCTATTCGATGCCTTGAAGGGGGGTAAGAAGGCAACATTCAAGAAGTTCGTCGATAATCTCTCCAAGCAGCTCGATTTTGACTTCGCCAAGCTGGACACGACTGGCGAAATGCCAAACATTGTACTCTTCACCCGATTCTGCCTTGAGAACCTGGGTCTGGCTGATTTCACCACTCTCGACATGGTCGCTTCTTTCATCGACAGGGCGGAAGCCATAGTCCTGAAGGACGCAGGTCCTCTGGTCGCCGGTGAGATCGACAAGGAAATGCCACAACAAGCTGCGTTGCCGCACTCGTTTGTGTCGGCCAAGCTCGATGAAGAGCTGCAAGTTATGGCCATCGATCAGAGCATGGGTCAGTCTGTGGCACCCATCAGCCCTACGCCATCACAGCCTATGCCTCTCGAGATCAGCGATGACCGATTGCGAAAGTTTGCGACTGCCAGTATGGTCCTGCAAATGATCTGGGAGACACGCACATTCGTTCGTCGCTGCTACAACGTCCACAAGTACGGTAATCGTATCCCTCAGAAAGAGTATACAAAGCCTGCTCAGCGCAACAACTTCATCTCCGGTAAGGACCTCTGGGACCGTCTCATCCCGTACATGAGTGCATTAGACAGCCGAGAAGCCATGATCAAGTGCTGCTACGACTTCTCTGAGCTGCTGAACGTTGACCGGGAGGTCAAGGTCGGCGAAGATGAAGATGGTCTTGACGCAGCTCTGATGGACGCCGGCTACGAGACACCGACAGAGAATGGCGATGATGCGCGGCGGTCCGCATCGATCCCGACGAGCGGACGTGGCAGGAAGAGGAAGTCCAATGTTAGCCTGGGCAACACGCCGAAGAAACCACGCGGTCGCCTATCAGGCTCCAAGACCAAGAGCAGGAGCTCAAAGACCCCGGATGGCGCTGACGACTCCGAGTAGGGTTCGGGGCAGAGATTCCGTTGTGTGGAGGAACCTGAAGAATAGGAGGAGGAAAGGTGGAGGCGAGTCGTAACCTTCGAGGGCGATCGCATACGTCACGCTATCATGCAAGCACAAAAAGAAGAAGGGATGGCGATCATTATCTAGCATTATTGGCGTTCCACGGGCATCAGAGATACCCCTTGACACGGCCAGGCTGCATGTCTACGGCGTTTTGAAGACGACGGTCGGGGAGCTGACTTTTTAGCTCCATGCCCACAAGCGCTCGCTGCGCTTCGCGATAGTATGATATAGTCGGCACATCTCACAGCATAATCAACATATCCAGTCGAAACCCGTCGTTTCGGCATGTGCGTGTGGTGTTAGCAGGGCGTCAGGCCGTAGTTGTGACGCCGCCATTTTCTCGTGAGACCTTTCCGCCCCACTCCTTCGATGCACTGTGCAGTAAGGAACGGTTCCTCACTGTTGTTAATCTCAATAACGAAGTCGTTTATGTATATCGCATTTCCGACATTGATGAAAGGAAAGTAGCAAACACATCACTACGGTGCCATTCACACATGCACGGCGTCGGCGGCGGCGGCGGCTCGCGGCGCTCCGATCCATTTCAAGACCGCTACTTCATCAGAGACAGAGCCGAGGTTCGAGTACGAAGCACGCTTGATGTTCTGTTGCGCGCTGTGGGTGTGCCGTGAGACGCCTGCGGTAAAGGAGCGGAGCCGCACCCTCCACCTCCACGGCGCTCGAGACTTTGGTAGGTGGCGCGTTTTTCCTCTCTTTTCTTTTCTTCTCCTTTGCTACTACTCTCACCGCCGAAGCGACTCTGTGGAGAGCGTGAGGGTCATTTTTTGTGGAATCACGCTGAGTCTTGCGGTGCTCGAAGAATGGCGTGCGCTATGTTGGAAGAATCATGGGGTTCTGGGAACGTAGCTACGAACCGCCTGTGAGGGGACAGTCTTTGGGAACATCAGGATATCCGCCTTTTGGCATGTCTTGCTATAGTCATACTCAGACTCTTGCGCACACCGCTGTCTGTTTCTTAGCAATGGCCCAACCAGACGCATCCCTACGTATACACACACAATCACCCACCTAAATCCCGTCTCGCGGCCCAGCACACTTACCAAGGTTCGATACGCATCTCAGGCGCAGGCGTGCGGAACTCATCCTCGGGGTCTGCCTATTTCTCGCCATCGGCGGTTCTGACCACTACGCTGCCATCCTGCATGCCGAAGTAAACGGCAACAGGAACCTGCCCACCGCTGACTGCTGACTTCTCGGTATTCTTCGACCTCAGTGCTTGCGCGTCTAGACCGTTCAGGCCAGAGAAGATGCCGACCTCCAGTACTCCGGTCAGGCTCTTGATAGCTTTTGCGATGTTGTTGACCTCCCATGTGCCGTCAGTTCCATCGCCCTTGCCCTTTCCATTCTCGACATCTTTCTTCGTCAACAACTGTGGGAACACAGCATCGATGATGTAGAAGTCCTGATCCGTCTTCAGCGGGCCCGACTTCTCCAGCAGCGTTGTCCTCAGTTTAGGGTCCGTCGATCCTAATGTCCTCAGCGCAGCAGCAACCTTGTTCTGCGCCAGCGGCGCGACTTCGATCGGTATTGTGGGCCAGTTGGTCAGCAAGCGATCCTGTCTCTTTCTGTAGTCGGCGACGCAGACAAACTTCTTGGCGCGCTCAGCGACGAGCTTCTCCTGGAACAGACACGCACCTCCGCCCTTGATGCAGTTCAGCTCCAGATCGACCTCGTCGGCGCCGTCGAAGGCGACATCGAGCATCACGCCGTCAGGCAGGCTGTCGAAGCTGAGTGGTGTGAGCCCGGCGTTGATGATGACCTGTCGCGACTGGTAGCCCGTGGGCACGAAGCTGATCGCGGGGTTGGTAGAGCGCTCTTTGATGGCTTCAACGACGTAGACGATGGTTGTGCCCGAGCCAATTCCCACGTACGAGGCGTTGGCGTCGAAATGGTCGGCCACTGCCTGCTGGCCGGCTGCGCGCTTGGCGGCTTCGACATTTGTGTCGGCCATTGTGTGTGTGCTGGGTGGGGATGCAGTCGTAGTGAAGTGTCGGCGGGTAAGAGCGTGTGGGGGTTTGTTGTTTTGCGCAAATGACGCAGGAAAGCACGATGGGACTTTGGTGTGGAGGGGTGACAAAGAAGAGCGTCTCGCAACTTCAGTTTGGAGGGGCAGCTGTCGGTGCAGTGTCCGATGACTGATGCTTCGCAATTGCTGCGTGGGGCGCACAGCTCGCAATCGTGAGTTCATCGAACAATAATAACTGCAGTTGCTTCTTCATGAGCAATCGAAGCTAGCCACTATGATTTTGGTATGATTTAGGCTATTTGCCGATCGCAACGAGTAGAGACGTCAAGGTAAGCTCCTCGCGAGACGACAGAGCTTCTGCCAAACGACGCTCGAGCCCCACCAACCCCCACGTTCCTCGGTGGTTCGCACGTTCCTCGCATGAGGTTTGTGCATTGCCTCTCAACACGCCTGCACAGAAATTGAGTTCCTGTGTTAGAACAGCCAGGGTTCGATTCTCTCGAATAGTAGTTGGCCTTCATGCATGCTCATGAGTCCTCGGACAGTGGATGGCCATCATGCTTACAGTCATCGTCTGAGATGCGGGATACCTTTCCCTTTCGATTGACCAGCCTGCGAAGTCGCTATCACTACACATAGTCAATGCTTGGACGCACCTCCACAAGTCAGCCTCCTAGACAGCCTGCTAGTTCTGGAAACCCTCAACACGATACAGGTTCGACACGCTAGGCAACATCTTGAACACACGACATGAATGGATCATCCACATCAGCTCTGGACTGCGGAGTGGTGTACGGCACACCTCATGTCTATGGCACTGCATCAGGCCAACTACTAGCTTCAAGTCTCGAGCTCAGCTTCTGGGGTGGGGTTGACCATGGGACTGGAATTGTGATTGACCGCTCCCACCCCCTCGTTGGGCAGTGTACGAAGCATAAGATCCTGGCGATACCTGGCGGGCGAGGGTCATGTTCAGGGTCCGCTACCATCCTGGAGTTGATTATGAACGGTAATGGACCAAGGGCATTGATCTTTGAGCGCACCAACGAGATCCTTGCCGTAGGCGTCTTTGTCGCAGAAGAGCTGTTTGGAGAGAAGATACCCATGGTGGTGGTTGACCCTGACAACTTCAAGACATTATTGGGCTGGCATGAAAGATAGATCTACGTTCGCGACCATCGAATCTCGACCCAAGCATTGGAAGAGAGCATTAACAATATCTACATAGGCTTTGGTGCCGAACATTTGCAGCGCCACATGCCTGAGCTATCGGACACTGACAGGGCCATGCGTTCAGGTAACTGCGAAAACGGTGGATACATGAAAGCTCAAGGACTGGCCATGGCGATCATCATAAGAACTGCTTCAATCATGAAGGCCCCATCTTTGATGTCCGTTAGTCAAGCACATGTCGATGGCGCCCACTTCGGACCGGCATCAGTTCTCTTCGGCAAATGACTGCGCAACCTGGGCGGTAAGTTCGTAGTTCTCACCACCGTCAACGCCATCACCGTCGATCAACAATGATGGCGGGATTTGGGTGTCTACACGACCTTCGGCGCAGAGAGCGATGAGCTTGCAGAAGCCTTCCTCAGCATGGGCGCGCAGATGTCATTCACATGCGCGCCATACCAACTCGACTCAGCACCCAAGCTCGGCGACCAAGTAGCGTTTGGCGAGTCTAATGTCGTCCGCTACGCAAACAGCGTCCTCGGTGCAACAACAGCGAAGTACCCAAACATGCTTGAAGCACTTATCGCCTTGACCGGTCGCATTCCACGAGCCGGCATCCATCTGGCAGAGAATAGAGTACTTCAGATCTCCATCACTGCGCCGCCACATCTACATGAAACCCCGATAGACGATTCCTTCTGGCCCCCTCTCGGCTACGAAGTGGGCACCAAGACAGGCCCACATATCCCATCATTACTGGCCTCGACGGGACCTCCACGGCGCCACCACCCTCTCGCGATGTCCTAAAAGCGTTCTCAGCGGCCTTCACAACCAGTGCTGGAGCGCCAATGTTTCACATGCGCGGCATCACGCCAGAAGCCGAGCAGCACAGAGCCATCGCCGAATCTGACTCACTGCCACGGGTCAACATCACATGGCAGAACCTGAAAGATGCCTAGACAAGCTTCAACCGGAGCCATGCCTCTGAAGTCGCGCCGCGCAGTATAGATCTCGCTTCCCTCGGCAATCCTCATTCCTCCCTCCTCGAGCTGACTACACTTGCACGACTCGTCCACGGCCGCGCTAAACACCCTTCCACGTCTGTGATCATGACGACGTCGCGGGCACAGCACAGTCTCGCGACACAAGCCGGCTATACAGCTGAGTTGGAGAACTTCGGTGTCCAGGTACTGACGGATACGTGTTGGTGTTTTATCCGCGATCCGGTGATAAGGGAAGACGTACAGTGCATCATGACCAACTCGGGGAAGTACGCACACTACGGGCCTGGGTTGACAGGGCGGGACATCTGCTTTGGGAGTCTTGCGGAGTGTGTCGAGACGGCATGTACTGGGCGCTGGGAAGCAGAGGTGCCCTTATGACTAGAAAGTGGAGTACTCAACGCGCATTAGAGGTGTATCGTCATTATCATTGTCATTACCCTGGACTATCGTTTGTCTGTTTTCATACCTCCTCCTTCCCCGGCGTCTCAACCTTGATCTCCGGGCCCTCGATCTTCTTCACCTTCCTGCCCTCCCACCAAGACATGATGCCCGCGAACATGGCAACGCCACAGCCAAGCGCAATGAACGTACCAGTGGCCCACGTCGGCCTATTAAGCCTATTATAATGCCACATGAAGAAGCACAGCACCGCCTGCAGCAGTGTATTCAAGACCATCATATCCACCGTAAATGCCAACTTCCACATACTCGTCGGCGGCGCCCTCTCTCCTGTGAACGTATGTTTCTCCTCGCCGCCGGCCACCAACTCGCGCTCCTCAAACCACGCGGGCGGCCGGAACCACGCCTTATTCTGGTCGTACAGGCGGCGCATCGCGTCCTGGTCGTGCCAGTGCACGGAGCGTATCATCCAGTAGAAGTCGCGGAAGCGCCAGGGCGCAAGGCCGAAGCCGGTCACGCAGAACAGCGCGTTGAGGATCTGCGAGTCGATCTCCAGCCAGATCTTCCGCTTGCTGTAGTCGTCGTCGCAGGACGGGTGGCACATGGCGGGCGCGGCTTTGAGGAGCAGGAAGAAGAGCATTGCGCCCCAGGCCTGAGTAGTCAGTACGGCATGTGTAAGGGAGCTAAAGGGGACGGAAGGGGACGTACGACGACGTTCAGGCCGTAGATTGTGATCAGGAAGCCTGAAGGGGTCAGGAAGAAGACCCAGAATGCTTTTAGCCCGTGCTTAATGGTCGGGCCCCAGGATTCTTTGTGGTGAGAGGCGTGTTTCTCTTTCAATGTTCGACGGCGGTGGAGGCCGTGATGTCTGTGCTTTTTTGCTCCCGTATTGATGTCTGTCTCTTCCGGCGTGGTGGCTTCTTCGATCGGGCTGCTGAGTGTCTTCGTTCGGGACTTGACGAGCGTGAGCTCTCCATCGTCGTCTGGCTTCGCAACTCGGATCGAGTGTCCATGCTCGTTGAACTCGATGTTCGCGCCGCCCGATTCTGGATCGCGAAGTTCCGTCAAATTGGGTGCTTGGGCGATTGCTGTTCCTGTGGCCTGCCACATGCCCAGCTGGGGTGTGGCATTTAAGAACGAGACTGACGCTCCTCGCGCCCGACTCATGAGGCCCTTCTCTTGCTTTTCAGCCATAGTTGAGATGTGCTGCTAAACCAGGGTGGCTTGCGATACAATTATGTGCGCTCAATGCGCGTCGTGACTACGTCGATGAAATCCAGGCTGGCCCCAGCTTCTGCAAAATTAAGTCCGTGCTGTGAAGATATATTCGCGCGGCCGAGGCTGGAGGTCATACTTTTCATGATCCGACGCTCCGATGTACGTGATCACCACAAGCGCGCCAATGCGGACGTTGCGCGGTGAGATGCACAACGGTTCGCCGCAGCCGGCTAGAGCATGCGTCGTTCTCGCGCAATTTTCGATCTGGCGCGCAGTTCGCGCCTTAGGGGCCTGGAACCGAGAGAGCCAACGACCATCGGAGGTCAGATGCGGCGCTTCTCACGGAGCGGGTGATGTCACTGGTCCAGAAGGTCCGACTGCTTAGCCCCGAGTTGCCGTCCTTCAACTTATTACTGATCCGGATCCTTCCACTCACGCGGACCGATGTAGCGAGCAATTGGTGTCTGTTGCGCAATGCCTCTCAACTTCAGCAGCAAACAAAGACACGGTCAGTACCGTGACGAGAAAGCGCAAAGCACTGGGCGTGTCAACACCTTCGGCCAGGTCGCGATAAAGTTTCACAGGAACACGACACACCTGAAGTACTGGTTCGACAAGGTCCAGAATGACGCTGCTGCGTGTCGACCGCCGAAGTGTGCGAGGCCACGAAGAGGAAGTACAGCCCTTGTCGATGAGTTCATCAACGAGAAGACAAGTACACCTCCAAGCCCGCGTTTGAATATTGCGATCCACATCTGCGGCTCTCGAGGCGATGTGCAACCCTTCATTCCCATCGCAAAGTTGCTTCAGGGACATGGACATCGAGTCCGAATTTGCACACATCCGGCATTCAAGGACTTTGTTGTGAGTACTCATAGTCTGAAGCCTGACAACGTGCAGGACACTGACGTGATGAGTAGGAAAGCAATGGTGTGGAGTTTTTTTCTATCGGTGGCGATCCGGAAGCGCTCATGGCGTACATGGTCAAAAATCCTGGGTTGCTGCCGAACATGGAGTCGCTCAAAGCTGGAGAAATCGGCAAACGTCGGAAGGAGATGGCTGAAATGATCGAAGGAACCTGGAGAAGTTGCATCGAAGCTGGTGACGGCATGGGTGAAAAGATCCAAGCACTGAACGTGGACGCGTCTGAAGATCTGTTCATCGCCGACGCCATCATCGCAAATCCGCCTTCCATGGGACACATTCACTGTGCAGAGAAGCTCGGTATTCCCCTACACATGGTTTTTACGATGCCCTGGTCGCCAACAAAAGCCTTCCATCATCCTCTGGCGGCTATGGAGTATGGAGAAGTTGAGGCCTCCATGGCGAACTACTTCAGTTTTGGGATCATGGAGGTTAGTTTCCAAGTCTTCTACTTCAGAGATGCCCGCTAACACCAAAATGTAGCTATTGACATGGCAAGGCCTCGGTGATCTCATCAACAAGTTCCGAACACACACTCTGCATCTGGATGCGATCAGTCCGCTGTGGGGCTACCAGTTGATACCTCGACTTCGTGTGCCATACAGCTACCTGTGGTCGCAAGCTTTGATCCGAAGGCCATCAGACTGGGGGCCTCACATTAGCGTTACGGGCTTTTCCTTTCTGAAAGCCGGCTCGAATTATACACCTCCTCAAGATCTGGCTGACTTCTTGGACAAAGGCCCGCCTCCGGTCTACATCGGCTTCGGTAGCATCGTGGTCAAGGACCCAACTGCTCTAACCAAACTGATTTTCGAAGCTGTAAAGTTGGCAAAAGTCCGAGCAATTGTTTCGAAAGGATGGGGAGGCGTTGGCGCCGGCGAGGTCCCTGACAACGTGTTCCTCATAGGCAATTGTCCGCACGACTGGCTCTTCCAGCAGGTCTCGTGTGTTGTTCACCATGGAGGTGCTGGCACGACAGCAGCTGGGATTGCATTAGGGAAGCCCACCGTCGTTGTGCCCTTCTTTGGCGACCAGCCATTTTGGGGTCAAGTACGAGTTAACCCAACGGAGTTGACTTCATTGCTAACCATCTCCAGATGATTGCGAAAGCAGGAGCGGGGCCCGTACCTGTGCCGTTCAAGCAGATGACAGCAGAGGGCCTTGCCGAAAGCATAAAATTCGCGTTAAAAGACGATGTGAAGATCGCTGTGCAAAAGATGGCTGAAACTATGGCGGAAGAAGATGGCTCGAGAGACACTGTGACGGATTTTGAGCAGAAGCTTGAGCTTGACGGCATGCGGTGCCATCTCTGTCCGGAACGCCTTGCCATCTGGCGAGATAAACAGACCGGGGCGCATTTGAGCGGCTTTGCAGTAGTCGTACTTTCCCAGAAGAAGCTGCTGGATGCAAGGCATCTACGGCTGTAAGTCTGTCTGAACTCTCGATGACAAGTGCTATAGCTGACTATGACCGATGTAGATTACGCCACAGGCATTGGTGTGAGTGTTACCAGTAATCGGTGTGTGGCAGAAGCCTTACTGATGACGACAGATACACACGAGGGTGCTGAAGGGCCTATAGTAGGCGTGGTAGCTGCATTTGGTGCTCTGATGTCCGGTATTTCAACGGACACTACCGAATTTTCGCATCGGCTGAAGAAAAATTCGCACCATACCGATGTAGAGGCGTTAGCACGGACTGTGACGAACGGAGAGGAAGAGATTTTCGATCCAAAGAAGGGCATTACCTCGAAGCAGTTCAACCACATGGCGTACAGGATGGCCAAGAAGTCTTATGAAGAGGATCCGGTCAAGAACTTCACTAAGCCGCATACCAACCCTGGCCTCTCAGCCGTGCGAAAGAAGGTAGCAGAGAAGAGGGCGACAGGCGGTCGAGGCTATCAGATTGCAAGTGCAACCATGCATTTTGTTTGCGACCTGTCTGTCACAGGCGCAAAAAGTGAGTAGCGCCGCGCTCATGAGAGGATATTGCTGACAGGTCCTTCCAGCCCCGGTTGCGGTGTTCTACAACCTAGCGAACGGCTACCGTAATCTGCCATCCTATGCCATTCGCAACGATCCAGCGAGGCGAAGAGATGAGATCACAGGGCTTGGCAGCGGCTGCAAGCTCGCTGGAAAGGTATGTTCTTCTCACTGTGACAGAGCATGCATGCTGACAGGGCTTCCAGGAGTTCGTGATGGGCTTTGTCGATGCCTTTCAGGGCATCGTACGACATCCATACTTGGGTGCGAAACAAGAAGGCTTGGGCGGCTTTGGTAAAGGCATCGGAAGAGCTTTTGGTGGCTTCTATTTCCATTCGATGGCGGGTAAGTGCACACACTGTTCTTTGATACGTTGATCTGTACTGATGTCGTCAGCGATCTTTGGCTTGCCCGGATATTTTCTGAAAGGTATTGAAAGGGAGCTGCGGCGGAGACATCTCACCACGCTTCAGGCGGAGATCGTCCTCATACAGCTGCGCCGATCATTTCTGGCATTTCGACAGGCGACGGAAGCTGAGAAGGGTGAGGTGGTTGAGAAGTGGGAAGAGTGGAAAGCCAGCATTGCAAAGGACTAGGTTGATATGCAAGTCATGGTTCGGAGCACACTAATAGTCGGTTTACCAAGTACTGGTAGAGGCATGCCATGAATAGAGACAAGAAAGCATCAAGCAGCTGTGCGGGCAGCTGACGCCTCGCGCATTTAGTCAGGAACGTGTTAGATCCCTGTCGCTTGCTCCACCAGTGCCCCACGAATGACGATCGTGGTCGCGTCAAAGGCGGTGGCAGAATCGCCGAACTGCCTATTGTTCGACAGTTGCTGCGGCGCAAACAAACAACGTCCACCAGCACACTCACGATTGCATACACAAGATGGCGGATCTACCTCCACCGTTGCAGGGGCCAACCGCAAAGGAGAAGAAGTAAGCTGCTGTGGCACGTGATGAACTGCAAAAACCTCCTGACCGATGCAGGTACGACCGACAGCTGCGCCTGTGGGGAGCTACTGGGCAGCTTGCGCTTGAGAAATCGCATATTCTGCTCATCAACAACGGGCCCGGAGTCGTTGGTACCGAGATGCTCAAGAATCTCGTCCTGCCTGGTGTCGGCCAATTCACCATCCAAGACTCCGCTGTCGTCACCGAGGCAGACTTGGGGGTGAACTTCTTCCTTGAAGACCAGCATCTTGGAGGCTTCCGTGCTGAGCACACCGCAAACCTCCTCAAAGAGCTGAACCCTGACGTTGAGGGCTACTCCATTACAGAGGTATGTGTGGCCGCAAATTGGGCTAGACTCCCACTCACTTGACTCCGGCCTGTTGAATCATGGCTCGGCAAGCCAGACGCTCTCCAGCCGTACACGCTTATCGTCGCCACTGCCCCGATCCGTTCTGAGCTGCTCGCAAAGCTCTCTGATCACGCAAGCGCAGCGCTGATTCCGCTCTTCTACGTTCATTCGGTCGGCTTCTACTCGCGCTTCTCGGTACACGTACCGCCTGCCTTCCCCATCGTCGATACACACCCAGACATCGAGACCACTACAGATCTACGATTGCTGAAGCCATGGCCTGAACTCATCGAGTTTGCAGAGCAGAAGACTGCGAATCTCGACAGCATGAGCCCCGACGACCATGGACACGTACCGTACCTCGCGGTGCTGTTACATTACTTAGAAGAATGGAAAAAGACAAACGAGGGCAAGGTACCACAGACCTACAAGGAGAAGATAGAGTTCAGGACGATTGTATCACAGGCGGCGAGAACAGACACCCCTGAGGGTGGAGAGGAGAATTTCGACGAGGCAGTCGCTGCTGTCCTGAAGTCACTGAACCCTCCAGAAGCCAGCAGCTCGGTCAAGGAGATATTTCTTGCTCCAGAATGTGTCGCCATCAAAGAAGATTCACCTTCGTTTTGGGTGATTGCAAATGCTCTCGGACTTTTCTACACCAAGTACGGCGTACTTCCAGTGCCGGGGGCCGTGCCGGACATGAAGGCTCGCTCGAAGGACTACATTCAGCTTCAGAATGTGTACAAGTCGAAGGCGAGAAAGGATCTCGCGGAGGTGCTAGAGAGTGTCCGATTTATCGAACGCAATGCCAACCGAAGCATACCCATCGATGAGACGGACATCGAGGCATTCTGCAAGAACGCAGCACACATCAAGCTGGTGCGTGGGCGGCCGTTTCATGTAGTTCGGGCTGGGCAGAAGGTTCAGTGGGGCGACAGGGCAAGGTCTCTCGGTACGTTGACGTACCCGTGATGTTGACATGTACTGACGTCTTGCAGCACAAGAACTCACATTTGATGGTTCTTTGCTCCCACTGTACATTGCGTTCCTGGCGTGGGACGAGTTCACCGCGACACACGACAAAAATGCACTAGGTGGCGCACCGCAAGCCCCAGGTGAGACAGATGCGGACACAGACGCCGAGAAGCTTACTGGCATTGCCTACAAGTTCGTGGACGATCTGATCAATGAAGCCAAGACCCATGTCCAAGACCCAGAGTACTCAGCGATCAAGACAAGGGTTGGAGAGTTCGCGCAGGAGTTGTAAGTACCGTCGTAGCTTCAGCGCGGTGAGGACACAGCTGACAAGCCATAGCGCTCGTGCCGGTGGAGCTGAGCTACACAACATTTCCGCTCTGACCGGTGGTATCGTGTCGCAGGAAATTATCAAGGTCATCACCGAGCAGTACATCCCCGTTGACAACACATGCGTCTTCGATGGCGTCAAGAGCAAGAGCGCGGTTTTCAAGATCTGAGAGCTCCGGTCAAGCCTAGGCTTACATTTTCATAAATCTACGAACAAGATCTCGCAGAGATGGAACAACGAGTACCAGGGGACACCTGCAGCTAGAGACGACTCACAAGCTGAGCAGCTCTGAGACGTGTGTAGTACATAGGTGGCATGATAGGTATGACAATACCGCAACGACGACAATGACAACAATGACAACAATGACTAAACGAAAGCATGATGAGATGCTTACAATAAGCTTGGCCCAAGTGAAAGCAGCCGCGACGTGATTAAAATCTGCCTGCCGCTCCTCCTTCCTTTTGAATTTCGTTTGCCACCTCCAATTACAGCAGCGTGACCTCTGCATCTCCCCACGATATTGCATTGACCTTCCGGGCCTGTATATGGCAACAATGGCCAAACAATCCGTGCTTGCCTTTTTGTGATCATTGTCGCCATCTCAATCACGAGATGCCGTGACGTCGCGTTCCTTTCAGAGCTCCGACCGGCGCGACGCGTCGAACGTCGACGGCAAGCGGTTCAGGCCTAATGCGCAGACTGCGCAAGTCACACCTCCGCATTCTCCTCAAGACTTTGCAACGTTGACGCCTCTCGAACGCCCAAAGTCGATCATGGACGCCACATTTGACCTCCCAGACTCTACGGATTGGATAGCGACGAGTCTCCCCGCTTTCGAACCGCTTGAAGCGGCTTTGCGCTGCGAGATGTGCAAGGAATTCTACTCGAACCCTGTCATCACATCGTGTTCGCATACTTTCTGCTCGATATGCATACGAAGGAGCATAGCTGCAGACGGCAAATGTCCGAGCTGCAGGACGGTCCTGTCGAGCGACAAGTTGGCCCCGAACATCGCCGTGAGGGAGGTCGTCATGCGCTTCCAAGAGGCGAGACCGAGAGCACTCGAACTGGCGCGCGCACATAAAGAACAAGAGAGTGGGATAGAAGCGGGTAGCAACAAGAAGAGAAAATTAGACGACACGGATATGGAAGACGGCGAGGATGTGAGGCAGACAAGGTCACGGCAGACTCGGAGCAGTCGGCGCAATGCGGGCTCCAGTGATGCGCCAGTCGAGGTACCAGAGAGCGGGGACGATGGAGACGAGGACTTCATGCCTGAGGGCATGGCGAAGTGCCCAATATGCAGCGAGGCCATGAAGCAAGAGCTGGTTTTCAATCATCTGGACGTCTGCACCGGGCAGAGCTCGTCGCAAGGGCGAACTACCCGCTCGAAGTGAGCTAAAGACAGCATGCAATCCTTCTGCTGGCTCTGCTAACAAGCGCCCCACAGAACCAAGACTTCCTTTCCTGCAGCATTACAAAGACAACAGAGAGAACCCTCGCCCCCACCGATTCGCCTATCAACGCTCAACTATTCGATGATGAAGGAAGGTGCGCTGCGCAAGAAGCTACAAGAGATTGGGATACCCAATTGGGGCAGCAAGGACTTGATGAGGCGCCGGCACATCGAGTGGCTGAACATCCACAATTCGAATTGTGACGCAGACGAGAGGGAACGGAGACCGAAAAGACAGCTCCTGAAGGAGCTTGAAGAATGGGAGAACACGCAAGGTGGAAGAGCAGATGTCAAGGAGAGTAAGGTCATGAGGAAAGACTTCGACGGCAGCGGGTATGCCAAGTCCCATAAAAGCGACTTTGACGACCTGATCGCTCAGGCGCGAAAGAAACGCGCTGCGCCAAAGCCAGAGAACAAGATAGAGATCAATGGGGATGCTGGGGACTATACTCAGCAAGAGCTGCAATCGCACCCTGAAGCCCCTGTTGGAATTCCAGAAGCGTCTCACAATGAGAAGCAACCACCTCGGTCAACACAACCGAACGGGGCGCAATCTCAGGGTCTCGTCAACCACGGAACAGATCTCGGGACGCGTCAGGACGGCGCACAAATCCCAAATCATGCGAAGGTAAATTTGGTGTCGCAGCAGGCAGGACCGGTTATTGGCCCTCACGAGGGGCCACCTATAGGGTTGCAGAACCCTCTTGGAAGCCCTTCGCGGAGACTATCCATGTTCGCCACGTCTGAAGACCCAGTCAAGGAGGTAGACATGTCCACAATGTAGTAACCTTGGTTTACAAGTGAAATTTTGGTATGGGTCTACCACGGCATCGCACATTATTCTTTTCCCATCCTCTCATCTACTACTATTTGAGGGAACAGTCTTTCAGTCCTGAGACAATACTACTCGGTACATTAGAAAACATGTCGTCCGCCACCGCACCTCGCAAAGACTCAGCGCAGAGCTCCAAAGAGGGGCTCCAAAAGCGGACCCACGACCACGCTCCTCTCGAAACCTCTCCGCTAGCCAACTGCTCGGACGCAGACATTGTGACGAACGACGAGCGCGCAAAATCGCCAGACATTATGCGCGTCCTCTCGCCCATGCGTCCACGCCGAACCCCCAAGCTCGTCAACGCGCCAGAAATGAAATGGCGTCTGCCGCCGCACCTGCAGCACATGCCATCACTCGACTCGCTCCTGAGCTCAGCCACGTCAGCATCAGAACCGTCAACCGTTCGCAAAGTACCTGTTGCACCTCGTGACATCGCACTGCCGGTCTCGAGCGCGAGCTCAATCATCACCACCCTGTCCGGCACGGTCGTGCAAGATCCCCCTGTTCCAACATCGCCATCCCCGCCTCAGACCGAGGCCAGACTTACCATCCTCACACGAATCAATGACAGGTACAACGAAGCTCGCGTAAACGAGCGTCCACGCATCACCCCCCACATGGGCGCGCATCAACCGCATTATCTGTCGCCTGTGACCGAGGCTACTTCCTCACCCAGTATCCGCTCTTCGATTATCGACCTCATGATCGAAGAAGTTGGCACAGCCGAGCGCCATCCGCTGAGTGATGTGCGAAGGCAGAACGTCCACGTCATTGGCGCAAGTGAGATCCAGGACGTGTTCGACAGACGTGGATTGCGGGGCAATGGTGAGAGGGAGGAACAGTATAGCATTAGCATCAGGGAGGCGGAGTGCGGTGGGGAGTTTGTTGTTGGTGCAGAGGAGGCCGATGGGAGGGTGAGTTTGAGGAGGGTGTATGGCAGACTGAAGAAAAGTGTTAAGGGTACGGCGAGGAGGTTTGTGGAGGACGTGGCGAGAAACTGTGTTACTAGAGCTTTGGCGAGGGTGCTGTAGTTGGGTAGTGTTACACTGGGCACGATATATCGGTGGTAGACCGATATTGTGGACGTGAACTCATGGCCTTGATCAGTTATTCAGGGCAAGTGCGTAGAAAACCCGGGGGTTGGGGAGGCGCGGGAGAGTAAAATTTCTAGGAGGAACTAAACGTATAACAAATAAGTTACCCAATGCTCTTTTACAAACATGCGATGTGCCATCTTTCTTCTGCCAACCGTCTCTTCTTATAGTCCGTAGTCCCGCCCCAAGCACATATCTGAGCAGCTTCAACACACGACCCTTCCCGGGAGGTTACCAAACTCTGCACCCGTAGTCCCCACTCAATCCGCGTCCACTCTTTCACATTTGCAAAACATGTATATATCCCCAATTGCCAGCATCCCATCAGGAAAGTAGGGAACGAGCTCTGCGTGTTCGAACCTCACGTCCCATGCTTGGAGCTCGGGCGAATATCTTCGAGGTGTTTCTGCTGTGGTGTCGCCATTGTCGTTACCTGATGTAGTCAGATGGAGAAGCACTAGGCTCGTGGAGGGAAGGTCCATCCGCTACCTACGCTTCAACACCGACAGCATTCTGTTCCGACTATCATCACATCAGAGAGCTTTGTTCGGCAGTGGTGGATAGTCGCTGCAATACGAAGTATTGAGAAGACTCGAACAACGAAGATACCAATCATCGGTTATCCACGGCCTCGTCGCGTGCGCTGCGATGTGACTCGTCAATTCGAGAGCGTCGTGAACCGAGGCTCGCAAAGTACTACCTCAGTTCATGTCAAGTAATGACTTTACAGCACGGGCTTCGTAGCCTCATACTGTAGTCTGAGTCATCTTCGACAATAGTCAGCCAAGAGCATGTCGCGAAAGATAAAAAGACCTGTGTCGGAGTTGTTGACCAAGCTGCTAACAACATCGTTCACGGACAACTCCAACAGCCATCGACATGTCATCCCAATCACAGAATGACACTGCAAAACACTTCCGCACTCTCCACGTCCCCGGCAAACCCCTCATGCTAACAAATGTCTGGGACGCCATAACCGCCAACACCATTGCATCCCTGCCAGGTACAAAGGCTCTAGCAACGGCATCCTTCGCGATTGCCGCCGCCGCCGGCCTATCCGACGATGACCTGGATCTAGACACAAACCTGCGTGCCGTGCGTATCATCGCAAAAGTCGCAGCCGCTCACAGCCTCCCCCTGTCCGTCGACTTCCAAGACGGCTTCGGTGCCGACCTCGAAGACGGTGTGCGCGCCGTCATCGAACTCGGCGCCGTGGGCATCAACCTCGAAGACTTTGGACGCGAGACAGACGGCTTGTATAGCACCGAGGCTCAATGCGAGCGTATCCGCAAAGTGCTCGCCGTGGCAAGGGAGCAAGGTGTTCCGGATTTCGTGGTCAATGCGCGTACAGATGCGCTGTTTGCTGGGAGAGATGTGGATGAGGCGATTCAGCGCGGGACAGCGTATTTGGGGGCCGGGGCATTTAATGTGTTTATCTGGGGCGGACCGACCAGACAGGGGTGGAAGAGGGAGGAGGTCAGAAGGGCGAGCGAGGCGCTTGGTGGGAGGTTGAATGTTATTCTCATCAGAGGGAAGACGGGGGGGTTGAGTGTTAGTGAGATTGGGGAGCTGGGTGTTGCGAGGATTAGTGTTGGGCCGGCGCTGATGAGGTGGAGTGCGGAGAGGATTGGGGAGGAGGCTGAGAGGATTTTGGAGAAGGCGTGAGGGGCATGGACATGGAAGAGAAGCGTCACGGCGAAGTGCAAGCGCATGAGGTCAAGCAGTAAACATTGCGAATTTTGTTTCGTGCCGTAGGTATCATAACTGTCCCAAAGAGCAACCTGCTCATATCCCAAAGAGAGCTTTGTGCTCGCAACTTCGTTGCAGAAAGTATTTTTTTGGATTTCAACCCTTATCACTCAGATAGCATCTAGCGGCGAGCATGTCGACGATGAGCGTGAGCAGAGCCACGCTTACGGTACTCGTTGTAGTCAGCAGTAACCGTGATGTACTGCGTGACAACCTCGATGTCAGTCACGGTCACACACACGTAGCCCTCCTTGCAGCTGGAGCCGCCCTCGGAGGACTGAGGGACATCCGGGGCAGGGGTCGGTGCTGGGGCAGCCTCGTATGTAGCAGCTGCCTTGGTGGAAGTCGCCTTGGGTACTCCAGCCTCGCTGGGGCCAGCAGAGCTAGATTTGGCCTCAGAGTCGATGATGTCGGGCGAGGAGTAGTCGTCGATAGGTGAAGCGGTGGGCTTAGCAGTGACAGCAGTCGAGGATGCCTTGGAAGTCTCGACGGCGGGAGCGCTAGTAGCCTCTGTAGGAGCGGCGGAGGTTTTCGTGGACTGGGGTGTAGTATCTACGTTTCCAGAGTCGATCTGGCCGGACAAGATGGCTCCAACATCGACGCTCTTCTTCTCCTGGACAAGGACCTTGTTCTTGTTCGGCGGGCCCTGGAAGTTACCCGCGGTGCACTGGTCGTTGATGCCCTGGCACTTGGTCTGCCAGAGCGTGCAGCCCGCACTGCCGGTGATCGGAGCGGAGTCGAAGCACTTCTCAGCCTGCTGCCAGCATTCCTCGCCAGATGCCCAGCAGCCCTTCTCAGTGGTGTAGTCGGAGACTTCGGTACCGCACCAGTTAGCGTTCTCGGCAAGGCAGCCAGCTGGTTTCTGGCCCTCGGTCTGGGTGGTCTGGCCGGAAGAAGCGGTCTGTGCGGAGTTGGCGATTAGATTTGCAAGCTTCGGGCCAGGGAGCTCGTAGGTCGAGGCGTCCTTATTGTAGATGTCGAAAATAGTGCTGGGCTCGCCGTAGTCGACGTATCCGGGGATGGAGACAGTAGACTCAGGGACGAGGTTGCCGTCGCTTTCGAGGAAGATCTGAGCACAGCCAGTGTAGAACTGGGGGTCGTTGTCCTTCGCGGCGTGGAGGGCGAGAAGCTCGGGGCGAGCGAGGTAATTGCCGCCCTCAAGACCAGCGGGAAGCTTGACGTTGAGGAGACCGTTGTTGTCGATGACCTCATCAGAGCACCAGCGGTCTGTATTGGAGTTGTAGCCGTGCTCCATGACCTTGAACCAGCCATCGCCAGCAGCTACATTTTGGTTTTAGTGGGTGCCGTTGAAGTGGATAACTTTGATACTGACCAGTGTCCTCGATGGCAGAGCCGACCTTCTTTAGGTAGACGGCACAGGGCCCCTTGTGTCCACGGTCAAGACGCTCCTTGGAAGCATCTGCAGGCCAGGCACGGATCTCGAAAGAAAGTATGGCACCGTCCGAGACAGACTGAACGCGGGCGACACCCTTTGATCCACCAACATCTGGTTATTCATTAGTGACGAATTTCATCTTTACGAAAGAATGTGACATACTGCAGGCCATGTCATCGCTACCAAGGCTGGAGATAGGAGCAGTAGAGTGCTCTGTGTTAGTGCTCATCCGCATAGCGACACCGTCACCCTAGAATGTGTCAGCAATCGTGACTTATTGACATCTCTACTAATAGCGGACCTGAGGGACGCCATCGACGTAGAAGTCAGTGAACGCAGTGTGAGCGAAGGCTGTAGGCGCAGAGGCCAGGGCCGCAAGAAGCATAGATTGAGTCTTCATGTTGGATCGCACGTGCTGGTCCGATCTGTCGATTACTCAAAGACGCAATTGCTGTATGGGACAGGAATAGAGTGAGTCGCTAGGACTTCACGGCGTGAAAATGAACGGCTGTCGACTGGCGACGATAAGGAGTGAAATGGCAGCTGAGCGCCGAAGGGAAGGACAGTAATTGGTTATGAGGTCAAGACCGAAGGTAAGTAGAGCAAGCGTGGAGGCAGGATTTGATCGGGCTTTTGAGGCCTGACTGGGTCAAATTCCCCGTGCTGATTCTTCATCTCTGCATCCCTGTGACCAGGTTGCCGCGCTGCCGCCCCACTGGATGTGTTCCTGGCGACACCTGCCCTGGAAAACACAAGTCGCGCCGGAATTGCGATGGAACGCTTTCCGTAGCTGTTGTCAGCCTTGAAACCTATGACCAATCAGACCTGGCACTAAGCCCTAACTTGAAACACAGACGCTAAGCTTGGCAGCGTCAATGAGCCGCTAGAGAACAATTTGGTAAGGTCAGCCGCGGTGTGGCGCCTCTTCGGACACGCTATTTCAGGTACCGCCCTTTATTTAGTTGTCCGCTTTGATGTTGCTTCTACAAAAATCGAACTGCTATCTGCCACATGCAGTAGACAATACTGTTAAACGGTCAAGCAGGTCCTCGCGTACCCAGCATCTACTGTAGCTGAAGTCCTCCTGTTTGGTAAGCGCCTAGTGTAACCCGATGTTCGAGTGTCAGTCAGGGGAACGGGAGCCCACAGCAATCGGCAGCTTACCGGGGGCCGACTCTATCATCTTCAATTTCGCGAGGACTTCGGGTGCTGCTTGTGAGCCCGAGACTAAGGCGCCTGTTCTCGCTCAGACCTGTCACGGGTGAAAGGCAAACTGTTGACTAGCCTTTGCGCAAGAGCAATGTGGCGTCAGGAGAGATGCAGTTCGTGAAAATGATTATTTCAGTGGATGTTGTACAGCATATAGCACACTGGCACGCGGTCAAGATTGTGCATGCAAAGATTGCAGTTGTGCTTCCATCGCTCGAGCTCAAGGCAGGGGACCGTGGTCGGTTCTCACTGTGTTGATCTGCCAGGAACCTGTATCGTTTGCTGGTAGTCGGGGCCGTCTACTGGCTGCTAGACAACAAGATGAGGATGATTTAAAGGAGGGTGGATGGACCTTGTTTGCAACAGCTAAGATTGTTCGTGCGAAGACGGTGCGCACGCCGGTTCCTCCGCCAGTCCAGGATAACAGCTGCGGATATCATAGTTGCAAGTGTGGTGTCCGTAGCGGCAAGAGTAAGAAATAGTGCACGCGATGCTTGCGGATGCGTGTTCGATGAGGCTGAGAGGACGTCTGGTGATCGACTGGTAACGATGAGATGTGCGTTTGCACGTGGGGAATACAAGCGAGCGTTTCAGCTAACACGCGCCGTACCCTTCCCTACTAACCATCAGAAGGTCTCGAACTGAGAGCATGCAGTTGGCCGAATTCCGAAATGAGGATCACTTCTCGTACCCGTTCTGCAGCAGGCTCGAAGTGGATAGGTTTGCGTACCTACACCACGATACAGTCGATAGTCACTTTGAGCTGCCCCAAGGGTTCCAAGAGCGCGTGCGCGAGTCCTTGCCGCTTCTGTTATCGATCGGCGCGGTAGAACTCGGTCGGGCTTCTGCTAGGCCCAGCATCTCTTTGATAGTATCTCTGAACTCCGTATCAACCGGAGGGTCGAAATCAATCAGTGACTTCGTTGTGTAAGCGGATGGTAGCTTCCGCGTAGACCATCTAACGTCAGAAATCCTTACGCCACACACGTTCCGAAACTGCAATCTCGAGAAGGCGATGAAAACCCCCTCGGTGCAGGCCAAACCGTCTCGGTCTTTGTGCAGGCAGCAGACAATGACATTCTCATCCGGATGATCGGCGTGCTCGATCTCTAATTCTCGCAAGATGGCCTTGACGGTCTCGACTAGCCAAGCGTTGCCTGCTTTGGTGGCATAGTCGAGCTTCTTAGACTCTCCAAGCGAATTCCAGCGCAATGTCCGCAATGCTAATGCTGGCTGCACTGGTCTTGCAATCTTCAGATACCACTGCGTCTGATACACGGCCATTGGAGAGAACATCGAGTCCCATTGCAGTGGCCATGCTCCTGAAGAGACGAGTGGAGCAGTCAGGAATGCCTCTCCTGGAATCGTTTCCAAGCGCGGACGCGACCTAAGGGCGGCCGATGGACGGCCGATTCTGATCTGACGCCCCTTATTCACACGTGCCTGGATAGTGCGCACGAGATCGCTCTTCTCTAGTGTGTGAGTGTTGGAGAAGATGTCGGTGGGATCGACATTCGCCCGAATCCTACTGTTGATGCCCTCGAAAGCCGACACCCACTCGTCCAGCTTGAGCATCTCCTGAATGATGTGCCGTGATCGATCATGCGAGATCCCAAAGTGCCGGATTGAGCCTTCAAGAGCAACACTCCATGCTAGCACCGTGTTGTGGAACTCCCTCAGTTGCAGGCAAACGTCTCCGAGCCAGCGAGCTGCCGCGATGTCACCCTCATCGAGATTTCTGATCAAGTAGATGCCGTTGAACGCGCTTTCGAAGAAAAGTTTTGCTTTCATCAGGTCACCGCTGAACGATGCGCACACGCCGATGCAGTGTCGCAAAACACGTCGATCGGGCTGCAAGCCATTGGATGCTACGCAGCCCTGTTCAACAGCCGCAAGCTGTTCTTCAAGTAACCTTGCTGCAACCACGAAATCGTGTCTTGCCCAAGCGTCAGCGATGCCCTGTGCTCTTTCGTTCAAATCCAGGGTTGATGCGGACGATACGGGCTCAGGCGCTTGGGATGCCAAAGTGACTGGCCGAAATACCTTCACAGCAGCATCCTGATTTATTCCGTATATGGGCTCGGGCGCCTGGGTAGATGGCGATGGTAAATGCACAGGCTCTGGAGCGTCACAGGGTAAGCTTGACGTGATAGATTCGTTCGGGGTTCCCACGGTATTATAGTGGATGTGCAAAGGCTCGGGCGCATTTGACGAGTTTGATCTTTGTAGTGGAGCGATACCAGGGGTGTGCGCCAGATCATTCTCCAAAAAGACGACTTCATTCTGTCCATTCAGATCGGTAGTCGCGAGCGATGCCGATAAGAAATTCATCTGGAAGCCATCGCTTGAGAAGGGCCGCGTCGAGCTAAGACTCTCGGTGTTCCTGCGTTCTTCCAAAAGCCTGCCTTCGTTGACAGCTCTGATGAACCAGTCAACCACGAAGTCGCGATAAGTCAAGACGACCTGATGGGAGATGCCGACGTCTTCAAGGTCACGGATGATCTGAGTCCACGCGGCATCGTCATCGACCTCCTCGTGATGGCTATCTGGAGCAGCGATTCGCTCGATCGATGCAATGCTCTCTTCACGATAGCCACCTTTATAGTCCAGCTCTAGCCGCCCCAGTGCCTCAAGTATCAGAACCTGATTATCGTGAATTAACGAGTTATAGAAGGCATTGAGCATTACGACACTCGAAACCAAACGTTCTCGCAGGCTGCGTGACTTCTCCGGGTCCCATTTCAGACGATCCCATGCCCGTTTGCTTTTCGTGTCGAGCAAGTTGTAGTGCTCGAGCAGCTTGTCGAGCTCGGAGAGGACATCGATACAGGGTTTGTAGGCATCGAGAAGCTGTTCGCGCTTGTGTGCGGGTATCTTATCGTACTTGTCTTGGATGTCGTCAAGCAAGTTGGTGAGACTACGCGTCTCAATAGTCAGATGCTTGTAGTCACCTGTACAATCCCGGCCTGCAGACAGTCAGCCATTGCGGCCGGTCAAGAAGCGCGTTTACCTACAATTCTTATATACTCGTCCAGCAACCTCGCCCAGCTTGATCAGGTCACCTATGGATATTCCAAAACTCATCTTTTCAGAAGGTTAGTCCGCGTTGCGATTTACGAAGAGCAAGACCCTTAGGCGGGCTGGCTTCAACATTAGCAACCGCATGATGACATAGCGCCGCTTGTGTTTGATTGGCGGGACATTGCATAGGTACAGCCTCGTCAGGCGTCCCGCTCTGTCGTCGAGATGCAGTGCATCGATGAAAAGAGCAACGAGGCGTAACTCTGAATAAATAAGTTAATGTTCAAACGTAATAGTCAATGGAGAACTTTCAAGCTCGAAGTGAACGACCTCGGGAAGATGACTTCTTCATTTTTGCACTACCGCCGAAAGTGGATAGCGTACGTAGACCCTTTCTCACCACCCGCGAACAGCCTAACCAGACATCATGTGTGCAAAACCACGCAGCCACACTCGGTTAATTTGCCGGGTGGACTCAACTCATATGTGACCGAGGTCGATAAGGCGTATTGACTGGTTAAGCAGGTCTCGTCTGGATTAGGACTTTCATCATGTCTTTCCACTGGCAGTATCTGGTGCTGCTTGTCATTTCTTCGATCATGCTCTTCTCTCGCAATAGAGGGTCATCAGAGTTAGAAGCAGCCTTGAAAGTAGGGCAGTACTACTTACTCTCCTGCCTGTTGTGTCAGCTTCTCTGGGCATAAGTGTTATCTCAATCAAAATCATTGCTGTAACACATCGGGATGCCCTGTCTCACCGCTGATGTGTTACAATTAGCCTAGGAGCCTGGTCTAGTGAGAAATACCCAATTCTTTCAATGTCTCTCACCACCGGGGACAGATTAACGATCGGAGTAGTGACCCGTCATATACTATTGGGTCGGGCAGACTTCGAAAGGTATTCGCTCCCCGATGTGAATCAAAGGGTCGTACCGGTACATGAGCCGTGAACTTTTAATTACGGACCGACGATAGGTATCCGCGTCCTTCCGAGACAGTTCGTTTGTAACGACGTGAGACTTTGTCCGTGCGTACCCCAACGGTCTTTGCTGAGCGCTTTACAACCAAGACACCGGTCTTTCGCAGTGTGCTAAACAATTGGTATATCGTTATATTATGCCGTCTCCTTAGATAAGAGGGATTAGTATCGAGCTATGGGCAGCGTTCGTACGACGTAGATTGATGCTTTGCAATGCTCGGGCGGCCCAGGGCAGTCGATGAAATGGTGACTTTAGCGAGAAGCATGGGTAGCCTTGACACTGCACAGTCATTTGGGCAGACATCCTTGCGTGACAAACATATGCGTACCGGCAAAATATTGTTTCCGTTCTCGAATCCCCTGAGCGTAAAACAACTTGTTTGTCAGTAATCTGGTCGACCATGCACGGACATGGATGAACTCAGATGCCCAGACGAGGCATGGGAGACGGCCCTCTACAGCTATAAAGGGTGCTCCCGTACTTCAGATCAACTCCAACATTCCCTTGGACTACCTCGTTTTCCCCTTCATATGTCAGTCAGCACGTTGAGCAAGTTTGCTGGTGCTGGCGTACCGCAGCTGAATCGCGATGGATTTTACTGGTCTGTTATCTGGGCTGCCTTCGCACTTCTGGTTGCTTTCCGGGCTGTCAAGATCATTCATCGCACACACATCCATCCTTTACGATCGATACCAGGACCTTGGATCAGCTCTGTAACCTCTCTCTGGATTCGCTGGCAAAGATGGCATGGCAGGTTGTCATTCGAAGCCGATAAACTAATGGCAAGATATGGTCCTATCGTCAGGATCAGTCCAAACCTTGTCATCCTGAATGATCCTGAGGCAGTGGAAAAGGTCTTCATCAGGAAGGACCTCGATACTTCTCCAACGTCGATCCGTGCCCTGCGCGTCGGTGGCCATGACTGGACGGTCACATACCCCCAGCACCCCATAGCACGATCAAGAAGACACCCCGTTATGATTGCGACAACGACCAAAAACCTCAAGCTGCGGCACCAAGTCTTTGTCGATTACATCGAAGCCATGGTTCGAGACATCGCCAAGTCGGACGGAAAGAAGTCAGAAGACATCGTCCACCACCTTCGCATTTGCACACTGAGGAACTCTCAAGTGATCATGGGAGGCTCAGGAGTAGATTTGGATGTTACAGACTTTCCCCAAGTGGTCGGTGAATACAATTTCCTCGTCGTCTGGAGACTTTGCTTGCCTGAATGGCTATTCGAATGGTTGCAGCACGGTCCCTTCGCGCATGCCCGATTCCGCGTACGTTCAAGCGACAAACTGTTCGATTTAGGCGACGAGCTTTGTAAACAAGCCGCGAAGAACGAGGCCACGTTCGAGCAAGATCCGAGCATCTATAAGCTGTTCACCGATTCCGAGGCGAAGTACCCGACACAATCTTGGACTGATCCGGAGCTGGGCGCAGAAATGGCTGGTCAGGGTAAGCATGTGTGATCGTATGGAGCATAGAGTATATACTGACTTGACACATCAGTACTCGCTGCTACAGAAACTACATCATCAGCTCTGGCGTTTATCTACTACGAGTTGGCGAAGAACCAGAGCCTCCAACAAGATCTCTTCGCTGAATTGAGCGCGCATGAAGGATACGAGGAACTCGATTCTTTGAAGTTCTTGGACGCATGCATAAAGGAAGGACTTCGTTTTCGTCCGCCCGTTGCTCTAACTGGAAGCCGCTTGGTGCCTGAAGGAGGTCTGAATGTACTTGGATACTACCTTCCCGCCGGTACCGTGGTCACGACGCAGTCTCTGTCGATGAGTCGTCAACGACCTGATCTTTTTCCGGATTTTGATAGCTACAACCCCCGGCGCTGGTTGGAGGAAGAGTTCAGTGCCGAGAAGCGGCGTCTCTTGGTGCCATTCGGTATTGGTGCACGGCGTTGTCCCGGAGGCAACATGGCCACGTATCAAATGCGGCTGATTCTGGCTGCGACGTTTCGTGCGTTCAAAATCACATTGGCCCCGGAAACAACACCAGAGAAAATGGCGCCGTTTGAAGCCAATGGATACCGGTCTCGCCATGATCGGTGTGATTTGATTTTCACGCCTCGAGCGGTGTCTTGAACAACGACTGTATAGCGGAGAGCGGGTTGCGACGTTGAGCCAATAAACATGAATCATCAAGCCGAAGCACTGTGTTTTCACCTGCTACTGTCTTTGTTTGACTCCTATGACATGCGAAACTTCGGGCCGAATCCGGCGTTGATATTTGGGAGACGACCTCACCATGGGACCTGGTGTGATTGATCTTCCACATTCACTCTTTTCGCCTTGTATCAACCAAGCACAATGCCCCGCCAGTAAGCTCCCGCCTCTTGTGTAAAGGTTGAGATGCATCTTACCAAGACCGACACAAGTGAGATTTTTTGGACTGTCAGTGAGCATGACGTTGAAGATGCAACAAGGCTCATGGCTGTCGAAGAGATTAATGTCAAACATCCAGCCTTCATCATTCATGTCAAAGCTTTGGACAGAATCCTCCTCGCTGTGCTCGCTGCAATTGACTGCTGCCTCAATGGTTTCCGCGCGTCTTGTAGGCTTAAACGCGGCGTTTTCATATTTCCACATTACCTCGGAAGATTGGGCCCGGTCGTCAAGCAGACGTGTCCTCGAAAGACGCATGAATTTGTACTCGCCTGGTTCCACGGAGGCTACAAATGCAGCTGGTACATTTACAGTGCCACACAGCTTGTCGACAGTATTGTAGACGTTGAGAGCACAAGTCTGTGTCCAGCGAGAGAGCAAGATGCGCTCAAACAAGCCCTGTCAGCGCTGTGATCGCCAGTGATGCGCATAGTATAGACCACTGCTTATAACTCGAGGAGGTCGCTATGAACCACGAGGCTCAGGTGGCCATGTCTATTGGCCTGAACGGCTACTGGATGAAAGAACAGGTTTGTAGAGTCCTGTCACTCGAACCAAGAACTGTCGTATAGCTCGCCAGGACCATGCCGCACGCCGATGTAATTTTCAGGTTTTGACCAATTCTTGAGGAACCAGTCTGCACTATCGTCGCCAGCTGGTCGTCGTAGGTCGTCCGAAGTACAGTATGCCGGGGGAGACGAGTGAGGAATCTTCCACTTGACCCCCGGTACGGCTGGTCCGGATCAATAGTCCACTTGGCCCGCCCAGCCAACCCAACTCCAGGAAGGAGATAAGACGTTGCCTCATCGGTCTGTGCGACGGACCATGTTGCTCTACGGATACCATAACAGCGCCGGATCCAGCTCGGTAGACGGTAAACCTGACAAAAAATCGCCTCTGAACCAGGAGCAGAGTTGGCCAAGCACTTCAGATACCGCATTGAGTCCATCTTGATGAAAAGAGTTTTATCGGCGAGTATACTCAGTGACCGTTTCGGCATACACTTCGAATTTTGTTGCAGGGTCGACCTTTGAACCGAAGATTTGGCCTTCCCTGCCTATTCCAGAAGGAATTTCATCCTCAGCTCTGGTATCTTCGAAGAACGGGAATCCATGTTGACATGTGAAGTACATCTGCGGCTTTGCAACGATCAAGAGCCAATTAGATAGATCACTTACTTGATAAGTCCAGGCCCACTCACTCCAAACCGACTTGTCAAGCACAGTATGCAAGGAAGAAATTATAACGCCAATGGTCAGATCCCCTATCGACTCAAGATGTTGTAGGATCCTCGAAAATTGTGGTCGATCTTCTCTCTGGAACATTTCTATGGTTGTAAGTTGTCCATCACCGCGCCCATACTTTATGGGCCGGTATTGATGCAGGCCTTTCTCTGCTCGAGATGCATGTATAGCAGTGATATGGTGTAGCTGTGACCGATTCTCGGGGTCGATAGTAACTACAACTAGGAAGAGGCGGGGGAGCGCGCAGGTGGAAATGACGTCTAGTGCGCTTTCCTTACCGTGCACGGACACCGGGTGGGCCGGGTCACCAGGTGGGCCACCCCACCAACTTTGTCACCACATTTGACCCCCCCTCCACAACGTCACCACGATGTCGTTGCAGGCTGCTCTTTCATACATAGACTCTTTGAAACCAGGAGAATCTTTTTCGTATAGACAGTTAGCCAAGAAATACCGTATTTCCCGCACTACTTTAACCAACCACCACCAACGTCAGAGAAGGACTAATAAAGATGCCCACAAAGATCAACGTCTCCTCCACCCACGCAATAAGGCTGAGCTTGTAAAATACATTAAAAGCTTCACAGAGACTCACTGCCCACCTACGCGGCAGATAATAATTAATTTCGCGACCCCCTTGTGCAGTTAGGAGCCCTCAGATCGGTGGGTTTCCAGGCTCATTCACCATCACCCTAATAACCTCACTACTGCCTGGACCACCCCTATGGAAAGCACGCGTCATGCGGCTGATAACTGTGAAAGATATCATCTATACTTTAATCTTTTAACTAAAAAAGTTAAGGAATTTGACGTTCTCCCTAAGAACACCTACAATATGGACGAGAAGGGATTCATGATTGGGGTCATTGGAAAGACTAAAAGAGTCTTTGATAAGGCTCTCCACAAGGAGCGTTGATATAAGCAAGCATCTTACGATGGCAACAGGGAATGGGTGACGGTTATAGGCGCGATTTGTGCCGACGGATCTCACCTCCCCCCTGCCGTAATCTATCCCGCGGCCAGTGAGAAAGTACAGGCTAACTGGGTGCACGATATCAATCCAGATACTCACGATCTACGATTCTCAGTATCCCCAAGTGGCTGGACGAACGACGATCTTGGTGTTGCCTGGCTGCAGCAGGTGTTTGATCCCGTTACCTCAAAAAAAGCTCGGAGAAAGTTCAGATTACTCATTCTTGACGGCCACGGCAGCCACGTGACGAAGGCCTTCATCGATTACTGTGATCTCCATCGAATTCTGGTGCTGGTTTACCCCCCGCACGCCACCCATACGCTGCAACCCCTAGATGTCTCATGCTTTAAGCCCCTGAGCCAATCTTACTCAAATGAGCTCATATATCATAACCACAACACCAAGGGATGGCTCCCCACGGGTAAGGCAGACTTCATAAGCCTCTTCTGGCCTGCCTGGGTCAACACCTTTACCGAATCGTTGATACTCCGAGCCTTTGAAGTCACGGGTATATACCCACTTCACCCAGACGTCATACTTGATCGCTTTAAGAAGGTGACTCCACCACTACCTGCAACGCCTCCCCAGCAATCAGAGCCTTGGGCGGCATCTACCTCACCTAATTGGCGACGTTTTAGGTCATCTTTTGACCGTGCAGTGACGTATGGGGACCCAGGGGCGCAGAGTGAGGCAAGGCAGCAGATGCACCAGATGCACGTGGCTCTTGAGCTCAAAGATCAGGAACTTCAGGGCCTCAAAACAGCACTGGAGAGTAAGAAGAAGCGTCAAAAGAAGAATAAAGTATTGCCACTGTCACCGCGGGACCCTAATGTACAAGGGGGGGCCATATTCTGGGATCCTTCATCCGTTGCACGTGCCAAGACCCGTATGAAGGATATAGAGAAGCAGGCAATCGCAGATGACGCTGCAAAGGCTGATCGGAAGCAAGTACAGCACAACAACAAGATCCTGAAAGAGAAGGATAAGGTTAAGAGGCAAGAAAAGGCAGCGTTGAGGCGTGAGAAGGCAGCTCAAAAGAGGGCGGAGAAGGCTCAGGGGATCGCCGAACGCGCAGCTGAAAGAGAGCGCGTCAAAACACTCAAGAACGCAGAAAAAGTATCCCAATTGCCTAAACAGACTAATCCCAAGGCCTCAGCAAAGCCACGGTCAAAATCAACAAAGCGTGGTGGTGGTGCAGCAAAGGGCAGTTCACAGGAGTCTCATGAGCCCAGCTCGGCACCCCCGGGCTTCAGGACTCGTGGTGGCCGCGTCACAAAGCCCACAAAAAAACTAAATACGCCAAAAGTCTCGCAGTAGCAGATAGTATATTTCATCAACTTCTTATATAATAATATCTACTCTACGTGGTGTTGTAGCCTCACTGTTGGTGAGGTGGTAAAGTTGGTGGGGTGGCCCACCTGGTGACCCGGCCCACCCGGTGTCCGTGCACGGTATCGATATCACGCCTTCCACAATTTCTCGAGCTTCCCCACCACCAGCACTTCCCCACCACAGAATGGCGTTTCGCAAGCGCAATATCGCGCTGTCACGCGTCCCGGCAGACGGTGACGCGTCGCCATCTGCGCCCTCGCCAGTCGAAGCTGCCCCAACACCTACACCAACTGGTGTACGCCCTTCGCCCATCGACGGCCGCCCCACCACCTCAACCGGCACACCGTCGCTCGATGGCATCTTGGCAGGCCATGCAGGTCTGCCACTAGGCAACTCGATACTGATCGAGGAGAGCGGGACAACAGACTATGCTGGCGCATTGCTCCGGTTCTATGCCGCAGAGGGCGCTGTGCAAGGACAAAAGGTGCATGTTGTAGGCATGGGTGAAGTATGGGGCCGTGAGCTACCTGGCATATCGGAGGGCAAGAGTGATGAGAAGAGGAGGGAAAGCAAGGAACGTGCGGAGAAGATGAAGATTGCGTGGCGGTATGAAGGGCTGGGCCAGTTTGAGAGTGCAAGAGGTGCGTCTTGTGTATTTAGTCCAATGCAATGCTATGCGTTCGAAGATCTGACTGTACGTGACAGGTCCCCAGAAGGCACAGACACAGGGCGAGAATGCAGAAGAAGTTGTGTTCTGCCATACATTTGACCTGGCGAGACGGCTGACACTGCCTGTGGGAACGGCAATGAACTACATTGCTATACCACGAACAGCTCCTTCTACATCGCCGCTCATGGCCATACTGCGGAATGTACAACAGCAGCTTGCGTCGACGCCCATGCATACGATACACCGCCTCGTCATACCGTCTCTCTTGTCACCAGCATTGTACCCTCCCACTTCCTCGCATCCCAATACGATACTGCAATTCCTGCATGCTCTTCGTGCATTGCTACGACAGAACCCAACACGACTCACAGCCATCGTTACATTGCCATTGTCCTTGTACCCTCGCTCCTCAGGCCTCGTGCGCTGGATGGAGATCTTTTCTGACGGTGTTCTTGAGCTCTCGCCTTTCCCGTACTCGCACGCACAGATGCTTGCCCAATCCGCCGGCACAACGAAGAATGAGGAGAAACCGCAGGGTATGTTTGCTGTTCACAAACTTCCCGTGTACCACGAGAAGGGCGGCGGTGGTGGAGCGGAAGACCTGGGCGAAGATATGGCCTTTACGCTTTCGAGACGAAAGTTTGTGATCGCGAAGTTCAGCCTACCGCCGCTTGAAGGAGATACCGAGGCACAGGAAGCCGCTGTAAGAGAGGCTGCAGGTGGGAGTGCCATGCCAAAGAAGGCGGATCTCGAGTTCTAGGTTGTGGTTGATCTCAGCGCCCGTGAGGCAGACGGTCATCCTCGCTGTCCTCGCCCATCATATCTTCCATCTCGATTTGCTCCCAGCCAGCGCTGCCAGCGCCTGAGCCAAGACCACGCGCGTAGCCTCGTCCATAGGAGCCGTGTCGAGGGTTTATGGACATGCCTGAGATTCGTGCACGGAAGCCGTCGCCCATGCAGGACGACAATGCGAGGAAGACAAGAAAGAAGATGAACGGAATGAAGAGCAGCAGCGACAACAGTACGAGGATATTCATATTGCCGCGTAGACAGCTCGTCGAGACTGCAAGAAATGAAAATGGAACGAAAGCATGTGCCGGCTGCTGGACCCTTGATTTTGTCGTCATCACCGCGGGAGCTAAGACGAATGCCGAACCCCTAGCGACGACATCCCAACTTTTGTAGAGCTGTTCCCAACAACATAATACACGATGCCAATGATAATGACACAATTACTCCGAGCTCCCCTGAGCGCGTTCGTGTTGCTCACATTTGCACTCAACACATCAGCACATGGCGGCGGCGACCACTCACAGATCGTGGTCGCGCCAGACGCAGATTGGGCGACTCGACACATGGCTGGTACAACACGCACCGTCTCTAATCCTCACTTCCGCTGACAGAGTCGTAGAGGAGCATCACATCTCCGGCTTCGATGCAGCGACCTTCTTCAGCCTCCACGACTACGACAGCACCGGCGTCTGGACAGCGCCGGACATCCGACGCACCTACGGCCTCTCCGACCCCTCCAGCGCCGGAATCAGCGAAACAAAGAAGGAAATGGTCGTGCAAACCATCCTCGACATGTTCGACATCGACAAGAACGGCGAAATCTCGCTTCAGGAATTCCAAACGAAGGACAGCCAGAACACCAAGCTGCCTGATTTCGGCTTCGGGCCAGGACATCACGGCGACGATGAGTACGAGTATGAGATTCATCATTGGGAGAAGTACCACTCGGGCGATGATGTGAAAGAGGAGGATCTTACGCATCCGGAGGATATTGAGCATTTCAAGTTGCATGAGCAGAAGGAGCAGCAGCAGGAGGAGTGGGAGAGGTTGGAGAGGGGTATTGTGGAGAAGAATATTCCGGCGAAGTACAGGCGGAATTAGGTTGAGCAAGTCTGTACAGGGGCTCAGACTTAGATGTACAGTCTGGCGAGGTGTTGTGATGCCTGGAGCGGGCTTCAGGTGTGTACCAGTATCGCGCGTAACGAAGACAGACGACGAGATGAACCGACGAGCACTAATAATGGACATCGAACCGCTGCGATAAACCTTGGCCTTGGCGCAGGGGAGAAAGCTATGTTAGCCGGTGTGATCGGTGCTAGCACAGACTTATAAGCGGAGGCAATGCAAACAGTCAGAGCGTAGCTACGCTGTTGATCGAAGTCAAGTTCACATGCATCAGCACCTAGATTCCTACGGAATCTCACCGGTGCGGTTGCAGTTCCAGCTGCTCGTCAATTGGTGGTTCGGTCAGCGCGGCTTTACTTCTCAGTTATCGCGCGGACGTAAAGAAGGCTGACAATCAGAGCTGGACAGCGCTTACAATGGTCTCGAAAGCGGGTCATCTAGATGTCGTCCGCCAATTGCTTGCAGCCAAAGCATCGCAGACCATAAGGCGCTTTCTTTCATCTAGGTCTTGCTAGTGCTCGACTGGACACAGCGAGGAAGAGTAAGATCGGCATTGTTCATGTCACTTTTTAGACTGCTTCAATGAGGGTCTAGGATTGACTCATCATCCACGGCCAGTCGAGAAAGCTGCAGAATATCGACCTCAGCGTACTATATAAGGGTCACGACATTCGAAAATGTTTTGATACTTGTCAGAGCCCGTGCTTTGTAGGTGCACGGGATTTATCAGTTGAGAGGATCGAGTTTGGAAAGCTGTTCACTGCATTCGCTGGCTCGAAGAAAAGAAACGATTTGCCCTCGGCCGCCGGGACGTGTCGATGGTGTACCTTATTGATTGCTCTTTCATGACAGTGCCATCGTCTGCTAATGAGTCTATGAGTAGCAGAGTTTGCAAACAGCACTCATCGCTCTTCGAACTATTTGAGCTGTGGAGTTGCAATATCCTCTTCCTCTTCTAAATATTGCGTGTCTTGTGCCAGAGGCCGAATAGCGACAGTTAAAATGCAGTGGATTTGCAAATCCTCCTTGATTTTGAATGGCATGAAAGAATAAGGGAATATTCGCAATTACTGGCCAAAGAGAGGAAAATCTTTGGGGCTGCAGAAGGCACAGGCATGTGGCTCTTGGCGCGATGACGACCCGCCACAGCCACAGCTCGTGCGCGGCGACGGCGACAGAGCAAGCTCAAGCTTACGCCAAACGACGACTTCGACACCACACACCACCTCTCCACATATTTCGTCTACATCATACACAATGTCCGAGAAAGCAGGAACCGACAAGGTGAGCACGCCTCACAGTTGCGAATGGAGCTCGAAGTAACACCAACAGCCCCCAGAGAGCCCGACAACGGCGCGTGAGCTCGACTTTGACGACGACAACGATGCCCCTACTTCCTCTGCACCTGAGAAGGTTATATCGCCACTGCCGGCTTCGAAATCGCCCAAGACCGGCGTGAGATTCTCCGAACAGGCGGAAGAGATCCCTCCCCAGAAGCCCCCGCGGCCAGTCGACCCAGACGTCCAGGCGCAGAACACACTCATTGAAGCCTTCCCTGACATTGACACAAATGTGATCAAGGCAGTTCTGGTCGCAAGCGGCGGAAAGGTCGAGCCTGCATTCAACGCGCTCTTAAGTATGCGGTTGCCTAGATATGCTCATGGAGTCGCTAATGTCGTGTGAAGGCATGTCCGATCCCAATTTCAAGACTGAAGAGGCAGCACCGCCGAAGCCTCCGCGACCGCAGCCTCGCAGCCAACTCGAGCAAGACGAGATGTACGCTCGGCAGCTGGCTGAGCACTACCAGAGCCAAGGTGGTCAGCAGGGCCAGGGTGGCTATGGGTCAGAGCGGCGCTCGGCACCGTATGCAAGGTCAAACAACCAGAACCAGAACAAGGATGACCGCGAGTACAGCTTCTTCGATGGTATGCTCACTAAATCCTCTTGATAATGTCCGGTACTAACACAGGCAGACGATCTTCCCGAGATCCGCAAGAACATCGAGCAGGGCTTCCAAGAGACACAGAAAACAGTGAATAAGTGGATTACTAGCTTTAAGAAGAAGCTCGACGGCGAGCCTGACGACTACGATCAATACGGAAATCCCGTGCCCCGCGAGCATGGCCACACATCACAGGGACGTCAGAATTATGGCCCTTCACAATCGGACCAGATGCACGGTATCCGCAAGTCGGCTGAGCAACGTCGTTCTACTGACATGCGCCGTTCCGCCGACCACAATCGCTATGATGCGGACAACAGGGTACTGGGTGACGACTTTGCCCAGCTTGAGATGAGGGACAACGATCCTCAGCAGAGGTCGAGCGGCCGCCCATCGGCCAACCCTGATCTTTTCAAACCTACCCCCGTGTCGCCACCGCAGAGCGGCCCTGTCGACGAGGTTGATGCTCTCTATCGCAACCCTTCGCCGAATAACCCGGGAGGGAAGTCTGGCGGCAAGAAGTGGCAACCTCTGACATCGGTCGCGCCACACCCTGAGACCGACGAGCACGATCCATTCAGCCTCGGTGATAGCGACGACGAGGACAACAAGACAAAAGACACCAATCCTGAGGACACGGAAAGACTGAAGAAGGCTGCGGAGGCTAAGGTCAAGGAGTCTACAGGCTCTGAGCTAAAGCCTGCGACGAGGAGTGGGAGTGTTGGTCAGAAGGATGCGGCTGCCGAAGCACTGCTCAAAGATGCGAAATAAGCGTAGTTATACATACTGATGGAGGTGTGATGGGCGCTACCGGCCAGACCGACTCCAAATCCCCTTCCAAATGATACCAACTGGCTCTTGTTGTGTTCCGGTCGTCCTGCTATTGATGTACGATCGCCCAAACCTCTACCTCGTATAATAGCCCCTTCAGCGCCAGACTGGCAACACCCAATACGGTATCCGGAGGCTTGTGGCCGTCTGCATGCTTGTCCATAAACTCGATCCACAGCGGCGCCCAACCTCGCTCAACGATATCTTCCTTGTTCAACTCCGCATCGCCCGAGTCATTAACAATATAGTGCCGTACATGGATAATGTCTCTCGGTGTAGCACCTGTTGCTTCCAAGCAGCGAAGCACACTATCATAAGCTGCCTTGACTTGCTCTATCCACGGGGCTTTGTAATCGCCTGTCTGACCAGCGAGAGTGATGAATTTGGATGTTGGCACGATTGGGGTTATTGCGACTTGCTTATAGGATGGTGCTGGTTCGCGCACTGTAGGCGGGTTGAAGGCTTGGGGCTTGTTGTCGTCTGACATGTTGGGTAGGATTGATGGAAGCCTCGAGGAGGGAATGGTTCGACAAGGTCGGGAAGCTGTAATCATGCCCCTAATACAATATTCGCAGAAAGCTACCAAATCAGTGTTCAGAGCATTGGAGTATGTATCAAAGTTACTTATGTGAGGGGTACATTATTGGGAGGAGTTAGCGTAGCCGCATCGCGGTATCTTAGTTCCTCCTACATTCGCTCAATGTGGGTCCTCAGCGCCTTGATCAGCATCGACGTCGCGCACAATTGAATGATCGCACTTGCTCCACTCGCAATCCACAGACAATGCATCATGAGCGCATCGGAGCAGATACCAGCGTGTTCCAGGATGAAATATCGCGGCTGAATTCATACAGTAACGGTGCGGGGTTTATTGGATCATCAGTCCTGGTACATTCATGGAAGGACGACAGGCGCGGGCCGGACGAATCAATGTCAACACCTTCGAATCCGCGACGCCCGTTGCTAGCGTTACATCATGCCATGGCATGTGCTTTTGCGGGGAAGCTATGGAGCTTAAACAAGGTCGTCGCTCGAGTTACGCGACTTCTGCCACTCATTGATCGTTCTTCATATCACTCTTCGCGAAGCGCTCACACCGCTCGCACTGCACACGATGGCGTCCGGACTCTTCTCAAAGTCTAATCAGCCTACGAGTACTCCAGATGCTCGCATTCAGTTTGGCGAAGAACGGCCGCATGACATCTACCTCAACAAGACGCACCCAACGGCGCAGCATGCGTACAGCTATGTCGACACGACACACTCGAAAACACACGTCCACACGGCCTCGTTATTCGACGTTGGCATCTTGAAGGATACACTTGCTCCCTCTCTGACTCTTCACTCTGGTCTCGCAGTCATTGCATACGGTATCTCACGATACACTCAACGCGTCGAGGTCAAGGATTGGCTCTGGCCCAGCGGCCAGGTTGCCAATGCCTGGTGGTCTGCAATTGGTCGCCGTCTAGCCGCAGGCTTGACGCTCACGCAAGCTCTCAACCGTCTGTCCTGGCACGAGCGCGTCGTCTTGACCGGTGTGACGCTCTGGGGAGGTCGACTGTTCTACCGCATAGCTCGCCGATCAATCCAGCGTGGCGAAGACGATCCACGCTACACCGAGGTCAAGAAGGAGGACGATTTCTGGAACTTGGCTTTGTTCAAGATCTTTATCCCCGAGGCCTTCTTCCAGATGCTCATCAGCTTGCCTTTCACAGCTCCGTTCAGGCACGAAGGTGCGGTCATGATAGGGTAAGATCAAGTAGATCAACTTTAGCATCAGCAGCTAAATTGTCCAACAGATACCACCCTTATATTCAGATGGCGGCCGTTGGTCTGTTCTCTACCGGTCTGGCCATGGAGACTTTGGCCGACTATCAGCTCGATCAATACAAGGCCGAGGGTGGACGTGGCATCCTCCGCGAAGGGGTCTGGAGCATTGTCCGCAACCCCAAGTACATCCCCTGTCCACCATCCAAGCCACTCTCACTAACATAAACCAGCTACCTCGGCGACGCTCTCGTCCACATTTCTTTCATCGTAATGCTGTACGGAAGCGACATGCTTGCACCCATCGAACTCCTCGGTCCCGTCGCGAACTACTGTTTCCTCCGCTACTTCGGCGGCGACAAGAAAAAAGAACAGCACCAAGTGCGCCGCTACTCTACTTCTCAGCCCGATAAGTTCGCTGAGCTGCAGAAGTTCCGTGCTGACAAGAATGCGTTCTGGCCGAGCATGGACGAGCTTAGCAACAAGTGGCTGTGGACTGTGCTGGGAATCGGAGGACTGGGTATCGCTGTTGAACAGACATTGAGGACACTGCATTAAGACGGTCATGGGACACTTGCAGGTCTATGGCGTCCTCGGCTTTTTTTCATTGGATTGCTTTTGCCCTTTCGTTAATTCTGCTCAGCAAACCGAATTAAACTTATTCGAGTTTCAACTACATACGCGGTGTCAATCGTCTGAGTGCTTCCAGGCTGCCGAATCCGATCTATTTCCCGTGAAGTGTAGTCCTTATTGCACGCACACATCACCTCATTGCGTCTCCTCGGTGTGGCCATTCACCAAATCTTCTTCCTTCACGTCTAGGGCATCATCCTTGAAAGAGTCTTCTTGCTTGACGGCTTGATCATCCTTTGGTCTTGCGTCTTCGATGCTTCGTTCAAGAGCCTTTGCCTTGACCCTCTCCATTTCTTCAGATGTGAGTCTGCTCCTCGTGCCCGTGAATTCGTGCCACTTCCACCCGTCCTGCGCCCACCTCCACTTCAAGTAAGGCCTCAGGTCCTTATCCAGCGGTACTACCCTCTTCCACTCCGACTCCCCCTCCGTGATCTCTCTCAAGCGATCCCGGTAGAAAATCCTAAAGCTATCTAAAGCATACGGTCCCATGCCCGGCAGATGCGCAATCTCCCACCCCTCCCTCTCATCCTCCAGCCCCAATATCTCGTCGGTTTTAACGTCTAATCCGCATCCTCGGTTGGGGTAGTGCAGTCTTCTGTACCGCCGCTCTTTGCACGGTGGAGCCGCTAGCCACGCCTCAGCCAACGCGATCAACCGTTTGGCGCGTACATTGTGCAGACCCAGGGGTTGCAGGATCGCAGTCAGTCGATCTAGGTCTGCCTGCGAGAGATGGAAAGGTGTCGGGTAGAGGGCCAGGATTTGAAAGAGGACGGGCCGGGCTGCACGGCCGTGGGTTTGGTTCCAGAGGATTACTTGGACGACGAGGGCGTAGAGGCTGTCGCGGATGCGCTCTTGGATGAGTCCATAGCCTGCTGGTTGGAGTTGGAAGGGGAGATCTTCTGGTTGGGGAATTGTTGTTGGGCGGTCCGATGTATGCTGCGATGTGAAGTGGTTGCTGACGCGTTCTGGTCGTTTGCGCTTCTTGGTGGCGGGATTGTCAGGGGTAGACTGAGGAGTGGACGTTGGCTCTTGCTTTGTCACGCTTGATTGTGATCTTGTTGTTACCATGACCAACACCGGATAAGAGCTCGATAACGATGCGTTTGTTCTTCATACTGACGAAGGTGGGATAACGTTAGATGAAATGCATTGCGGTTGTACCTGCCATTTCGGGCTGAAGAGCGTCATCGCAGGTGCGGATGTACGACCGGTTTCTACTTCAGCAAAATTCTCTTGATTTCAAGGTTGCTCTTTCTAATTCCTTTTAATCCGAGTCATTGTTGAGCATAATGTGCAGATTGGCCTGGTCCGCATTGGTTGTGGCGTTCGCATTTGTAGACGCACGCGAGATCAGCTTCCCTTCCCTCCCCGGGTTTATCTCGGATCAAGTGGTGATGGACGTCATCACTCAAGATATCCATCAAGGCAGATTTTCAGGCTTGACGACTTACGCAAACTTGCCGTATGTTCATTGTCTGGCTGTAGATAGCGAAGATGTCGAAAGGTTTGACATTGCGATTTTGGGCGCTCCGTTCGACACTGTAAGTTGTTATTAACATCAAAATGCGTTCTGGTCGATCTGGGGACGAGGGGTGAGTGGAGAGTGATATGTGCCCGCTGTGGAAGCACAAGCACGAACTTGGTGGCTGGTTACTGACATGTCTGCAGGGAGTCACAGCCCGGCCCGGCGCCAGATTCGGGCCGAGTGGCATTCGGCGTGGGTCGTCTCGGATATCAGCCGGTGCAGCCTGGAGCATATATACAGGTATGTTTGCTATACACTGATTCCGAACTTGTGGGATTGCGTGGTACAGGCTCTGATTTCGAAACGATGTTGAGCGCACGGAACACAGCACCATCGAGATGATGTACTGCATGGAGGCGAAGAGCACAATCAGTATCGGTGGCCGACGAATGCTTGCGTTGTGTACACAGTCGTTGGCTAGGCGAAGACCGCAGACTAAGAGCTGAAGCATCGAACTGACTGCTTCCAGGGGAGAACATCTTTATCGACTGGGCAAAGATCGTAGATTGCGGAGATGCTCCTTTGACTTTTCTCGTAAGTGGAGAACAAGACCGACGTGCCATAGCTGACAATGTTCAAGGATAACACTGTTGCGTTAAAGCAGCTTGACAAGGCGCACAAGGGGATCTCGGCAAGAAAGACCAACTCAAGCGATTTCACTGTTCCACGGATTGTGACACTTGGTGGAGACCACACTACGACACTGTCGGCTCTACGATCCACACACAGCCATTGGGGCCCAGTCAGTGTGATACATTTCGACTCTCATATAGGTAAGCCGAGTTCGCATGTGCGGCCGCGGAGCTGATGATATGCGTCAGATACATGGGACCCGAAAGTGCTAGGCGGAGGCATCTCGCACTACGCGTAAGTGTTGACGACTTAGCCAGAGTCTGTGTTACTGACCTGTATGTAGAGGCGTCAATCACGGAACATTTCTACACATTGCTCATGAGGAAGGTCTTATTCGCAACACGTCTATCCATGCGGGTATCAGAGCTCCTGTTGTTCGTCCAAAAGGTGATGTGCGCAACGACATCAGATGCGGGTTTGAGATGGTGCGAGCACGGGATATTGACCGTCTGGGCATCTCTGGCATTGTCGAGCGTCTGAAGAAGCGAGTCGCTGGGACGAGAGTCTATGTCAGTGTGGATATAGATGTTCTAGATCCAGCCTATGCACCGGCCACCGGTACAGCTGAGGTTGGTGGATGGACCACCCGCGAGCTGTTGTCCATCCTTGACGGCCTGGAAGGGTTAGAGGTTGTGGGAGCTGACATTGGTAAGTTTAACAATCCGAAGCCTGCGATTGCAATCTGTTGACTCGCACAAATAGTCGAAGTCGCACCAGTCTACGATACTGCGGGTGAGACGACGGTGTTGGCTGCGGCAGAGGTGGTGCTTTCACTGCTCACGTTGATGGTCAACAAGCCCGTGCAAGCTGACGCGTAGACACGAAACTGCGTGGCACAGTTGCAGTCTTTGAGTTCAGACCAGCTTGAGTAGAAATTAGGAGTCAATGTTCAATACAATAATATATCGGCGCACACATTAAGATGAAGACTGGACATTCAATCGGCGTCCTGACATCGGCGAGTCGCATTTGCCGGTAGGTACCGGTACCGTACCGGTACTACCTAGCGCAGAATATTGCCGAGGCCGCGGCTCCCAGTCGCTGAACATGCATACGTCACCCGAACAACACCACCACAACATGTCCGGAACAGAAGAGCCAAAAAAGGAGAGATTCGCTCCGAAGGAGCCGGTCACTTTGAGCCCTCCCAAGGACGACACTATCACCCGCGAGCACCTTGCTAAGTGTGACGGTGAGCTACCCCGCGGAGCAGTGGCGGAGGGAGTACTAAGCAGATGCTAGGCACGAACGAAGGCTATCCCACGCTAGTTGGCATCAAGGTAGGTGTGGTAAAACGAAGGCAGTAACGATATGCACACGACTTACAATGCTCAGGGCGATGTCTTCGACGTGAGCGGAAAGGAGACCTACGCGCCCGGCAAAGGTTACCATGGTAGGATGCAAAATCTGTACCACGATTGACTACGTACTTACCAATTCAGTCTTTGCCGGCAAAGAGCCAAATCGTGCGCTTGGCATGTCTTCTCTGAAGCCGGAGGACTGCGTATCAGACTACTCAACATTGTCTGAGACAGAAACGAAGACCCTAAATGACTGGCACACGTTCTTCAGCAAGCGATACAATATTGTTGGACGTCTTACCAACGCTGAGAACGAGTCGCGGATTTGAAACAATTTCTGTTTAAATCGCCGACGGAATCGTAGATGTCAAATCGCCTCAAGTTGCATCTGCATGTCTATAATGCAAGAACGTGCTGTCCTATTGAACCCGGCAAAGACTTCGATACCTCAAATAAAAGGACTGTTTCAGAACACTATGCATTATTGGCCTGTATGGCCTGCCTACCAAATACAAGGTATATATGTGGAATCTGCTGACGTGAAACAGCTGGAGGCTTTTCCCCATTAATGCCAAAAAACTCCTTCAAATCCAAAGCATTCCATCGCGGGTGAACCGCAACGCCAACAAAATAAGAGCCATACCGCTCGAGCTATCAAGCCGTCATTGTTCAGAAACATAACACAAAATGCCGGAAACACCATTTACCCCACAAACAGAATTTACGCCTAGAAGATTCGATCATTGGATGTGCCTCTAACCGGAGATCCAGACGAGGAAATTGGACCTGTCGACGTAGGAGTCATCTACCGCCTGCTACGCTATATACAGGCTGCAGGTTTCGAGTCAATTCGTTGGTATTGCGGTATTGTTGATGTTTGGCACAGTTCTCGCACTCTGTCTCGTGTTGCTCCCACTTCCTCTTGATGTTCCAAGCCCCGAAGCACTGGTGGCCGGGATCATTGCGTGCAAAGTGGCAGTACTTCCAGAGGCGCTTCTCCTTATGCCCGCAAGCGACGAAGTGGATCTCCTCGTAGTAACACATGGCGGCTGGGTGTTCACGTTGAACCGTCGAAACTGCAGACTCTGTCAGATTGGTATGTTCAACACAAGCACTTCGACGTACGAGAATATGTCGTTGCTGCTAGCTTCAGGCGAGCTGTCGAGAGTGACGTCCGTCGTTACCGTGGCCGATTCGAGGACTCTTCGAGGGTGCATACGGACAGAAGCTTCGAGTGGACGCTGGTTTTGTTTGAAGGAGATGATGGGAAGTTGACAGCGGAGCAGCACGATCCTTAAATATGGCTGCAGCAGATACATCCTGCAGCTTTGTCGACAACCGCGCTATGCTCGACATACTCCTCGATACAACATCTCCTTCTTCGACGGCCTTGCAGCACGCAACGCCCTGTAGGGTTGCACACTACGAGAGTGTCTCCACCCTGACACCCTCACTTTCCACCAACACATCGCTCCCCGCATCTCCAGGTTTCGGGGAGGCCCCTAACTAGCTTCTGCTTGGTTGAGTAGCGAGACTTACCACCAGTGCTATGTGGTGATGCCGCACTGATCCAGCTAAGACTCACCCGTCGCTGTACAGGTGTACAATAGCGGTTATGAGTGCTGCCCGGGCTTCTCGATTGCCATGCAGGCCTCATTCGGGCAGCAAATGTTTGGTTGCGCCCCCACAGTTCTGCAGCACCTCGTTTGCGAATATGTCAAAATATTGCAGCACGGTTGCCTCGAAACACGACACATTGCGCACAGACGCACCCAAGCCAGCGCGCTATCGTCCATCAGCCCGGAATCTGGTCAAGATGTATCGAGATCTAAGCGACCAGATAGCGCTGATGCGGAACGATTGTCCACGTTTGGCCACTTGCACCTTTCCAACCTTCGATCTACATATCAGCCACCAAAGATGGTCTCGAACGAGTCTCCCGCTAGACACCTCGTTCCTTTCTTGGTAACAGTCCAGTTCGGATGCCTGTAGTTGCAGGGTGAACTTGTTATTTTTCTCGAACTCTTGATGCAATCGCGCACGGCCTTGTGAGTGAAGTGTGTGTCACCTGAGCTGCCAGTCACACGCATCGAGTCCCTTGCTGCGTGGGTGGGGCCAGCGCGTGCTTGCTGCGAATCAGAGGTAATGTCCCCAAGGTCCGTGCATGGCTCTGTGCAGTCGGCCAAATCGAAGCAGACCTCAAAATACCTTGGAGTCGAGCCTCTTCAACCCCCCCGCAAGGATGTATGGCGTCCTGCCAACATTGCATGCCATTCATTGACGGTTGAAACAATCGAGTTCATGCGGAACCGACAACCACTTCTTTCAGTGAGCGCACTTTGTGGTATACCCTCGAGAATGAACCTGTTTCTGCACCGAAAGCGCCACGGCAACTCTTCCTGTAGGTGCTGTTGTATGACATTGTTGATAAACAGGAATCCACTGACAATCTTTGAGGACGATGCATACAACTCCAGCTGTCATATTGAGCGCTAAGCAGTAGTTGCGTTTGACTGTTGTGAACCCACAGGAATGAATGGCTTGGGCTAAGTGTACGGACCCATGCATCGGCTTCTAAGCCGTGGCCGTCCTGCTGTCCGCTGTCAGGTAAGACCCGCACCTGCAGAAAACTGTAGCATGGGCCATGCTTACCCGCTGTGCCTTTCGAAGCATCTCACCGGGCGTCGCCCGTGTATCACCATTGACGTGCTCCAGCGTTTTCTTGACGTACACCTCGCTGCAGTGTGCTACGATGTACACGACCGATTGCAGGCTCAGACAACGCAGAGCCGCTTACAACATTGTGACAGAGAGCCTGCAAAGCACAACCGGGTCACAGGAACATTCCTAGTGGGTTGACGATCAAACGAACGCTACCGACCAGCACATATCTGCGATACACAGGCATTACGCAATCACAGATGAAGCCTACTTACTGGAGAACCCCGCTTAAATCGAAATATACACGAGCACAAGTCATTAAGCCCTTGTCCGAGTTCGAGCTTACTCGGGAGTCCGGCTAACGGTCCGATACGGACACAGAATGGCGGAACTAATTTGAGCAAGAATGGGCAGCGAATGTTCCGAGAGACGTACAGTAGGGGCCTCCCAGCAGCTTCCCCTTTGGTCGAACGACGCAGGATCTAGGACTCGAGAATGTGACATGGGCAGGGTCGCTGCACCAAAATTGGTGCACTATGGGCTATACGGGAACGCGCACGAGCAGCGCATCCGCCAGCTCGCAGCATGTCACATCGGGTCCGGGGACGCGTTCCCCTGTCATCCGGTACGGAGTATGCATAGCATGGCCAGACGCGTTGTATACACACTAATAACACGCAGTGTATACACACTAGTCACACGCAATGGCGGTACACCAGTCACACGCAGTGGCTGTACACCAGTCAAATGTACGCCATCACTATGGCAAGTCATGGAAACTACAACTGATTCGCCACTCGGCCTCACAGGCGTAGAGGATGGATTGGTTTGCACACACTGTACTCAGGACCCAGAAGGTTGACGAGATTGTGCTGCATCTGGCTTACGAACAGATGACGATACAGAACTCCTCCGGACCGCGGAAATCCTGGCTAGAGCTCGATCAACCTTGACAGTGACAGCAAATAAGCTCAACATTTGAATGTTCCGGAGCCTGAGAGCTACGAAGCCAATCAAAGTGGCGGATACGGCGCTGGTCGGACCACGCCATCTGCGCGACCAGTACAAGCGCTTCTGCCTGCGGCGACACCATGCTGGAGGGTGACACGAGTCATGAGTGTCCTTCACGCACAACAGCGACGCGCGCATACTTCGCTAAAGTGTGGACAATACTTTCCATCGCAGCACGGACATCAGCGCTCACGCGAAGCGGATGCAATGTGGAAGCACTGTCGCTCAGCGTGTCTGCTTGTTACACAACATGCGTCTCCGTGCGGCGCGCAGCGCCTAGCTATGTTGATGCTGTGGCCTGAGCAAGAATCGCGTGGGGACGATCTGCGCCGTTCTCGTCAGATGTGCTTTCTCGCATCTTCAACGTCTGCCCACGTTGTGTTGGCACCCCACAGGCTCCACTCACGAGCATCTTGAAACAGGACACACAGACGTCAAGATGATCGTGATAGAAAACACATTCTTTCCGATATCATAACAACTTTTCAACTGAACGCCTTCGCTATGCGCTATCGATCCCCCCCTCAAGCAGACGGTGACGTGCAATGACTACTTAGCCCGATTAGCCTTTCTCTTCTGCCTCTTCTGCGCAATGATCCTCGTCCGCTGCGCCACCTTGGCCTTATCCATGTCCTGCTCTGCATCAGCGGGCGGCTTGTTCCCTTCCGCGCGCGACCCTGGCTTCTTCGCATCCCGACCAGTACCCGAGCTCGAATCGCGCTTCCTCTTCTGGCCCTTGGCCTTAGCCTTTGTGTCCTGCTCGGCATCAGACTCAGACCCGGCCGCGCCTTTTGCCGGCTTTGGTTCGCGGGACTTGTCCTCGGCGGCTGAGCGGCGGGACACGACATTCGCGTTCTCGATGGCGAACTCGACGATCAGGCGCTTGCGCTTGTCCTCCATGGCCTCTTTGGCGGCTTTCTTGCTCTTGGGCATCTCGCCCTTGACTTTGTAGTCGACAGCATGCCCGTTGAGCCAGCGCAGCCCCATCAGAGCGTTGCGGTGCGTGTAGTACTCGATGAAGCCGTATCCTCTGCTGCGCCCCGCGCCCGTGTCCTCGCCGACTTTGCTGCCTTTCTCCGTCTCAAAGACGACCTTTGCTTGGCGCACGATTCCCTTGCCGCGCTTCTTGCGGATCTTCTCCGCGATGACCATTTCCTCGCCACCGCGGGCGATTTCGGCTTTGCTGAGCTTCTGACGCTTGCCGGCGTTGACGTCCTCTGCGAAGCCGACGACACCTTTGCGGGCGAGCTGCTTCAGGTCCTTGGATGTGATGGAGCGCGGGAGGTTGCGGACAGAGAGACGGGTGAGGGAGAGGTGGAGTGAGGGGTTGTCCTGGATCTGCTTGCGGCGCAGGGTGGCGCTGTCCTCGCGCATCTTGACTTCCGAGGGCGAGAGCTGGGCGTACAAGGGCGAGTTAGACGCGATGGTTCCCTCATTGAGCAGGTACAGGCGCCGCTTGTCCTTGTCGCGGTTGAAGCGGTTGGCGGCGCCCTCGGCGGTGAGACGCGTGGCTTCGGTCTTGTCGACGGCGCGGCTGAGGTGCAGGATGCGGCCGTCGATTGTGTATCTGCCGGTGGGGTCGGCGTCGGCGTCTTCGAGGACCGAGTGTGAGGTGGTGATGGTTGCGCCGTCTTTGCGCTCGATCTGCTTGGTGTTGATGGTGACTTTCGGCACGCCTTTTAGGCAGTCGATCATTTCGTCCTCGTTGAAGAAGGCGACGAAGCCGGTCCCCTTGGGGCGTTCGGTATCGCGGTCGTAGACGACGCGGGCGTAGCGGATGGCGCCGAACTGCTTAAAGTGCTCCTTGAGGCTCTCGTCGTCGACGGTGAAGGGCAGGTTGCGGATGAAGAGGACGTAGTTGGGGCGCTGGGGCTTCTGCTCCTCTTCTTCTTCTTCGTCGTCGTCGTCATCGTCGAGTTCAGACAGCTCGTCGTCGTCGTCGTCGTCGTCGTCACTGCCGTCGTCGCTGTCGTCGACAGACTCGGCGTCAGAAGGGTCCTCGCTCGACTCGACGTCAGAGCCCGCGTCCTCCATGTCCACGTCCGTTTTGTCCTTCACGTCGTCGCCCTCCTGCTCCGTCTTCTGCAGCGTCTGCCACGCCTCCTTGTCGACGGCCCAGTCGACGGCAATCGGGCGGCCGTCAATGTCCCTGCCGTTGAGCTCGGCCAGCGCGCGCTCGGCGTTCTTCCGGCCGCGCATGGCCACAAAGGCAAAGCCGCGCAGCTCGCCGTTGGGCTTCTTGGGCAGATTGATGAAGTGCGTCTTGCCAAAGCTGCGGAAGTGCTTCTCGAGGTCCTCGGGCGTCTTGATGCTCCACGGCAGATTTCGCACGATCAACTTGGGCGTCTGGTTCTCCTTCTTGGCTGCCTCGCGCTCGGCCTTGAGCCGCTGGCCCTTGCTCTCGGCGCCGTCCTCGCGGTGTCGGGCCTCGGCGCTCTCGAGGCGGATCTTCTTGCCCTGCAGACTCGCGCCATTGAGCTCGTCCAGCGCGCGCTGGGCGTCTTCGACGTCGGCGAAGGTGACGAAGCCGTAGCCCTTGGACTCCTTGGTGTCCTTGTCGAGCACGACGAGCGCGTTCTTGATTGGGTATGAGTCGGAGAAGAAGTCGGTCAATGCCTCGGTCGTGACGGTCTTTGCCAGGCTGCGGACGAAGAGCTGTCGGCGCGCGTTCGACTTGCGGTCGTTCTTGGGCGCTTCCACGGCGGGTGCGGTGCTGGGGGCGACTGCGACGGCCGCGACAGCCGCGACAGCCTCGGCGCCCGCCTCTGAGAGGCGCTGCTTCTTCCTACGGGGAGCCATCTGGTTCGTCTCTACGGGGGGAAAGCGCTTTTGCTGTTCCAGTCCCGTCTCGACAAAAAAAGTTCGCTATGGCGGCGCTAGCGTGCGCAGGGAGCGGGGCTCTCCCGCCATTGGCCGTTCGCCCACACCGACTCCACCCAGACTCCGTTCAAATGCGGGATGACGGCACTCGTGCATGTCGCGCATCCTCACGTGGGCCTGGTCTGTAGCCTCGAGCCTTGTCCTGGACCGCGACAAACCACAGAATGCCATCTTTGCGGCCCAGCACGTGCTGGCTCCATGCACTTGTGGGCTGCTCGACGTCTGCCTAACCGCCGTCCGCGGCACTCGACGCCGTCTTGGTGCTTGAGCGCCGTCTTCGAGGACGGCGGGATTGGCGGATGAGCCCTTATCGCGGGGTGCCTTCCTGAGTTGAGGTGAGCCCTTGCCGCAGCAGATACGGGGCAGCCAGGTATAAGAGGTAGGCCTTGGGGCGTGTCGATAGTTGCCACGTCCATTATTGCCGCTGCGTTGCTCCTTCTCCATCATTTTTATCTTCCGCTATTGCTATCCTCTACATGTCCCTATCCTTCAATGCAGCCATTTTAAGAACCCTCGATCCCTCCGTGACCGCCAGCCTTCGACCCGCCTGAGCAGTCCACTACTGGTGCCAGACCCCTTCTACCGCAATTGCAACCGTCCACGGCCCTCATTACTCAACGCGTTGACTGATGCCCGCTGCGCTTCGTGTTACACAAACGTAGATCTCTCTGACAGCGGGCGGCTTTCACCAAATCAGCGGTTGTCTTGCTGCATCCCGCTAGGCTCCTGCCGAAAGCGACCTAGCGGCGCCGTGACGTCTGGGTACAGCACCTGTGGTGTAGAAGTCGGCAGTATGAATTCGCAGTCACAGCACACGCCAGAGACGGAGCCTCTCCTCCCACTAGAGACGTCCGGCTCATCGTCGCGGACCATCAACAATGCCACATTTCCACCGTCGATGGCCGCCATCTTAGACAAGATCGAGAAGGAAGTCAACAACCTTGACAATAAGAGCGACTCGGAAGAACCGCAGTCTTCCAAAGATGAAGTACGGGACGATGCCACGATTTATGACAAGAAGTGCCTCCTTGTGGATAAGCAGATAGATGCATTCGGCATGGGGCACTACCAGTGGATGATCTGGTCGCTTTGCGGTCTGGGGTACCTCATCGATCTCATGTGGGCGCAAGCCTTTGGGCTTGTCTTGTCGCCTCTGCAGCAAGAGCTGGGATTCGGCAATAATGAGACTGGCAAGCTGTCGACCGCCTTCTCTGTCGGACTCACCGCGGGTGCATTCGCCTGGGGCATCTTAGTTGATGTCATTGGCCGGCGATGGGCGTTCAATCTGACGGTCCTGATCGCCTGTATATTTGGGCTATGTCTCGGCGTACCCGATGACTACAACACCATTCTAGTGCTCACTGCGCTGACTGGCTTTGGTGTCGGTGGCAACATCCCGATCGACACAACCATCACGCTCGAGTTCACTCCAGAGAGCAAGCGCTACCTTCTTCCGCTGCTGTCAATATTCCAACCTCTTGGTGTTGTCATTTGCAGTGTCATGGCTTACGGCTTCATTCCTGTTCACAGCTGCTCGCCCAATTTCTCAGAAGCAGGTCCATTGCCTTCATGTAAGACTGTTGACATCGATGTAGCCTGCTGCAAGAAGGATGATAACGTGGGCTGGAGATATCTGCTGTGCGTTGAACGCCCCAGAACTGCTTCCTAACGATGCTGATATTCGACAGATACACTCTCGGCGCCCTCACCTTGCTGGTCTTTGTCCTACGATCCGTCATCTTCAAGTTCCAGGAATCGCCCAAATTTCTGCTCTTCCGCGGCAAGGACGCGCAAGCGATCAAGGTCCTAGAGAACATTGCGCTGTACAACAGAACAACATGCAGTTTGACACTCGAGCAACTGCAAGTTGTTGAACGAGAGCATAATAGCCTCTCCAGTGGTGCTAGCTTGACCGAGGAACAGCCCTCCTGGTCAAGAAGTATGCAGTATGAGCTCGCACGCTTCAAGATCCTCTTCTCATCACCTCAGATGGTCCGACTCACCACTCTGGTCTGGCTAACCTACATCTGCGACTTCACCGGCTTCACCGTCGCGGGCTCGTACCTGCCGCGCATCATTGCGCTGAAGAACGGCGCACTCCATCTCTCACTCGACTACACGTACCGCTCCTACATCCTCATCTACCTTCCTGGCACCATTGGTGTCCTCCTCGGCTCTCTACTCTACCGCACGCCCAACATCGGCCGCAAGTACACCATGGTCGTTTCCTCCCTGCTCATGTCCGTCAGCATTTTCGTCTTCAGCACCGTGAATTCACCCGCCTCAAACATCGGACTCAACGCCATGGAGTACTTCTTTCAGTCCATGTTTAACGCCGTGCTGTACGGATGGACACCCGAGGCTTTCCCGGCGCAGATTCGCGGTACAGCGTGTGGCGTGGCCAGTTTCTGGGGCAGGCTGTTTGGGATTGTGAGTCCGCTCATTGCCCAGCATTTGTATGCGAGGAGTAAAGATGACAAGGGCGATGTGAACAGTGTGTTGTATCTTGCCGGGGGAGTGACGCTGGGGTGTGTGGTTACGACGGCATTATTACCGGCAAAGGCATTGAAGAGATAGGTGGGGTTGATGATGCGCAAATGAGTATTGCCTTGGAGTTTACACAACCGTGTGAAACGAGCTATCTCTAGCCCTATTGATGCGTGGCGAGGTAGTTGCTATTGTGTGGACAAAGGTTCACGCAAACCCAGACTTGTCGATGAGGCCTGCTCGACTTTGGGAGACCAGAGATGGATGTTTTGACAGTCGCCTGAAGTTGCCAAATGAATTGTCCCTGAAAACGGATGGCGCTCGAGCGTAAAGTTCTGGCCGAGCCGTATCAAGTGCTGGTGTTGGTGGTAGTAGCAAATACTCAAATGAGAACTTTAGGGACTGGAATTGGCAGATTTTTCTCGACTTGAGCAGTGTTGTGGACTTGGCTTCAGCAATGGTCCACCATCGACTGATTAGTGACCGATTGTGATTGGTATTGCAGAGTTTGTGAGAAAAGCGGCTGCTGCCACCCGTAGCTGGCTGAGAGGGTCCATCACAGAGTGACAGACCATGGACCGACCGAGTCGATGACTCAAATTGGCAAACGACCTGGATTTGGCAGTCACACTGGAGAATTGCGACGAAAGATTGCAATGCCACCTGCGGCCCCCTGAGTGAGAAGCCTTATCTCTTCGATAGTATAGCGATCAGTGTGGAGTGTTGTTATGAGACAACCTTGACCGTGATACTTTTGATGGGCAAGATCATGTATAATTCTGAGAGAAATCGGAAAAACCTTGCAACCGACATGAGGAGATGATGCCCGACTGTCAAACCCACCATTCTGCATCCCTGTCTTTGTGCTCCAGATGTGGTTGAACGCCAGAAGCGCAGCTTGAGCCTTCGGCAGCAGTGCTGGCTCTTCATTGACGTCATGGGAGCGAACGAGCTTTGAGACATGAATATGCACAGAACGGGTTTCGTTGATCAAGGGACTTGCACGTAAGGAGAAGAGAGCCACCTTACATACATCAGTAATGATGTAAGTGCTTTCTTTCGGAATCCAGACAGAAAAAACAGACGCGACTTGCGCGAGATTAGGACCAGTTTCAGCTGCGCGTAGATCCGTGTCGGTGCTTTTCGCTGTCTCAGAGAGACTGGGGTTACCGGCAGACATGATCGAGATTTCTTCGAATTTCGAGACTGGACAAAAGAGAAAATGTTGAGAGAAAAGGGAAGGCAAAGGAGAACTTGTATTTGTATGCATTCTCACGTGCGCATCGACATCTGTTTGGTATATGATTCTCCAATATTCAATCCAGGCACACAACTGCTATAGCTTCGACCGACTAACCCCAAGTGCCACCTCCACCGCGTCCTGCCCTCTTCTGCGCACTCAGCCTCCAATCATCCTCACCCTGGAATTTGTTATGCAACGGCTGAATCCTCTCCGCCTTCTTCCTCTTACTCAGCCTATCGGTCGGCGCAACCTTGAAGAAAGTTGGCGCCGCCTCGACCAGCCACTTCGGCTCAATTGCACTGCACACATGCATGTACTCCTTGGTCGTCTCAACAAGCGAGTGATACACAACGTGCTCGCTGGGCTTTCCGAACAGCGAAGAGCTCGGGTGCAAGTACACGGGGGTGCCTTCGACGAGCGTCTTGTACCCCTCGGCAGGATCTTTGCGTGCCGAGTTGCGGAAGAAGCCTGAGCAGAGCGCTTGACGCACTTTGATAGTATTGCGGCCGCAGGACACGACGGGGTGTTTGTGGCGCGCCATGATCTGGAGCAGTTGATTCCGTACATCTTTGACGCGCTGCATGTTCCGGGGAATGACGAAGTTCTCGTGGCACCAGGGCGTGCTGAAACCACCTTGCTTCCAGCCGTTATAGACGTTGAGTAGGGTGATGTGGTCGCCTGAGGGGTCATTGAACTTCAGCTTCTTCTGGTCTGCTTGTTGCTGCTTATCTCGTGGGCGGTGGAACACGGACTGGGTTGCGCTGATCATGGCGACGATTGTGAGGATTTCGTCTGAGCATTGCAGGTCCACACTCTTGATGAGAGATTTGGATAGTGGGGGATCCATGGGAAAATCGGCCATCTGGCGACCGAGACGTGTGAGCAGACCTTCATCGTCAAGAGAGCCAAGCTGATATAGCTCTTCGAGGGCTGTTAACATAGTGTTTGTGGGTGGTGGGTCCATGAAGTCGAAGTGCAGGAGATCGTTGATACCCATAGCTTTTAGCATGAGGATGGTGTTGGACAGATTTTGTCGCTGAATCTCAGGGATGGTAGTTGGTAGCATCTCATTCTGGAAAGCAGCTTCGGTATACAGGCGGAAGCACTTTCCTGGGCCTGTTCTGCCTGCTCTCCCACTCCTCTGACGAGCTTGAGCTTGCGATATGGGTGTAATCTGCAGCCGGTCCATGCCGAGCTTGCCGTCATAAGAGCTCTGCTTGACGAAGCCAGGGTCCACGACATAGTAGATGCCGTCGATGGTCAGACTGGTCTCGGCGATGTTGGTGGCAATGACGCACTTGCGCGTCCCATTTGGTGCAGGCTCGAAGATGCGCGATGCAACTTCCGAGGGCAGAGCTCCATAGATGGGTAAAATCATGAGTTCAGGTACGTTGGGACCCAGCGCCTTCATGCGTTCTGACAAGATCTCACAAGACGAGTCAATCTCTTCCTTACCCGTCAAGAAGAGTAAGATGTCTCCCGCAGGCTCTGTCAAGTGAATCTGCATGACCGTGACGAGAGCAGCGTCTAGGTAGTCGGACTCGGGTTCTCGGCTGTACATGACTTCGACGGGGACTAGGGCCATGTTAGTAGAGCTTCAAGGAGTGGTTTGATAGGTATACTTACAGGTTCGACCGGGAATGGAGAAGATGGGGCACTTGTAGAAGTACTCGGAAAACTTATCAGCATCAAGTGTGGCACTTGTGACAATGAGTTTCATATCCGGTCGTCGCTTGAGCGTCTTCTTGAGTAGTCCAAACAGAACATCAGTGGCGATGGTACGCTCGTGAGCCTCGTCTAACATGATGCAGCTGTACTTGTTCAACATTGGGTCGAGCAAGATTTCTCTTTGTAGGATACCATCTGTCATGTACTTGATGCGCGTGTCTGGTGATGTGTTGTCCTCGAATCGAATGGTGTAGCCGACTTCGTTACCAAGCTTGCAACCCACTTCCTCGGCGACACGCTTAGCAACGCTCATCGCCGCAACACGTCGAGGCTGAGTGCAACCAATCACGAGCTCGTTTGCGTATCCTGCTTCTGCCAGGTATTGGGTCATCTGTGTGGTCTTGCCAGAACCGGTGTCACCGACGACGATCAAGATCTGGTGAGCGGCTATGGCCTCAAGCAGCTGCTTCCTAAACTTGTACACAGGCAGCGACTCTCGTTGGTCCTTTATGCTCATATTTGTACGCTTGCCAAACGATGCATCCTTGCTGTTGATCGAGATTTTCTTCCACTCAGGCATAACTTCAGTGGGCTGGTCTTTTCGTGTGTTGCGTAGATCACTGGCGAATTGTCGCTGCTGGGCCATGGGGTCATTCCACTGACTGCTAAGATCCACATTAGCAGCATCTGCTGCGGCTTTCTCTTGGGCTTCTTGTTGCCGCAAATCTCGGCGCTCTTTCGCCAATGTGTCTCCAGACATAGCCGCTCGGTTGAGCGAGCCATCAGGTGCCTTGATGATTCGAATGGGGGACAGCTCGAGGGACTGCTTGGTCTGGCCAGCCAAGAAGGGCGGCTCCTCTTCGCGTACCTCGATGTCGACATCCTCCTCCTCCTCAAAGCCCCCTTCGCCAGCGATGTGTGCATTGAAGTCTTCGTCGATGTCTGGGTAGTCTGACTTGGGTATGACACCAGACGCAATAAGCTGCTTGATCTCCCATCTTTCAGGCGAGGTCATGCGCTTTCGCATGCCGTTCTTACGACTGTTATAGCCATCTTCCACGACGGGCACGCTGCTTTCCATGAGGCCGGGTATGCCTCCCAGCGCTTGGGAGTTTGCGCCCGATCCAAAGGACTCGATACGCCTCGAAGGAGCAAGATCTCGTCCTGATTGCTGGTCCACCTCCTTCATCGATAAGGATAATCGGCCATTCTCCATCTTGATGACCTTGACCTTGACCTCTTGCCATCTGGAGAGCAGATCAGAGGGGTGGTTGACGCGACCGCCCTCCTGGATCTGCGACACGTGCACCAGCCCGTCCACCTTTCCTTTGACGCCCTGCAAGTTGACAAAGGCGCCAAAGTCCTTCACGCCGGTGACCTTGCCGTTGTAGACCTTGAAGAGCACGGGCTCGTCGTCCAGCTCGGGCGTCGGTGGGCGGCGGAACTCGTCGAGGTCTTCGTCGCGGTACTTCTTGCGGCTGCGCTGCTTGTCGTGGCGCTTGACGGTTCTCGTGCGCCCAAACTCGTCCTCAAAGACCAGCTCCTCGTGCTCCTGCTGTCGCTGTCCGCGACTGCGACTGTGGCTGCGACTGCGCGACGCTGACTGTGAGCGGTTCCTGCGCCGGTGCCGCTTGCTATCCCTATCGTCGTCGCTGCTGTACGGGCTCATGCTGCGCTTACGCGACCGCGCCTTGGGCCTGCCGGCGGCGCCCTTCCCAGCCAGGCCCTCCAGCATGGCGAACGTGTCGTCCAGGGCGTCTGGCTCGGGCGCATTGGTTGCAGGCGCCTCCTCGGGGTCGCTGAAGTCGAGCTCCCGGTCGGCGATGGCGAGGCCCTTGAAGACACGGGTCTTGCGGTCGCGGCTGTCATCGTCGTCGTCGTCGTCGTCGGCGGCCTTGGCGCCATTCGCGCTCTTGTGCTTGTACTTCGGGTGCAGCGTCAGGATCAGGCGGTCGATGCTCGCAACCAGGCTCTCAGGAAACTCGGCGCCCATGGCCTCCAGCTGCTCCTTGAAGTCGGCCAAGCCCTTTGCGCCAGCATGCTGGTCGATGACGAACTCGGCGAGCGTCTTGTCGGACACGCCCAAGTGGTTCTGAATCTCCGACGTGACTTTCGACACGAGCGACAGGAACTCGAGGTTCTCGAGGTCGTCCATGGTTGCGGTGAGAGGTGGCAGCCCGAGCGGGCGCGATGGTGCTGCTCGGAAAGTTTTGGACATGCGCGATACGAAGCAGATGCGGCTCAACTCAGCCGAGCAGTCGCCTCCCCGCAACCAGTCGACCAGTCACGGGCTCTGCATCTCCGCAGACCACCACCACCAGTCTCACCCAACTGAAGGCTGCGTGCACTGCGCCCGCCGGCACCAACACCACAGGCAGCAGTCACAATGGGTCCCGCCATCGCATCACGTGCTGCACAGCGCTTTCGCCTCGTCACGTCGCTGCTCGTCCTCGGCTTCGGCAACTACGAGCTGTGGCGGGTCCATAAGGGCATCCATCCTTACTGGACACCACGCTTGGAAGCGGCGGGCATCGTGAGGCAGCGCAACAAGCTGGCAGAGCATGACAGCACCAAGCCAGCAGCAGTTGCTGCAGAGACGCCTGCGCCCAAGCCTTGGATCAAGTGGACCGACCTCAACGGCGTCCCCATCCCCACACTCGAGGCCAGCGTCCGGCCAACGCGGAAGGACTGAGGGCTGGCATCGCCTCCTCGACGGTTGCATACGAACGACGCAACTTGCAGCCATTCAGTGTACAGGACACATTCTGTTGCTGGCTGCTCCCTAGAATAGATGATGGAACATTCACAAGCAGGCTGAACGCCGTAGCATTCGGCAGTGTTTTGGGCACAACACATGGCGTCATGGGTTGAGTACGGGTATTGTGGGTTGCATACGCAGATTGGAGCGTAAAGTACCAGCGATTGAAACCGGCAATTCAATCAACTCGCATTAAGACCGTCACCTTCTGAATTTGATCGACATTGTCGGTGTCTGAGCAACAACCAGCACAAACGCCAGCGAAGCGTGCTGAGGGAACGCATGAGTAGCACATCACTGCATCGTGCGTCCGATATCGAAAGAGCAAACCAGGGCGGCAGTTATCGAAGCGCCGAATACTGCCACGCTGAACACAAGATCTCCCCTGTTCAGATCCGGGGGCCCTTGCGCTGTCTTATGTCTGAAGACGAGCGAAGGCGTCATGTCCCTGAAGATGGTGCAATACTTGACACCTTACCGAATCTGGTCTTAGCGCAGCCACTCCCTCGACTTCAGCACTGAGTAGTCAGAGCGTTTCACAATCTCAGTCATGGGCGGGACCGACCTGCCACTTTCGAGATCGAGTTTCAAAGGACGAGGTCGTCGCAAGCATTGAGAGGCACGAGTGCGAAAATAAGAGCTCGAGATGAGGGCCCTTGACTCAAGATGAGGCTGCGCAACCTACTTCCAACTATCATCAGCAGCACAGTCCGCACTTACGAGGCTTTCATCTAAGCTCAACGACTGTCGTCACCACGCGACAAGATAATCGACACGGTGCTTCCCCGGACCCACCTCCGCGGTCGTAAGGAGCGAATGCGACTGCAGTCCCGAATCGTCATGTTTTGGCGGTCAGAGATGTGGAGAAACCGGCCGGATCACCTGTGGTAGAAGTCGTGATTGCGAGCGATGGCGCAATCGGCTATGTAAGCGTCTTGCCATGAGTCTAGGTACCACCCAAACAATATATGTATAAGTACTGCGACCGCTATTCTTCGCTTTTCCGTCTTCATTAGAAGTTTGAGGACGTCAGCCAAGCGCCTTGATCATTAACACCTACTTCACTCAGCTACTCGATCTGTCCAATTGCCCATTGAAGCCGCACCTGTCGAAGCGCAGTTGAACCCGACCACTACAGCCGGGTACCTTGCATAGAGGATCATCTGCCAATCAATAGCCATACCACATCACCACCACAGTCGAAATGGCACCTGGACTAGTAGACCCAGCCTTCCAATCGAGGGAAGCGGCTCCCGGGAAAAGCCTTAAGCACGCTGTCAAGCCTGCCAACACTCATAACTACGTGCCCGGACGCACAGCAGTCACACAGCACGACGACACATACGAATTCGAGCATCTCCGACCACGCTTCCCTGATATCACATGGCCTGCGCTTGAGGAGCACACATATGTTGACAAGGGCCTGCTCGGTGACGTCAACTTCAAGAATCTTCTGTCGTCCGCCACAGAGGTCTTCGACTACAACCCAAAGATTGGAACCGAAGTTCATGGCGTCGACCTCGCCAACCTCACAGATCTCCAAAAGAATGATCTTGCAAGGCTGATCGCAACAAGAGGTGTGATCTTCTTCCGTGACCAGAAGAACTTCGGTATCAAGGAGCAGCGCGCTCTCGGACAGTACTTTGGCCAGCTGCACAAGCATGCCACTACTGCTGTTCCCCGTGAGGAAGGTCTCGAGGATGTACATGTCGTCTACACCGGTGAAGGCTCACCCGATCTCCGTTCGCTGTTCTCTCCTACTTTTCTCTGGCACTCAGACGTAAGCACTGCTCGACGTTCAGCTCCCACGACTTCTGCTGACCTTGCCTAGGTCACATATGAGATCCAGCCACCCTCATACACTTCGCTGAAAGTCCTCACCGGCCCACCTCGTGGCGGTGGCGGTGACACCCTCTGGTCCTCCCAATACGCCGCCTATGACATGCTCTCGCCACACATGCAGAAGTATCTCGAGTCGCTCACAGCGCTGCACTCTGCAGATCTGCAAGCCCAAGGAACACGCGATCTCGGCCGCACCGTTCGTCGCGAGCCAGTCACAACCGAGCACCCACTCGTCCGTACCCACCCCGTTACAGGCTGGAAGAGCATCTTCTTCAACCCGGGTTTCGTCACCAAGATCGTCGGCGTGCCTAAGACCGAGTCCGACCACATCATCTCCCTGCTCAACGAGATTGTCGCCACATCCCCAGAGTTTCATGCGCGCTTTCAGTGGCAGGCCGGCGATGTCGCGTTTTGGGACAATCGCGTCACTAATCACTCTGCCACATATGGCTTCGCACCGCACCGCCGCCATGCTGTGCGCGTCTGCAATCAGGCTGAAAGGCCGTACCTAGACCCCAATGGCAGGTCACAGGAGCACGACCTGAGCGAGCGCTACGGCATCCCCAAGGCGAACAAGGACGGCTCTGGTGTTGTCAATTATAACGACTGAGGCTTCGTAGGTCCAGATTGTCGGATCTAATTTCAACGGGCGAAGAGGTTTCGGGATCTTGTTTCTTGTAGCGTTTCAGCGAGCACGTTGGGGTTGTCAACAACTATGAGCTAGTAACAAGTACAACACATTATGTATAAGTACCGGTAAAAATACCGTGTTCGTGCACGGAATGCGCGAATTCACCGAATGCGCGCGATCGGCCCTACTAGCCCAAGCGAATATGAGGCTGTAGAGCCACCCATAATAGATAAATATATAACGTACCTCACGGACGAGCCGGTCAACGGGCGAGCCGATCACTTTTGCTAAGCCCCTACCAAACTTCACCCTATTATGGCCCAAAACACCACACTTTGGCGCTGCACAGCGTAGTACAGCCTGTTATATTATTCAGAGACTACTTCTACATTATTCTTGCATGTTCGCGCGTTATGCCTAGTCTTATTACACTGTCTATACTGTCTTTAGGATAGCTTACCCACTTTAGCGCGCACCTGCTTACTTGCCTTCTTACTATTACTACGCGCCCTAAACTCCCCTAGAGTAGTTATTCACAACCTATCCTTAACTATAAGGGTACCTTCTGCCTTTACTTGCTTTTTTTTGTGTGATTGATTGATTGATTGATTGATTGATTGATTGATTGATTGATTGATTGATTGATTGATTGATTGATTGATTGATTGATGTCGCAGCAAGGATCGAGGTGAGGGTGCATATCACGTGATCCGCATCTGGATATTGGACCGATCAGACACTGGCGATCTATCACGCCATGGTGAGCGGAATCGGGTATAGCTTGGAGCCGTGATTAGGGCTCCAATTAGGGTATAGCTGGATGAGCATTGGTGTATATATTCTGCTCATTCAGCACCGTAGATAGAACAAGGAACTTGATCACTTTCTTCACACTTGATCAACGATCAGAGACCACTCAGCTTCCACAATTGATTAATTAACTAATTAATTCACAACGTGTTTCACAAGCGAGCGCCGCACCCAAGCGAGCGCCGCACTCTCGCTGCCAGAACGCCGGCGCAACAACAGCGCGTAATGTCTCAACCACAACAAGCTCCTACACTCTATACTGAAGCTGATGTACAGCTTGCTATATCTAATATCTTAAGAAACTATATCCAAAGTATCTAACGCACTAAGAAAGTCTATAAAGTACCTAAACAAACAATCTAACGCTAACACAACAGAACACACTCTTAACACAACTAACGTGGTCCACCACCGAGCGAATCACCCCACCGAGCGAATCACTCTGCCAAGACCACAACGCTTTCTACTATTAATTACAATAGCTCAATAACCTAATCTTGAATTACTTTCCTGTGCAGATAGAGTTATACTTGCTACCTAAGTAATAAAATCTAACGCGTCACTAAGCCAGCGACGCGCTGCTGCTATCTACAGGGTTCCTTAAAGTACACTTAGCTATTAAGGCGCTGGAAGAACCCCACAACGCGATACCCACCCTAACTCATCTAAGCTTCAGAAGCATGAAGAGGAGGCAGTTATACAATACATAAGGAAGCTTGACGCTAGAGGCTTTGCCCCTACGCTTAGCCACGTACGTGGAATGGCTGACCAGCTACTAGCTAAGCGTAGTAGTGGCCAGGTTGGGGAGAACTGGGCCTATAGGCTGATCCAACGCCGGCCTGAGGTCAAATCTCAGGTGACTCGACTCCGTGATCACCAGCGAGTCCTCTGCAGTAATCCAGCTATTATCAGCCCCTAGTTTAACCTTGTACGCAACATTAAAGCCAAGTATAGTATCCTAGATTAAGACACGTACAACTTTAATAAGACTAGCTTCTAGATAGGCATTTGTAAAGTTATAAGACTTTGTTCTTATAATCTTTATCTAGCGTATTTCCCTTTTCAGTATAGCGCTATGCTTACCTAAGCATTGCTATTGTAATCTCCAAGAAGAGAGGATTAGAATGGTGTGCTTACGAAGCCTGTATCTCCTCTCGTTCTTAAGATATGCTGTTCTCTATTTTTAGTAACTAGAAATGTTCTAGACCCTCTGCTTACAAATAGAGTAGCCTACTCTGTAAGATGCTGACGTATACGATTACGCATGCACCTACGTAATCTTGCTTGCATATGCAGCAATACTAAGCATAGATGAAGTAGACCTAACTAGAGGAGTCTAGAAC